AATCCTAGTTGTCTGCAACAACTCGTCGTTATATGCGTAGTAAAATGACATCATGAAATGTGACCAATGAAAAGGGTCACGTAAATTACACCAACCAGTGAAAAACGTAACAGGATGCTCAAGTTCCCACATCAAATTCTCACACTTACGAGAAAATAATAAAAATAGAAATAACATTTATTTCTTCTAGTATCATTAAATGTCTCTACAAGAATTAACAATAAATTATAATCAAAAAATAGCACTTGTTAAACTTCGTAAAGGTAGCGAAACACAGTTTCGTATAAAATCCAGGGGGGTTTTCCCAGAGGGAAGCATGCTGGATAGGGGTTTTCCTGCTATTTATAGGAGTGTACATGAAAACTGCATCTTTTTTTGTTTTTATTCGCATAAAATAGAATCTTATCTTAATATTAAAAGAAAAAAATGTGCATTTATTTTTAGAAAAAAAAAACTTTTGAGACTTTTTAATAGGGGGAGATAACTCCCAAAACATCCGGTTTTCACATGTGCAGAATTGCATGAGTCAAGTAGCAGGTAATGTAGCTCTTTCAAGAGGTGGAAAATGTACCCTAAAAGCACCATAAAAGATAACCTTAGGACTTGTTCTGTGAAATGCACATAACTTATTTTTCAGATTTTTTCTGTTTTTGTTGAGCAGGGGTGCTAAAAATGCAATAGGTGCACTGAAAATGGATGCATAAACAACCTAATATCCCCCATGTTTCATGTGTCAAATACCCCCTATTAGTAATTGATAAATGTATTAAATTAGTTGAATATTTATAAAATTCACAATTTTATCTTTCCATTGATATGTAGAAATCTATGTACAATGAAGCGCATTGAAGTGGTAAAATTTTCTGTTTGGATGGAACGTTTTGAGCTATCTTTAGACACACCCATTTCTATAGAAAGGAAAAATCGGTCAAATGATTCAATCGAATACCTGTATAACAGGTATTTTATAAATATAATAGCCAATGAAATTGACGGTCTACATAAACACCGATTAAGCACGTGTTCGACTGATACATGTGCTATGCTAACTCCAATAAACATGATAAAATCATAATTATGTACAAATTCGATGCAATGCGTGTTTTACATAAGGCGGGAACTCTATACATAGCTCTTTCCTATTTAAAAATCTTCATTTCAGTGTAACTCATGTTGCTTGTCGCGGAAAGTGTAGTGTCCTAAAACATTACGATGAATATTCCTTTCTCGTTTCTAAAGAAATGGGCGTGTCGTTATGTTATAATTGACGTTCAAAACATGACTCAGAACGTTTCGTCCAAAGGGAAAATTTTACCACTTCAGTGCGCTTCATTGTAACAAGCCTTCATTTTATTTCTTTGTAGGGGTCAGTTTTGCTTGTCCTTTACCAAGTAACGTCCTGATAACGTCATACATAAAACTGTGTTTTGCACCCAAACAAATACCACATTGCATTCTGGGAGTCGGCCATCACTAAAAGAAACGACAACATGTGGCCCTAACAATAAAGCAAAAATACATATAAACAGTGGATTACAGGTAATTATGCATAAATGATTGTGATCTTTACTCAGTAGACAAATTATTTAACACATCTTTTATACTCGTAACAACAAAACATGCATGCATAAACAAACAGCGCAAATCAAACTTTTGGGGGCGATGTCAAAAGCGAAAATTATATACAAGTACATTCTAGTATAAGTATCAAAAATAAGTACATCGTAGCCCTATTCTTACATTTTGCCCCTCCTTTAAAAAATGTCCAAGTCCCTTTGAACTGAAGGCCTTCTCAGAAGATTTGATCACGTACCGACCCACTTCAATTCCCATTGAAGTTTATAAACTTGTTATTTATTACTTATATATACATTTGAGACAGACGATCTAACCATCTGTCGTAGATTTTAAAAAATGATGCAAGGTGTAAATCGGCTTGAATGGCGGTTACACTTTGAATTCATTAGGCTAAGGATTTTATTTCCAGGGGACTATTCTGTGAAAGGCTACTTATGATCAGTAATAGTGGACAGAATGTTGTCTGGGAATATTTCTATTCGTGAAAATTGATAATCAATGCTTAAAAGACACAAGAAACAAGACGGAAGATCGATGATAATATGTTGGAGGAATTTCAGTCGCCAGAAAGGGATAGATGATCCGATGGATGGAAACATTTGACGTGCCAGTTTATTTGCAATCAAGTATTTAAAATAAAAAAATTTTAACCTACGATTTCAATAACTAAAGGCATATTTATGATATATTGTAAACAAATCACGGGACACTAGAGAAAGCTTACATTGAACTATGACAGCGCCGAGGTGTTTGTCAGCTCTTCGTGGCATGATTGCAAAGCTTTGATGTTTTCCAACAGATTTACACATTTATCGTGGGTAGAATTTGATGAAAAAATTATAGTTTATCATGAAGATTTAACTTAAGGATTTCAATCCCTAATGAGACCAAATTCTCTACCCTTAAATGTCCGTCAAGTACACAATACTCTGATATTATATTAAAGCATTTTATAGTGGAAAAGGATTGCCCACGAGAAATTTTCAAAAAGTTCATTAATTAAGGAGTACCGGTAATTAACAAAGATTGCATTGAAGTCTGTGGGGAAAAGTGTTTTTTCAAAATAAAAATTCAAATAATTTGAATATCAATAAATCCTGTGGTGGAAAGATGCATTGAAATATTTAAAAAAGAATGATAATTGAAAACGATTTTTTTACCAGCTGAATTTTTGTCCCCCGCTTTCGCGAAAGCGAGGGGACATTAAATCTCATTCGTCTGTCCGTCAGTCTGTCCGTCTGTCAGTCTGTCCGTCACAAAAACTTTAACCTTGCCCATAACTTTTGATTTAGTAGAGCTATGACTTTCATATTTCACATGTGTATTCCTTGTGACAAGACCTTTCTTTGGGTACCACCAAATTTGACCTTTTGACCTTGACCTTGGAGTTTGACCCACTTTTACACAGAAATTTCAAACTTTTACTTTGGCCATAACTTTTGAATGAAAGGTACAAGGACTTTCATATTTCACAAATGTATTGTTTGTGACAAGACCTTTTATTGGATACCAACAACCTTGACCTTTTGACCTTGACCTTGGAGATTTACGTACTTATGAAAAAACGTTAACCTTGACCATAAGTTTTGAACGGTGAGGACTAAGGCTTTCGTACTTCACATATCTAATCCTTGTGAAAAGACCTTTTATTGGATACCAAGAACTTTTACCCTTTGACATTGACCTTGGAGTTTTAACTACTTTTTAAAAACTTTAACCTTGGTCACAACTTTTAAACAGTAGATACTAGGACTTTTATATTTCACATATGTATTCCTTGTTGCAAGACATTTCATTGGATACCAACAACCTTGACCTTTTGACCTTGACCTTGGAGATTTACATACTTATGAAAAAACTTTAACCTTGACCATAACTTTTGAACGGTAAGGGCTACGGCTTTCGTACTTCACATATGTAATCTTTTTGAGAAGACCTTTCATTGGATATCAACAACTTTTACCCTTTGACCTTGACATTGGAGTTTTAACTACTTTAAAAAAAACTTTAACTTTGGTCACAACTTTTGAATGGTAGATACTAGGACTTTTATATTTCACATATGTATTCTTTGTGGCAAGTCCTTTCATTGGATATCAACAACTTTGACCTTTTGACCTTGATGTTAAAGATTTACGTACTTATGTAAAAACTTTAACCTTGACCACAACTTTTGAACGGTAAGGGCTAGGGCTTTCATACTTCACATATGTAATCCTTGTGAGAAAACCTTTCATCAACAACTTTGACCCTTTGATCTTGACCTTGGAGTTGACCTACTTTTAAAAAATGTTACCTTTGGCCATAACTTTTTAACGGTCAGGATAAGGGTTTTCATCCTTCAAAAAAATCAACTTCAATGATAATTTCTAAGAAATGACATATGATAGGATGTTCATATTAGACACAATGTGTCATAAAAAATAACATCTCACCAACAAAGACACCGAAAGCGGGGGATCACAATTCTTTGAATTTGCTTGTTTTTAATTGATTTTTTTTATTAATTAAAAAAGGGGAGATAATTCTTACCAAAATTCAAGGTCATGAATTAGGACACACCCCACTAAACATACATGTGCTTATAGTAATAAATGGGAACTATGTCTAAATAAACTGAGTATTAAATGCCTACATATCTTTTATGTTTTCAATTTCATTGAATTTCTTCCTATTAGGGATTGAAGACCCTAAAGTCTACCCCCAAAATAAGGATAAACGTAAGAGACTATACAGCTGAAAAAAGTGACATAAAACTTGTGAACAAAAACTGTATATTTTCCATCTACACGTCAGGTTAAATCAATAGCCAAAATACTATATGAAATACTTGTAAACGTTGTAAATAAAATAATTATTATTCTACTTGCATATTTTGTTCATTTTTATACATGAAAAGCAAGTACAGCAAGTCAATTTATATTTATGCACCGGTAGATATTATTGCGCCGTGTGATTAGGTCACGTATTGACCTCTGACCTCGGACAAACATCTTACAGAATTGAAGATATTTGTTCTCCGTATGTTTATAATAGAGAGATATCACAAATGTATATATATTAATTTGAAGGCATCCCCAAGTAGTATAAGATTCAAGCCCCCCCCCCCCCAACCTCTGGTAAACTTTTCAATACTGAACTGCCCCGTGGGGATCCGGGTTAGAATAGGTCCTCAGTACCCCCTTGCTTGTCGTAAAAGGCGACTAAATGAGGCGGTCCTTTGGATGAGACCATATAAACAGAGGCCCCGTGTCACAGCAAGTGTGGCACGATAAAGATCCCTCCCTGCTCAAAGGCCGCAAGTGCCGAGCATAGGCCTAAATTTGCAGCCCTTCACCGGCAATGGTGACGTCTCCATATCAGTGAAATATTCTGGAGAGGGACGTTAAACAGTATACAATCAATCAATCAATCAATCAATATTGAACTGATTTATGCTTTTTACTAGATGATGTGCTTAGGTGAGTGATGTAGCCCATGGGCCTCTGGTTTCATTTTTACTTTTAGTCTTAACACACTTGTTTGAGTATTTTACCTTTGGTGTTATTAGGTCAGGAGTAATTAGGCTGGTATCAATTCCAAAAGGTGTTTTTTTCTCATCTCATTTTATAGGAACTGTGACCTCTCTTAATGACTTGTCTCAATTCTACTGTAGAGTTGCAGTTTGATGTAGCCCCCTGTTCCCAGCACTGTTAAGAGAAGACTAGCTCCAACTAAAAGATGGTAAGATACATTCCTTTGGTTATAACTATTTTTATTTTAAATTTCATGGTCTTGTTTTTTTTTTTTCATTCTGTGTTGAGATCGAGCTTTCATTCTGTGTTAGGTATAGTGTCAATGAATTTTTTGTATAAGATGTCGAAAAGAGCCTTTACAGCCTTATATACAGAATTTAGTGAAAGCAACTTTAAAGTGAATGTAAAATATAACACTAAAGTATGTTGACCCTTACTATACAGGAAAATGAGTAGCTATAACAGTCATACAGGAACATTGGGCCTATAATTCAGTTAACCTTCAAATGAGTTTTTTTTTAACGCAGCGCATATTGGAAGGACTTCAGCACTGACCTGCTTTAAACACAAAAATACTACGTTTCAATGTCAAAAAAAAAATTGTCATACAATTTGACCGAAATTTGAACTATTTTAAAAAATGATTTATGGACAGTTATTAATACAAAGGTGAAAAACCTGGAAATGGCAAGACCAATGTATGTGCATCCTTCAAGATGTAGAAATGTTCAGCAACAGCAAGACATGAATTCATTGAAATGGTGGAAAAACAAGGGAAAAGGCAATGGATAACGACTCTTTAAGATGTGGAAATGTACTAATTCAGGTAGAAAGGATAATGGTGGAAAAAACAGGAAAAAGGCAGGATCAACAGATATGGACCCTTTAAGGTGTGGAAATGTCAGTAGATACAGCTCAACATGAATTCATTAAAATGATGGATGGAAAAACGGGGAAGAAGTAAATCTGTATGTAATTATAGATGTTGACCCTTCAAGATTTGGAAATGGGAGATACAACTAGACATAAATTGATGGAAACACCTGGAAGACAAAGTTTGATGGACATTAACCTTCCCAACAGCAAGACTTACCACAGTGGACAACAGTCAATGATCAGGCATGTGACATAATAAATGATCCAAAATCTTTTTTTCTTGAAAACAACAAATGAATATCTGATCCTTGATCTGTAGCCTCTTTAGCCTTACTGTACACCTATACGAAAAGTTTGTGAACTAATTGAATAACTTCCATAAAAGAAACAATATGTTGATAATAATTTAAATTAGCCTTCTCCAATTTTAATACACATCTGTCACCGTTCTGCTCATGTGTGAATCACAGTTATTTAGCCTCTTTCATATTTCTTTCCATGCAAGTTAATTTTTATAACAAGAACTGCAATTGTCTGTATCAGTAGATGCTTCAAACATGCATGGCGACCATCAAAACCCAAAAGGAGCTACCTATAGAGAGGATGCTGGTGATCAAAAAGTTTGTGAACTTTTAATTGAATAACTTCCACAAAGCAGAAACAATATGCCCTTTTGATAATAATTTAAGAGAAAAATTATGGCATTTTAAAAAAATCCCTCAAGAACCACTCCAATTTTAATACACATCAAGTTTGTCACCGTTCTGCAAGTTTTACATGATATATATGAAAAATCACAGTGATATAGGCGGTAGTGTATTCAAGTTTGTTCAAATCATGACCCCCAGTGCTAGGGTGGGGCCAATATAGCAAGTTTTACATAGAAATATATGTCACAAAAGCATTGGGCCAGGAAAGATTTCATTGGAATTTCATAGTTTTTCTTTCCATGCAAGTAGGAATATATTCTTATAACTGGGTCAGGAAAAGAACAGTGCAATTGTCAGAAATGGTGAAATCTTGGAATATATAGGAAAAATCTTTAAAAACAGAACTGGGTCAGGAAAGATGAAACTCATGTGGAATCATCCCTTTCCAAACATGACCCCCAGGGCTAGGGTGGGGCCATGGCGACCATCAAAACCCAAATCTTCTGGAATCATCTTCAGGTAGTGAGATTCTAGTTTGTTCAAATCATTAACGTTTATACCAGTAAACTTTCAGTTCTGATCTGATATGTGCTTTTTCCTAGCCAATGTGCTCAGGTGAGCGCTGTGGCCCCTGGGCCTCTTGTTATCATATATAATATGTTTAAAATCTAAAGTAAGCGATATCCTAGGTATTTAATAATTATATTATTGTAAAGATATTCAACTATTTTTCAAACTGTAAATTGGAGGTCTTTGATAACAAATTGCTTAATTAAAAACTCAGCTCTTTTCAAACTTGCTTTCACTGGGCAACAAAACAAGTATCATTTTCAACCATCATCGACTGCCTTAAAATTCCTTCGTTAAAACATTTTTATCAATCCATTCATTGATTAAATTTATAGGAAGCCCTTTGTCTTAATATTAAACTGTGTGTAAATTATCATACGCTACTGCAAAGGAATTTCCAAGATATACCAAAAATTTTTGTCGTTATGCACGTGCAATTGAGACAACCTTTTTTTGTCACAAGTGATCTGCATAGTGACGTCATTTTCCAATTGTATCGTCACAAACAATGAGCAAAACTTACTGCAGCATATGCTATTTATAGAACTTGTGTATGGCTTTGTGTGTACCAATATTTTTTCTAATCTGAATTGTGGTTTTGTAGATATAGAGATAGTTCACGAACTTTTAGATCGCCCCTTGCACAGCAAGATGGGAATCGATGGAAAAATCAGGGGAAAAAATAAACCTGATAGATATTGACCCTCCAAGATGCAGGCAGAAATGTCAGGGATACAACTAGACATACATTAGTGGAGACAGCTGGAAGACAAGACTGATGGACCTTGACCTTTCCAACAGCAAGACTTACCACAGACTTACCACAGTGGACAATTGTCAGTGATCAGGTATGTGACATAATAAATGATTTTTTTGTTTCGAAAACAACAACAAATGAATATCCGATCCTTGATCTAATTATACCAGTACATGTAGTACTTTATGCATAAATTGTTTGCCCCTGTTTTAATTTATCCCTCTTTTCCCTAGAAGTGGGTGAATTTAAAAAAAAATATGCACAAAATTGTCTATAATAATTAGAAAATGAAATAAGACAGATCAAAAATAACTTTGAATACAGTTTTTTACTTAGAAATGTTCTTTTTTTTTGTTGAGAATTTATGTTTATACCATCATGAAAGCTGAAACTTATGAACTATTTTATACTATGCTTTGGTGATTTGGAGACAGTACTCATTAAGAGACTGGATCAAGATGAAGTTATGTTAGTGTACTTGTCATTTTGAATACCAAAGGTACCAGGTATGGGAATGTTACCTACATATGTCATTTTGTAAGACACTTTTTATTTTATTTCATATTGTTCCTAAATATTTGGTTATTAATAAATGAGCATTAATTTATTTTCTCATTGACAGAAAAGTAAAGTATGGAAGAGGTATATTCTTGTGATTGTATTTGGAGAAAGTTGACCCAGAAAAGTAAAGTATGGAAGAGGTATATTCTGGAGAAAGTTGACAATAGGGAATCCAAAATGCAGAAAGCCAGATCTGTGAAGCACACAAGAAGACTGTTTATGATATGGGTGTCTGAGTTGAGAAGAGGGTATGGGGTCTCAAACTCAGACACATGGGTTTTCCCTGGATGCTCTAGTTTCCTCCCAAACCAACCCTTTTTTCTCTAATGTAACAATTGAGACAATTATCTTTGAAGGTATTTTAATGTAAATATTTTTTTTATCTAATAATAAATTGTTAATTTTGCTCTAAGGTTTTTTATGCTGCTATTACAATTAATTTCTGAAATTTTAACAAATTTTAAAATATGTTGCAGATGTAATTATTGTTCAATATTAAATTAATATTTCTGGAATGTACAAATTCTGTCAGAAGTTGTACCAGTTATAATTTGTATAATTTAGTAAATTCTGATTATTTACTAATTGTGCACTTAAATAAATGTATTATATACTGATGTAACTAAATATGCAGTAAAAGTAATTAATTTTTAATGTGACATGATTTGTATTTTTTAAAAATGTAAAATTTTGATTTGAAAGTGTTATTTTGTGATTTGTTAATGTTACACTATGATTTGTTTATGTAGAATTATAAGTGAATGTGAAAAAAAGAAAACAAGTGAAAAAATGAAAGGCAATTTAAGAGTTTCCAAAAAAAATCAAAAAGAAAAGAGAAGCAAAAAAAAAAAAAATTAAAAAACAGAAAGAAGCCAAAAAAAAGCAAAAAAAAAAAAAATGAAAAAAGAAATTGAATGAAAAAAGTATTTTAAAAGGAGCAAACTAAAAAAAGCACAAAACTTTTAATGCTGCCTGCTTGAATTAACATATTTGCATGTTTTTTCAAGCAGAAGGTTCCAAGCCCTTAAAAGCAGAGGAGAAGTTTTGGTATTACTCGTATATGACATTACTGAATGTACACTGCCAAATTAATGTAGACACAACTGTCGGATAATGAGCTTTTTTATCATCAGAAGATCTTACTTAATTTGGTGTGTACAATGCAATAAATCAAATATTTTATTTATAATTCAGATATCTTAAAATATTTACTATAGTAGCAGCTTTATTTCCATACATGTTAACCTATTGTGATGAAAAATAGGGAGATTCCGACCACGAAAGCGGTCATAAGCATTGCACACGTTGTTTTACGCTTGGATTTATGAAGATATATTGCATGTAATATACATGTATGGTTTTACGTGAAAATACAATTATTAATCTTAAATATCTATTGCAAAGAAATAGACAGAAACACATTAAGTTTGACATAAATAATATATATTCAAATATTTTTTATGTTCATCATTTTCCTATGATTGGCTACTTAACTTAGCCTTTTGAAGAGTGGTCTTTGTTTTGAATCAATCATTTTTTTAGCTCACCTGAGCCGAAGGCTCAAGTGAGCTTTTCTGATCACATTTTGTCCGTCGTCCGTCCGTCTGTCTGTCTGTCCGTCTGTCTGTCCGTCTGTAAACTTTTCACATTTTCGACTTCTTCTCAAGAACCACTGGGCCAATTTTGACCAAACTTAGTACAAAACATCCTTGGGTAAAAGGGAATTTAAATTGTTAAAATAAAGAGCCAAGTCCCTTCACAAGGGGAGATAATCAAGAAAAGAAAAAAATATGGTGGGGTCATTAAAAAGTCTTCTTCTCAAGAACCACTGGGCCAGAAAAGCTGAAACTTATGTGAAAGTATCCTGGGGTAGTGTAGATTCTAAATTGTAAAAATCATGACCCCAGGGGAAAGGGCGGGGCCACAATGGGGAATCAAAATTTTACATAGAAATATATAGGAAAAATCTTTGAAAATCTTCTTCTCAAGAACCACTGGGCCAGAAAAGCTGATACTTATGTGGAAGCATCCTGGGGTAGTATAGATTCTAAATTTAAAAAATCATGACCCCCGGGGAAAGGGCGGGGCCACAATGGGGAATCAAAGTTTTACATAGAAATATATAGGAAAAATCTTTGAAAATCTTCTTCTCAAGAACCACTAGGCCATAAAAGCTGATATTTATGTGGAAGCATCCTGGGGTAGTATAGATTTCAAATTGTTGAAATCATGACCCCCGGAGGAAGGGCGGGGCAACAATGGGGAATCAAAGTTTTACATAGAAATATATAGGAAAAATCTTCTTCTCAAGAACCACTGGGCCAGAAAAGCTGAAACTTATGTGGAAGCATCCTGGTATAGTGTATTTTCTAAATTGTAAAAATCATGACCCACCGGGGAAGGGCGGGGCCACAATGGGGAATCAAATTACATAGAAATATAGGAAAAATTTTTGAAAATCTTCTTCTCAATAACCCCTTTGCCAGAAAAGCTGATATTTATGTGGAAGCATCCTGGGATAGTGTAGATTTCAAATTATTAAATCATGACCCCCAGAGGAAGGGCGGGGCAACAATGGGGAATCAAAGTTTTACATAGAAATATATAGGAAAAATCTTTGAAAATCTTCTTCTAAAGAACCACTGGGCCAGAAAAGCTGAAACTTATGTGGAAGCATCCTGGTATAGTGTATATTCTAAATTGTAAAAATCATGACCCACCGGGGAAGGGCGGGGCCACAATGGGGAATCAAATTACATAGAAATATATAGGAAAAATCTTTGAAAATCTTCTTCTCAAGAACCACTGGGCCAGAAAAGTTGAAACTTATGTGGAAGCATCCTGGGGTAGTGTAGATTATAAATTGTTCAAATCATGACCCCCGGGGGAAGGGCTGGGCCACAATGGGGAATCAAAGTTTTACATAGAAATATATAGGAAAAATCTTTGAAAATCTTCTGCTCAAGAACCACTGGGTCAGAAAAGCTGAAACTTATGTGCACATGGAAGGATCCTTGGGTAGTGTAGATTTCAAAATGTCTAAAAAATACGATTAGTGGGATAGGGTGGGGATGCATTATGTATTACAAGGGGGAAATCTGGTAAAGAATTGAATGGTCAAAGCTTTTCAGGTGAGCGATGTGGCCCATGGGCCTCTTGTTTTGTCAGAAATAATATTTCTGAAAAAAAAATGATTGATTCAAAACAAATACTTTGTATACTAAGAGTATAGTTACATGTATATATCCTTATGGAAAGTCCTTTTTTTAAATTAGCTTGTCATATAATAAAAATTGAAGCAAAATAACAAATAGGGAGTCCTCCTTAGGTCATAAGAAGTTGTGGTATTACAATGTCAAATTGAAATATCACCCAAAATGAAAGTTTTACACACACACAATGTATGAATTTACTACCTTGACCTTTTGACCTCATAATAAATAGGGGTCTACTTTAATCCAAAGGAAGTTGTGATATAAAATATCATTGCAAAACCCCAAAGGCTTCTCGAGACATTGTGCAGAAACGAAATTGTTCAAACAGACAAATTTCTGAATTTATGACCTTGAATTTTTTTTACCTTTTGACCTCAAAATCAATATAAATGCTCCTTAGGTTATATGGAGTTATTGTGTAAAATTTCATTGCAACTCAAGGCTTCTCGAGATATTGTGTTAAAGCAGAAGCATTACAGACAGAACTATAGACAGATGGACAGCTAGCTGAATGGATGGATAGTCTTCAATTAATATCCCTCTCTTTCAGCAGGGGATCAAAAAAGAAGAGATGGGGGTATAGTGGGGTGGGGGTCCTGTTAGCGGAGCTAGATTAGTGACAAATTTTAATGATACTTGGGACAGACAAATCATTTAAACGTTTGATTAAATGTTATTAATAAATTTGTCAATCAAAAGTTGATTTAACTGTTATAAAGGTAAATAAGTTACAGAAGGAACCAAACCTGCGATGTTAATTGTCCCCTGCTTTCATAAAGTACATTGTATTAATTTTGGTCTGTCTGTCCATCTAGATGTATTTCACTCGCGTTTCCACACCATATCTCTAAAGGCTTCTACAATGAAAATTTTACACAGCAATTCCCCATGTCCCAAGGAAGACCTATTAGTTTGAGGTGAAAAGTTAAAACATCAAGGTCATTGAATCTTTTTGTTTTAGGTCAGGATTTTCGTTCTCTCGCAATATCGCGAGAAATCTTTGAGCTTTTGCAGTGAAAATTATACGATACCTTCCTGTGAAGTACCTCATACATTCAATTTTTAGGTCACCTGAGTCACTCAGGTGACCTATTGCTATCTGTTTTTGTCTGTCGTCGTCCGTCGTTCGTATTCAATCGATCGTAAACTTTTGAACATTTTTAGCTTCTTCTCTGCAACCACTCAACCAATTTCAACCAATTTTGGCATATAGCATCTATGGGTGAAGGGGAACAAATGTTATGAATTTCATGACCCCTGCCTCCCTGGCAATTAGAATTAGTGCAATCTTTAAAAATCTTCTTCTTTACTCCTGGACAACAAGCAGTCAAACTGTTGGTATGACTGTAATCAGCATTGAGTCCTTTACCAAAATTGTGAAATTCATGGCCCAGGGTCAGGGGTTCTAGAACTAGGGTTGGGCTAAATAGGTTATATGGTGAAAATGTGTTATTTCTTTGAAATTCTTCTTTTCTGCTCCCGGGCATTAAATAATTTAAAACTAAACAAGTGTATAGTTGATTTGTAAATGACTGCCTCGTCCAAAATTGTGAATTTCATGGCCCCAGGGTCAGGGGTCTGTTCATGGTCATTAAATAAACTAACCAAGTGCATAGTTATGTTGAATAAGGCTGTCTTTTATAAAATTGTGAATTTCATGGCCCCAGGGTCAGGGGTTCTAGTGCTAGGGTGGGGCTATATAGATTATACATGTATAGTGAAAATGAATTAATTTCTTTGAAAATATTCTTCTCTGCTCCTGAATATTAGATAAACTAACCAAGTACATAGTTATGTTGAATAAAGCTACTTCTTCCAAAATTGTGAATTTCATGGCCCCTGGGCTGGGGGTTCTGGTGTTTGGGTGGGTCTCTATTGATTATATAGTGAAAATGCATACATTCTTTAAAAATCTTCTTTTCTGCACCTGGGTATTAAACCAATGAACTATGTACATAGTTATCAGGAGGAAGGATGCCTCTTTGAGATTTGTGAATTTCAGGGCCTCTGGGTCAGGGCTTCTTGTGTTAGGGCGGGGATCTAATGTTTATATATTTCCTTTGCTCTTGGGTATTATGCCAATGATCTTATTACATATTTATGACGATATATTTATGATTTCCGGGCCCCTGGGACAGAGGGATTTGGGGAGGGGGGGTGTACATAGTCTGAAAATAATTTAATGCTTTGAAATCTGTACTTTGGTATTAATCAACAACATGATGAAACTAAATTTATAAAATTTCCAAAAATTTGAAGATATGGCCCCAGGGTGAGTGGTTCCTGTGGGATGGGGTGCACAACTGATAAAGTGGAAATGCATTTTCTCTTTGTTATTCTGATCTACCTCTGGGTATAAAGTTATCAAAGTAAGCATGCTAAGTGTATAGTTATGTTAAGCATTGGTGCCTCTTTCAAAACTGTGAATTTCATGGCCTCTGGTTTAAAACATGAATCAAATTCAATTGTTGGAAAGTTTTTACATGATACTCATGTGACCTATAAGGCCCATGGGCCTCTTGTTTTTCTAAGTGATCTAAAGGCCTTTGCTTCTGTCTGTTCCTCCGTCACACTTTGCATTTAGCTATGTTCGGAGCTCAATTTTAAGGAAACTATCCAAGATATTTTCATCAAACTTCATATGCTGATAGACATTGATGGAGTTCTATGCAACTGCATAAATATTTTTTTACCCTTCCTTTGCCCTTGACCTCACTTTTCTTAATTTAGTGTTTAGCTCAGTTTTAAAGATACCATTCAGGATAGTGTTTTCAACCTTTACATGTTGACACATACTGATGAGAGCTATTCAACTGCATCAACAATTTAACCATGACCTTTCCTTTGACCTTGACCTCACTTTTCTTAAATTAGTGGTTAGATAAGTTTTTAGGAAGCTATTCAAGATATATTTTTATTAAACTTCTTATGCTGATACATACTGATGAATATGCTAATATATACAGATGAAACCAACATTTTTTACCTTGACCTCACTTTAGTTTAAATTAGTGTCAAAATTCATATGTTGATACATACTGATGTAAACAATTTAACTGCACCAACATTTTTTTCCTTGACCTTTCATTTAACCTTGACCTCACAATTTGTGTTTAACTCAGTTTTAAAGAAACCATTCATATTATTTATATCAATTTCATATGCTAATACTTACTAATGTAAGATTTTCAACTGCATCAACATTTTTTTACCTTGACCTTTCCTTTGACGTTAACTTTATTTATTTTAAATTAGTGTTTAGCTCAGTTTTAAGTAGAACATTCAAAATATTTTTATCAAACTTAATATACTGGTACGTATATATGAGAACTATTCAATAGCATAAACAAGAGGCCCATGGGCCTTATAGGTCACCTGAGCATTATGCATCAACTTTCCAGTGATTGAATTTGATTCAAGTTTTAAGCCAGATGCTAAGGCATTCACAATTTTGAAAGAGGCACCATTGATCATCATAACTATACACTTAGCTTAGTGTGGTTACTTAATACCCTTACGCAGGGTAGGGGAACAACAAATGCATTTTAACTAATCAGTAATATTCAGCAATAATCAGTAGTGCCCCTACCACACATGAACCCCTGACCCTTAGGCCTAGATCCACACATTGCACAATTTTTGAAAAGGCATCCTTGCTTTTCAAAAATATTTGATTAATACCAAGGAGCAGATTTCAAACAATTCATTCATTTTCAGTATATAAGTACATGTGTACAGCCCCCCCCCCCCATGGTACCCTTGACCCTGGGGCTTTGAAAATCACAATTCTGGAAGATTACGGCCCTTGCTCATCATCACTATATAGGTAGTTTATCTGCTTAATACCCAGGAGCAGAGAAGAAAATTTTTAAAGATTTCATGTATTTACACAATATAATCAATAGAGCCCCACCCTAACACCAGAACCCCTGACCCTGGGGCCATAAAATTCACAATTTTGGAAGAGACATTCTTGCTCATCATAACTATGTACTTAGTTAGTTTATTTATTAATGCATTTTCACTATATAATCAATAGAGCCCCGCCCTAACACCAGAACCCCTCACCCTTGGGCCATAAAATTCACAATTTTGGTAGAGGCGCTCTTGCTCATCATAACTATGCACTTAGTTTATTTAATACCTAGAATCAGAGAAGAAGATTTTCAAAGAATTAATGCATTTTTACTATATAATCAATAGAGCCCCACCCCAACACCAGAACCCCTGACCCTGGGGCCATAAAATTCACAATTTTGGTAGAGGCACTCTTGCTCATCATAACTATGCTCTTAGTTTATTTAATATCTAGAAGCAGAGAAGAAGATTTTCAAAGAATTCATGTATTTTCACTATATAATCAAAAGAGCCCCGCCCTAACACCAGAACCCCTGACCCTGGGGCCATAAAATTCACACTTTTGGTAGAGGTACTCTTGCTCATCATAACTATGTACTAAGTTGGTTTATTTAATACCCAGGAGCAGAGAAGATTTTCAAAGAAATAATGCAATTTCACTACATACATATTTAGCCCCGCCCTAGCACTAGAACCGTGACCCCAAGGCCATGAATTTCACAATTTTGGTAGAGGACTCGATGATGATTACAATCATGCAAACAGTTTGACTGCTTGATGTCCAGGAGTAAAGAAGATTTTTAAAGATTGCATTAATTTTAGTGGTTTTGGCCCCACCCCTCAGGCCCCAGGGATCATGAAATTCACAATTTTTGTTCCCCTTCACCCATAGATGCTTTATGCAAAATTTGGTTGAAATTGGTTCAGTGGTTGCAGAGAAGAATCTGAAAATGTTCAAATGTTAACGCACAACGACGGACGAAAACGGATAGCAATAAGGAATGAATTAAATAGCAACCAAAGTTATACTCTTACAACCTGCGTTGGAGCAGTTTACGCTTTTTCATAAACCTCTTCATGGTCCCTAGCGGCTTCTCAAATACAACTCTACATACAGTGGTCATACTTGCATAATTATATTGACACCAACCCTCATCCTGTTGATCTTGAGAATTTTTTAAAAACAGTACCCATTATGTTCTTAATAGCTTAAAAAACCATGCTTGAATTCCACGATTTAATGAAAACAAAGATTACAATGTTAACATTTATTTCTTTATTAAAAATATCAGTTAAAATCTTTCTTTTAAGGGTTTTCTATTTTGATCAATGTCTAAATCAATACTGCACATGAAAAGTATTTTTTTCACATTGAAATTTACATGCCTTATGCTTCCTCCAGGGAATGGAGAGAATAAGTAAGTCTATGATATTTTCTACTTATTAATTTTAAATAACATCAACTGACATAAAGCTATGTTCTAGGAAAATTGCAGTGTCCATAATGAAATGAAAGTCCTATTCACTAAAAATGACTTTTTATAGTGAGAAAAGTTCATTTTTTTTTCCTTAATCATGCCCTTAAAAAAAACTTATTTTCAAAAATACTTGTAAATCAGCATATTCTAAAAAAGTTTTTTTTTATTCTCATTAAAAATTTTCATCTGAATCTATGTACTTAAAAATCTTCATGCAGATTCAAAATATGTACCATTTTAAAACTACAAATCAATTTTAATACCTTGAAAGAAAAGGTAGGTTCATGAGAAATTCACTTACGATTCCATAGTAAGTAAAAATCTACAATCAACATAAGACATGCAATTAATACTGGCTTTACAAACTTTGGGGGTTTAAAAACTACTTAAAAAGGATTGTGATCAGATCAAAAAATGATGAGAATAGCAATACTAGTATATCATATTGCATATGCCAACAGCTACATGTTTATAAAACACATATTTGCAACAAGTTGTTCACAGAACAAATAGTGAATATACATTACATAGTATTTGTCACAACTTCTGAAACAGGCATTATAGAATCAAAACTCAAGGTACAGCATGAAAAGAATCTTGTTTTCACGGTAAGAGTACATGTTACAAATTTTTAACAAACAAATAACCACCTGAAAAACCATGTACCAAGACGCTTCCACATATGAAAATAGATAATGCATCAATATATATATATGATATAGAAAATTACTAGTAGTCATAAAGAGAGAAAGATACCTATTAAGGCAGTCAACTAGATTTTCATTGCAAAAAAAATTCTTACAGTGTACTGAAATATGACAAATTTAAATATTTAAACTTTTGGAGAAATTTTGAAATACCGGGGTACTTGTTTTTTAATCATTTAAGATATAACATATAAAAGATAAATAGAATTATTAAAAAAAAAATCTTAAATAATATTTTTAATTGATAGTTTTGTGAACAGCAACACCTTATTTATGATAAGCCAAAGTTCTTCAGGAGGAGGTCATAAAAATTGATGAAAAAGTAATTTACTTCCAAGAGTGAAAATCAAACACTTTCCTATGTAATCCAATAATTAATGTATCTGTATTTTGAGAATATCCTTAAAAAATTCCCAAATAAATTTCCCCACAACTTTGCATGCATACTGATGTCAATTTAAGTTGAAAGAGTATAAAATTTAGGTTTTTCTGTTTTGTTTTTTTTACACAATAAAACCCTAGTTAGCTCCCTTAATCTACAGAATATCATCCTTTCAAATTAAATGTACAAAAAGTATACATTTATAAATTCAAATTTTCTTTTGATTTGCAGCTAGGTAACATGTAAAGCAGCGTTTTCTGTTTGCAATTTCATTTATATTTCAAAACTTGTTCTTTACTCATAAGTAGACTCTCTGATACAAAGAAAATATTTAATACAAAATTTTAACCGATACCCTATATAATAGATGTACCAGTGCAATTAAAATTGAGACAACCAAATCAATGGTTGAATTAAATTTCAGGACATTTGGATGCAGTTAATATCAAAATCTGTTATCTAATACCAAAGATTAAAAAAAAAATTGGCATATTTCATATCTTTTATACAATTAGTACTTTATACAACAAAACATTACACATTTCATAATGAAAAAAATAGCTACCAACTGTTTTCAAGTTGTTCAAAGCCTAAACCGGGATTCAAAAGCTGAGTGTGGCTATTTAATAACATACAAGACTCATTTAACCATAGATACATTCCACAAAATAAAGTCAAAACACTTTTCATGAAGAAATCAACACATGTAACTAGACCTTCCATTAGTTTCCTTTTTTATACACATATTTGGAAGACAATTAAAAATTCAAAATCTAATTTCCTACCCTTAATGTAGAGTTTACTATTCTTCCGGCAGAATTTTCATCATCTGTAAAAAGTTGCTTAATTTTTTGTAAAATTGTAACTTAACATACAAAAGCTCAACCTGTTGAATCATTAAAAATATACATGATTAAAAAATAAAATAAAATATACTTCAAAATTATTTTAAATATAAGGGTAACAAAAACAATTCTTTAAAAAAAAGGGGGTAGGGTTAAAATTTGACAACCATTTTTGGGGCTTTAATTTTTGGCATTATGGGTATTTTTTCCTTATTCTTGGAGGAACCTAGTCCTATTACAGATTCTTTGAAAATATTAAATCAAGGAAAATATACTTATTTACAATACAGTTAATAATTCTACTTCTTGAAAGTATCATTTAAATAAGATTTTATTCATTGTCGACACATTATGGTCATCCATTTATTTCTTTTTCTATTGTTTTGCTATAAAAAAAAATCATTGTACAAACTGCAGATGTACGTCAAACACATACACACACTAAAAAACACCCTTTCACACACAGCAACCACCATAGCACCTGTTTTAATTTAAAGCAGTAACCAAAATAAAACTGGCTTTATATATCGAACATGATTCCAGTAAATAATTAGTGACACATTCTTTTACAGTAAAAAATTCTCTCATTGCAACTTACATTCTTTTGACAACATAAAAAGTAACAATCAACATCTTTCAGCATCAAATAGCCAATACCTTTTCAGCACATACTCTCCTTACATTTCTTTCATACATCCAACACATTGTCCTATTTACATGCACACATTTTTTTTTCCATCAACAATATTTGGCAGTACATAATTTCAATAAAATCAATGTCATGAAAGACAATTTTCTATTTGATACCTAAGAGAATGCTTGAACCAATCAGATTCATTGTTATCTACCACTGCTGAGATCCCGTTCCAGCCAATCAGGAACCCTGAACTTGTACTTTTCCATTAAGTGTGACAGAGCTACATTGTGTTTGTTGTAGAACTGCTGTAAGAACAGGAGGGACTTGCGATCCAGAGGAGGATACTTCCTCCCTTTACTTCGTCCCAGACACTTACTTTTGTTATTAGACAATACCTGGCAATAAAATCCCTTCTTTGGATCGTACCTACAATGAAAAAGATTATACTTGAACCATGCTTGTATTTCATTCTCATTCAGGAGACTGATGAGTGACAAAACTGTAGATCACTACATTTTTGTGACACCTTATTTTCAGAAGTTTCAATAATCATGATAAATTGTAATTCACATTAAAATGAGGACATGAGATCTTTATTTACCTGAGTAAGTCGTTATATTCATAGTGAGGTTCTATATGTAGGAACCGCTGAACATTGTGCATCACAGCTGCTGGGTGACTCTTGAGTTTTTCTCCATCCACAATAAATAACTGTCAAAAACAAGAAATATTTGTGTACATATGCATACAGAAAACATATTTTACATTTTACAATGTCTTAAAGCTGAACACTTCTCATAAATAGGCACTGTCAGACGGGTATATAAACCGTTCGATTTCGTTACACTGGATTGCACACTCGAAACTTGTGGCCGACATGTAGTATTCCTTTCGTGGTCTTAGATTTTTTGGGTTTATTCCTTGTTTTATGTGCATTTTCTGTTTGTAAATAATGCATTGACCTGTATTTTTCATGATACTTTTGTCCTGTTTTGGAAAAAATATGTTAAATTTGATAATTTCATTGCGACCGAGTAGCACGACTTTGTAAGATGTACGTCTACACTCGTCGGATCTCTACAGCAAAATACATTACACTACTAAGCGATCTGCTCCTTATATATGGGTCGTAGGGAGAGCGTTGAAGAAAGGGAAATATGGCGAACTATGCCTTTTTACGAGTAGTGTTCAGCTTTAAATATAACTCCAACAATACATAAATTGTAGCAAATAATGTTTTATTTATCCAAACACAACAGAAAATAATTTAGAGTTCCAACAATTTTATTCACAATACTATTTAATATTTCACAAATTTGCCTTGAGGGCTCATGCAGCTTATACAAGAGAGATTAACATGCATTAGAACCAGGTACTAGTTACATAACTGTAGTTGTTTACTCTGAATCCTGCATGAGGGCATCTTTTGTGAATATATTCACTAGCAATGGATGGCTGAATGCAAGAAATGCTTGCCTAAATGAGGACCTGAGTGGATTGAACATTAAACAATAAATCTTAATGGTAAGAAATGCTCACCTAAGATAGACACACTTATGTAACAAGCACCTGTGAGCGATTAACTTCCCATATTGGAGAAAATAATGAGATATATAAGTGTATATCATTATGTAAAATGTAAATGGCGCATTATATGAACCCTTATTTATGTCTAGAACCATCAATAATTGGAAGGTGGAAGGGGTTGGTGGTGGTTACTGAACTGGAAAAATATGTGCAAGCACGCTAACTTCAGCTGAATAGAGAAATCCTATTGGTTAATTTTATCACGTGGTTTACATGAGGTACAAAGGGGACACTGTATTATGCATAATAATGATATTGTATTTGGAAAATAAACAATGATTATATACATAATCAAAATTTTATTTATCCAAACACAACAGAAAATAATTTAGAGTTCCAACAATTTTATTCACAATACTATTTAATATTTCACAAATTTGCCTTGACATGCAGCTTATACAAGAGAGATTAAGTCAATCTCCCAGCATTAGAACCAGGTACTAGTTACATAACTGTAGTTGTTTACTCTGAATTTGAAGGGCATCTTGCCTATGTGAATATATGCTCACTAGCAATGGATGGCTGAATGCAAGAAATGCTTGCCTAATATGAGGACCTGAGTGGATTGAACATAGAGTAAACAACTGGAGTTATATTGGTAAGAAATGCTCACCTAAGATAGACGGCATGCTCCAACTTATGTAACAAGCACCTGATCCCAATGCTGAGCGATTAACTTCCCATAGTTGGGAGAAAATAATGAGATATATAAGTGTATATCATTATGTAAATGGCAAAAATATGCAGATGGTACAATGTATACTAGTAGTGAAACAACTTATTTTTGTAGAAATTAACCATTCTTGGTGAAAAGTTTTTAACTACACTTACCTGTCTGGAGGGGTAATAATCCAGCCACCTAGATAAGTGTTGTACGTATATCCCGGGTATCAGACATCGATTACGCAGACTCTGAAGCTTCATGGGGGCGGAGTCAGATGCAGTTATCACATCAAAAAATGAGTAGTTTGTCGCCACAGGGTCCTTGTGTGCTCTCATATGCTAAGAATAAAAAGATTTTTATGATCTAAGATTATGGATAAAATCTTTTTTCAAAACTTGGCAAAACATTTAAATATCTTTAATCATTGTATTCTCTTTACTGTATCTGAAGCTAAAGGCAATTCTTTTACAATTTTTATCAAATTAATCAAAACTATGGTATAAAATGAGAAATATTTCCACCCAGACAATTTTGAAAACAGATTTTATATGATATTTACCAAACACACTTTTAAATAGCCCTAAATACAAGAGGCCCATGGGCCACATCGCTCACCTGAGCACCAAGGGTAGGACTAAAATAAATGGCTTTTTATTGTAAAATTTTAATCCAAAAGTAGTCCCATGACCAATCATGGAATTGCTATTTTTTTAGAAAATGATTGAGAAGAATTTTTTAAAGAATTTTCCTATATATTTCTATGTAAAACTTTGGTCGGCCATGCCCCGCCCTACCCCCGGGGTTCATGATTTGAACAAAATTGAATCTACACTACCTGAATATGCTTCCATATAAATATGATGAATAATGGCTTTGTCATTCTTGAGAAGAAGATGTTTAAAGAATTTTCCTATATATCTCTATGTAAAACCTTGGTCGGCCATTTTGACCCCGCCCTACCCCCGGGGGTCATGATTTGAACAAACTTGAATCTACACTACCTGAGCATGCTTCCATATAAATATGATGAATTATGGCTTTGTCATTCTTGAGAAGAAGATTTTTAAAGAATTTTCCTATATATTTCTATGTAAAACTTTGGTCGGCCATTTTGGCCCCGCCCTACCCCCGGGGTTCAGGATTTGAACAAAATTGAATCTACACTACCTTTATGCTTCCATATAAATATTGAATAATGGCTTTGTCATTCTTGAGAAGAAGATTTTTAAAGAATTTTCCTATATATTTCTATGTAAAACTTTTGTCCATGATTTGAACAAAATTGAATCTACACTACCTGAATATGCTTCCATATAAATATGATGAATAATGGCTTTGTCATTCTTGAGAAGAAGATTTTTAAAGAATTTTCCTATATATCTCTATGTAAAACCTTGGTCGGCCATTTTGACCCCGCCCTACCCCCGGGGGTCATTATTTGAACAAACTTGAATCTACACTACCTGAGCATGCTTCCATATAAATATGATGAATTATGGCTTTGTCATTCTTGAGAAGAAGATTTTTAAAGCTATATAATGTAAAACATTTAAACCGGGGTCATGATTTGAACAAACTTGAATCTAACTACCTGAGCATGCTTCCATATAAATATATGAATTATGGCTTTGTCATTCTTAGGAGAAGATTTTTAAAGAATTTTCCTATATATTTCTATGTAAAACTTTGGTCGGCCATTTTGGCCCCGCCCTAACCGGGGTCATGGAACAAACTTGAATCTACACTACCTGAGCATGCTTCCATATAAATATGATGAATTATGGCTTTGTCATTCTTGAGGAGAAGATTTTAAAGAATTTTCCTATATATTTCTATAAAACTTTGGTTCTAACATGATTTGAACAAACTTGAAACATTGCATGCTTCCATATATATATGATGAATTTTGGCTTTGTCATTCTTGAGAAGAAGATTTTTAAAGAATTTTCCTATATATTTCTATGTAAAACTTTGGTCGGCCATTTTGGCCCCGCCCTACCCCTGGGGGTCATGATTTGAAAAAAATTGAATCTACACTACCTGAATATGCTTCCATATAAATATGATGAATAATGGCTTTGTCATTCTTGAGAAGAAGATTTTTAAAGAATTTTCCTATATATCTCTATGTAAAACCATGGTCGGCCATTTTGACCCCGCCCTACCCCCGGGGGTCATGATTTGAACAAACTTGAATCTACACTACCTGAGCATGCTTCCATATAAATATGATGAATTATGGCTTTGTCATTCTTGAGAAGAAGATTTTTAAAGAATTTTCCTATATATTTCTATGTAAAACCTTGGTCGGCCATTTTGGCCCCGCCCTACCCCCGGGGGTCATGATTTGAACAAACTTGAATCTATGTACTACCTGAGCATGCTTCCATATAAATATGATGAATTATGGCTTTCAATTGTCATTCTTGAGAAGAAGATTTTTAAAGAATTTTCCTATATATTTCTATGTAAAACTTTGTCGGCCATTTTGGCCCCGCCCTACCCCCGGGGGTCATGATTTGAACAAACTTGAATCTACACTACCTGAGCATGTTTCCATATAAATATGATGAATTATGGCTTTGTCATTCTTGAGGAGAAGATTTTTAAAGAATTTTCCTATATATTTCTATGTAAAACTTTGGTCGGCCATTTTGGCCCCGCCCTACCCCCGGGGGTCATGATTTGAACAAACTTGAATCTACACTACCTGAGCATGCTTCCATATATATATGATGAATTTTGGCTTTGTCATTCTTGAGAAGAAGATTTTTAAAGAATTTTCCTATATATTTCTTAATGTAAAACTTTGGTCGGCCATTTTACCCCCGGGGGTCATGATTTGAACAAAATTGAATCTACACTACCTGAACATGCTTCCATATAAATATGATGAATAATGGCTTTGTCATTCTTGAGAAGAAGATTTTTAAAGAATTTTCCTATATATTTCTATGTAAAACTTTGGTCGGCCATTTTGGCCCCGCCCTACCCCCGGGGGTCATGATTTGAACAAACTTGAATCTACACTACCTGAGATGCATAAGTTTCATCTTTCCTGGCACAGTGGTTCTTGAGAAGAAGATTTTTAAAATATACCACTAAAATTAATTCCCAATTATCTCCCCTTGAATAAGGGCGTGGCCCTTCATTTGAACAAACCTGAATCCCCTTCATCCAAGGATACTTTGTGGCAAGTTTGGTTGAAAAACAGCGGTTTTGAGAAGAAATCGAAAATGTGAAAAGTTTACAGACAGACAGACGGACGCCGGACAAAATGTGATCAGAAAAGCTCACTTGAGCCTTCGGCTCAGGTGAATAAAAACAAAGAAAACAAAGAATTTCTACCTGATACCAGGAATAAGCTCTTTTGGCAGGATGGATGAGTATGCAGATGAGTTTAGCTTTAGGAAGAAGAGCATGTGCACGGTGGGGTGCCAGCTCATTGTCAAAATAGGTGGCACTCTTCTCAAAGAGAAAATCTGAGGTAGCATTCGGTGGAATGGGGAAGAAATTCATGTACCTGAAGTGTAAAAAGAAATTATACTACATGAAAAATCCCTCCTAGTATATCCCTTCCATGTGCAAAATTAACTGAAACAAATAATGTAAAACAAGTTTTGAAAAAAATCAGAGAGATGGGTATTTTTGAATTGGGATTTCCAAGAAGAATCTTACCAATCCAGGCCTTTGTAATAATTATTTCCATTAAAGAACTGAACTTCCTCAAAAGTCTCGGAGCTGTTGTAATTGCTAATTATAGCTGGATGCATGGATAGAAAGGTGTATAATGCTGTTGTACCTGAATAAAAATTAAAGTCTGTGAAGATCTGCTTACTTACTGGTATATACAGAAAAGTGAAGTTCACTATTATTCTGTTAAAAGTTTTATATTAAACAATTCATTTTTTAAATTCGAACAGATTTAAATTGAATTAATATTGTAGTACATGTATTTATTGAAATATACTCACCAGTTTTCTGTGGTCCAATAACCATGAACTTTGGAAGTCTATCACAAGTTTTGTTCTCTGACCAAATTTCTATATGCCTCTTGTAGGAGCAAGGGTTCTGAAAAACAGTAGGTTATTTTTACAGCAAAATTCTTGCTTTGTACAAAAAATCAAAGAAAAAGGCAAGAAGATTGACTTCATGAAATTTTTCTTGGAAAGATATGTTTATCCCTTACAGCCTTTGAAACTTACCCTCCAAACAGGATCTTTTTCTTCAGGGTACATCTCAAAATACTTGATTCCCATTTCCAGTGGTGGTACCTGCTTCAATCTCAGATTGGTCCAACACTGAACAAATTTGATAGCACTCTCAAAGGTGTACAGGGCCAGGCGGTCATTTCCGTAATTGGACATGTGAGTCATGTATATATTGATCTGTAAGCAAATTGTACAAATTGTGATTCATACATGATAAATTATCAAAGGTAAATGTACTTAAAATACATTGCATATTCAAAAACTTCATTTATTCTTTTGATAAATAAATAATGAAGCACTGCACACAATATTTATGAAATACTGGGGAATCATCAGTCTTTGTGGCATACCAATGTTCATGAATTTGGAGGGTCACACTTGACCATGCATTTACATCCCCATGAACTTGTATTTCGTAAACATATCAGTTAACTACTACTACTACTACTACTACTACTACTACTACTGTATCAACAAAACCCACAAAATTACATCCAAACGAACAAGAACATTGACGTCATAAATCTAAACGATTCCACAGAATAGACTTTCTACAAATACGTACAGGATTAAAAAGGAATGTAGCAAAGAGTTCTCCTCCCAGTATGCTGTCATCTAGGATCTGAGGGCCGCCTGGATACTCGTCAAAGTACATAGTGTGTGTGAAGAGACCACAGGTCTGACGTGGTAGTACCTGTCAACAAAGAAAAAAAAGATTCATATTTTAAAATTGCAAAAAAATCTTACAATTCTTTAGATAACACATCAAAGGTAAAATTCTTGAGCAAAACAATTTACCTGCATAAGTATAATAGTAATAACCTTGAATACAAATTTCTAATGGACATGACTTCAGGCATCACTTCTAAAAGTTTCACGCAACTCTGTGACCTTGACCTAGCCTAGCAAAATGACCTAAATTTTCTTTAAAATATATGTTCTACACAGTTCAGTCCTCTCATCAAAATTTGATGGCTGTTTGTTTAGGACATCTTACCATGACGCCCCTGTGTATGAAGCCCCTCCTTCTCCAGGCGGGGTGCAGTCGGGGGTACTCCTCGGTACTGGTCACTCTGATGTCCCACACATTCTTCCAGGCCGTGTACAGCTCCTCATGGATGGGGAAGACACCCGAGTGGAGAGGAGCCACTGCATACTGGTGATGCACAGGAATGTTCTTCTCCTGAAATAACAAAGCATGATCCATTTAAATCTTATGCACAGTAAATCTTGTTGCAGTATAACAGCTAAATTGTATTTTGATCAAATTCATGTAACATGTTCATACAAATCTGCTTCTAGTTAAAGCAAAATTGATTGTTTCAAATTCTGAGGGGTAAAAAGTTTTCAAATAAGAAATGTTCACTGTAGAAGTCTCAAATAGTAGTATTTTGTTCCTTGTCATTGAAGTACAGTCTCAGAATCCACTGAAAACTGTTCAATGGTGAATGTGTTTTGAGGGTTTAAGTTTGCATGGGAATCATGCATGTTTCATGTTTTAAATACCTTGGCGAACTGGTAGTTTTTCAGCATGGACTGCTCAAGCCGTTCTTGCTGGAACTTATGAGAATGTTCATGCTTCCACATGTGACCAAACCACCAGAACTTGTTCTTGTACTCTAAAAAAAAGGAATTAGTCCTCATAACAAACTATTGATTAAATTAAGTCAATCGGAGCACTGAGGAGAGATAGAAATATTGATGAATCTCATCTCAAGTTTTCTCATGCTCTTTTCTTTCATCAGTCATGAAATAAGATAATTGTAACCTATTGGAAAACCACGAATGATTGACATTTTACCCAATATCTTTTTATCTCCTTCATTTTCCTGATCGTCTCCCTTTTGGAAATAATATCCAGAAAATCCCATGTTGAACATAAAACCTTGCACCTTCTCTTGTAGTCGTTCCTGTGCCTGCACCATGGCCTGTCAAATAAATCACAGGCAATTGAAATTTTTCTATAGAAAGCAGTTAAAAGCATGTATAGCTTCCATTCATAATGCAAAATGAGCACGAAACTTTTCCATGAAAAAATTGGCTCAGACAATAAACATAAAAATATGTTTGCATACAATAAATGACCAAATAAACTAGATTATCACTGTATCAGTAATCTTTTGTTTAATCTATTTCTCTGCAATAATTTTCCAGAATGTCAGAAAATTCAAACAAAAAGATTACAATTAAGGGATTCAAAACTATGACAGTTAACACAAACAATCCCCCCTTATTTTTACAGTATCATGAAGGTTACTTGCACCTGAAGGAAAAAAGATGTTATCAGCTGTGTGATATTGATCTGTGCTTTGTTCATTGATATTTAATTTTGTTAACGTTTCCTCTTAATTACCTCCACATCTGGGGCCGTCATTCTGGTCCCCGTGATTCCAACAAAAATATCGTCCACATCCACCTGTATGTATCGATCCAAGGACAGACTCAACTTCCCATGTGACAGGTATGATAGAGCATCCACCACCATTAACCGATGTAACCAAAACCCCAGAGAGTTTCCGAAGTAAACTCGCTTGATCCCATCATGTTTGCCAAGGTCCAGCACTGAGGCCACTAATGTTGAATTGTCTTGTTCGTTTCCTTCCACAAATTTGTTGGGTGCAGCTCTAGCAAAAGCAAGAGGTTCGTATGTGTTGTTATGATATTCAAACACAGTCCAATCGTCGTCTGCCAGGGGACCATCGATTATCTCCCCTGGTCTGGCAATCCTCCACATTTCAGAATACGCATTGAGATGGAAATCTTTAAGTCCCATGTTGTAACGCAAAATTAAAGGAAATCCAGTCACTTTTTCTCTGTCTATTCCTAACTCATCTGCCGAGTGTACAAAAATAATCATGCCAACTTTGTATTCCTTACAGTACTTGTCAATCATATCTCTGTTCCATTGGTCCATTGATAAATAAGCTTCCAGATTCTCAAAAATGATAACTGACCACCGTCCCTTGTCCTGGTGGGTCAGGGGTGGAAGGTGTTTCCCTGTACTTTCAATTTTATATTCGAATCTTGCAAGCTCAAGTGTCTGTGTAATTTGTCGCACCAGTTTGGGATATTGCGACTCGGCGAACACAAGCACCTTTTTACTGATGTGCAAGTTTTCCCTGGAATTGTGGTCCCTTGGAGCAAACTGCAACTTCCTGTTGACTCGACATTGAAACTTGGGTTTTGGTGGGTGTGCCACTTTGCGAACATGTCGGGGGGTCATTAGTTTGTAGGATAGTATGAAAAACGTTAAAAGACTGAACAGTATCACAACTATGAATACCCGCACTATAGAAATCGGCCTGGACTTGTGTCGGAAGCAAGAGGTCTTCAACCTTTCAATATACCGTCTTAAAAACATAGTTTACAACAGAATAAAAATCCCAGTTATAAATAAATAAAAGAAAATTAAGTTCACAACCGAAACAAAGATCTAAATGAATATTCACAGCCAATGATATGCCATAAGAAAAAGATGCAATTCCACACAATTCATTCATCCATAATCGAAAGCAAAACTACTCGGCAAATTCATTTTGACGTGATCCACGGAATTGCCATCCAGATGATACTTTACTTCATTTTCTTCCTATGGAGCAATTCTTCAGTTTCCCACTCCCTGAAATAAATCAAAAGAACTAATGTTATATAACAGCAATAATTGATTACCCATTATTCTGAAAAGAAGCCCAGAGCAGGCATCAAATGTAAATTTAATTACTATACCCCCCAAGTAAAAAAAAAATCATCTTGTTGCCTTTAGCTCATTTTTTCTCCCTTTAATATACATGGGACGATGGAGAGAAAACTGACAAAATGATGTCTGAAAGGGATGGCCGTGTTTGCGGGAATGGAAATAATCATCTCTGGCTCTCACACCAAAAATGGGAGACCAAAATATGTCGAATCAATGTGTGCACAAATCTGTCTAATGACAGTTTCCTTAATATCACAGACAATCGTCACTGATCACCATGGCTGGATTTATTGCTGTATTCATGATTACGATCAAACTTCATTATCCCGTGGCTACAGCGATTCAAATGACAAAAATGCTTCGGAAATATTCATACTTTCTGCTGCAGTGATCAGATTTGCTCTTTCAATACAGAGACCAAAATTGAATGTAAATATGACTTTATAAAATAAAAGTTATAATCTGGTCAGTGTACTCACTTAAAAATTATACTGTAGTATCTACAATATATGACACAAAGAAGAAAAAAAGTTTTGTATATCATGTATATTAACAGCTGACATCCCCACCACATAAATTTCACTTTCATTTTTTGAACTTTCAAGCATGGTACATACAGTTTTAACAAATAAATTTTTTTAGATGGTATTAGATTAAAACCACTGCTAACTCCCTACAACATTTCTTTCACAGGATGTAGTGAAGTTTACAAGAATTTGAAAATTCCTCAACAGCACATCTTAACAGCAGGACAAGGCATGTGCATTAGGCTGGCTTAATTTGAAAGTGGCTGGTGGAAATAGCCTCATTGCTGTTCATTAACAAAGAATTATGAACAACTCTTCTGGGAATATTTCATTCCAGTGGTTAACAACTGTTTTTAACTTAAGTTTTAGACTTCCACATTTTAAAATTATCTTTTTCTACTGGTTAAATCCAAAATGCTGTAGAGAGTTACAACAAATAACCTGTAACTTGTCCAAAATATATAACAGTCAAAATACCTTTTTGAATTTCTCCTTTAAATCCTTTGGATATCAAAATTACCGATTTCTTCAAAAAAAAGATTTTCACAATGTACGTCAACTCATTACTTGATTAAAGAGTAAATATTTACAGTGACCCACACATGATAAAACCAGCATCTCAATGAGATCAACTTAAAAAAAAATTCAACAGGTTCCCCTTATAGTGAATAGCCTACACACTTCCTCTGTCAAGTGGGCCCGGTTACTATATTATACCAGAAGTTACACAGTATTCCCTGAATAGTAAAAGGTGCTAGGAAAAGCGTGTCACATTATCCTATATATAAGTAATTTTTTTGGTCAGTATTTCAAATAATTATAGCCTTCCAACAATTTCCTTCTATTCACAAAACCCACTTACATCCCCACCATTTCACAGAAAGACATGCATCAACTAAATTTACAATAAATGGCCCAATTAAGAGAAATCGAAACATCTCAGTTAATGTCATTTTTATAGCTTACCCTAATTTTTTTTCTGGTTATATAAATGCAGGAAATGTTCCGATGATTTGATTTACAGTAATTATAAGTATTCCCTGCTTTTTTTCTCCATATGCCGGAATTATTACATTTGGGTGTATATACATTTTCCGACTATAGATGAAATAAATACAGGCCCAGATTCAATTTACAGAACTTATTCAATTACCAGGTAAACAATTCAACAACCACTGGCCTCGTAGATATCAATCTAAAACAGGGGTATTTAGAGATTGAATTTCGTCAAGGAACACAGATGGACCTTATGTTTTGTTACGCAGTGGTGCCACAGTTAGTATGGAGAACAATGAGGAAGGTATATCGACGTAACCTACAATCTACATGCAACTACCGATAAAACATTATGGTATACTAATTATACATTCCATTAAGCTGATTAGCACTTACCAAAGTGCCAGAATCTGAATTATATATATTGTATTTTCTGTGATTTATTATCGATGATTTATATGCATTGACACATTGTCAGTTAATTGCTTAAATTTCTGAAGAGATGACATATGCCATATGCTAAAAGATGCTGCTGGGTATAGAATGCTATACAGGTTTACATGCAGAGTATAATAAAAGAAACAGCATCTCAAACTAATCTATTTAAACCATTAGAAAACAAAAAACATAATAGGACAACTAGTCTTATCAAATCTCAATCTATACCAAATCTTGTGAAGAATGAACAAATTTAAGGGGATTCAAGTTGATATTTCAAGAGTATCAGTTACAATTCAAATAAGTTTTTTTCTATATCAAAATAGCTTATAAAGTTGTATATCTCAACAAAATACTTCTAATACAGACTGTGAGACATTAAGCTACACTTCAAAATTTAAGACGTGTCAATGCAGTAGGAATACATTATCATGTTAAAATGTTCTGTAGCACACATATGGCACATAAAATCCACTACCTACCAGTGTATCAAGTCACATAAGAGTCTGTCCAGGATTTGAACAACACACAACTTCCCAATCAAGAAACACTTTTAGAGACTAAATATCAAGGCTTTTGTTTTTTGCTGTTTGTTTTTTAAAAAATATATTCTTGAATCCTTAGATAAAGTCCACTCATCATTCACTGACACTGCCAGTGCAAACACCTGTCATCTAAAGATTCACCTATAACATGAGCTGTATCTGCTACCAGATGTTCATGCAGGAAATGTCAAAAGTACATCGATTAAATACCAGTCCTTGATAAACATATACAAATAATCATAATTTAACCATCCATGATAATTCTCTACATTCTTTTCAGCAATTAATTACAACTGACAGTCCTCTTCTTTATATGTGTACGTGTGAGGATCCATATTTATGTGAAATGGTATTAAACAGCCCAGCTAGTAGGCCTACCTTAAAAGCATTGACTCTTTGTTTCTCCTGATTTGATATACTGTTACATGGACAATGCTTTCACCGCATAAACTGAACTCAAACAACACCAAGCCATCACAATGAAGTAAAAGCCTTGAAAAAAGGAAAGCCACTGTTTTCCCCAAGTTTCAATTCAATTTTACATGATTTTCTCATTAACTGTAAAACAAGATCATTAAAAAGGCTGATATACATTAATGTGCAGGGATATGGTTTAAACCAAAGTAGAAAAAAGAGAGCTTGATTTGGAATAACTTAAATTCTATTTTACTGTACATGACCATCTTGTTAACATGCAGTTTTACAAAATTATGCTTGAATAAAGCATGCATACATCAACCATTTCGTCCCGACATACTGACCCATTATTTCATTTTGACATGTGTATGCGGCTAATTTCAGCATGTTTTAATGCATTTGAATTGTTGATATCAGATAAAGAATTAAATTAACACAGTCTGGTCTGATAGCAATAATACCACCAAGCATGAGTCACCTCACATCCACAGAAATCAGCAAATCTCTCATCCGAGAGAAAGTCCAATCTACTTCAGTAACTTTTTTTTATATAATTGCATGGTGTCTGTAATGCTACCTTGATCCCCCCTAATTTCTGGGGTTGTTGGGGGGGGGGGGGGGGGGGGGGGGGTTTAGGTTCAGAGAAGGCCTCATAGAAGATGTGATTGATTCCTTGTTTGTTTTTGGGGAGGGTGGGTCGGGTGGCAAAGTAATATTTTTGTGCATTATAATATATATATTTAGATGCAGCTATTCACTTTTGGGGGTATTACAGCTCGAACAGAAAACAAGAGGCCCAAAGGCCACGATTTTCCCCCCTAAATATTCCTTTCTAAAGCTTTCTTCACATATCGCAGTCCCAACTTTTTCCCAGGCAACATGATTTGAATAAACTTGAATCTACATTACCCAAGGATGCTTCTATATAAGTATCATTAATCATGGCTGTTCTTTTCTACGTGAAACTTTGATTGCCCATTATGGATACATCCTACCCCTCAGAGCTGTGAATAGAACAATCTTGAATCCATCCTACCTAAGTACCTGAGGATGTTGAAGTATAATTAAGACTAATTGTGACTTGACAATACTTGTGAAGATTTTTAAAGATTTTTTTTTCTTATATGTATTCCTATGTAAAACTTAAATTGCCCATTGTGGCTCCACCCTAGGCTACCCCTTGGGATCAAAGAGATGAAACCATATGCCTCCTTCATGATATGTGTATTGAACAATTTCGTCAAGATTCCACAATAATTAAATTCAAAGTACACTTTATATGCAATTGGCATGTATTCTGGCTCTTCTTGTAAACTTGCAACACACTAAAGTATTCAAGGTTGAGCATAAAAGCTGAGCTGGCAGCCAGCAATTTCTCACCCCCTTTTTGTGGCAAATTCACTGCCTACTTTCTGTAATGAACAATTATTCAATTAATAGTTTTTTATTTAAAGTTATTTCAAAAATAATTATAAAATCTTTGTAAAAATCTTCTTCCTGCAATATTATCACTGGGCTAGAAGATCCTCCCACTTTGTCCAGTTATCACCTACTTCAGATTTTATGAAGAATCCTGATAATTTATTACCTTGCATATGTAACATTTCAATTATTTGCCAATTCGGGTACACTTTACAGTACTTTAAGGGTTTCCAGATGCGCATTTGCATATTCGGGTAGACTTTACTTGAAAAATTAAGGGTCTCCTGATCTGCAACATCTGAGCACTCATTGCACCATGATGTAAGACTTATGTCACTCAGCTGATAATTAAGGGTAAGTCTTGCACATTTTCGGCTATTTAGGGTAAGGGTTAGTCTTGCACCCACCTGAAATTTAGTCCTTGCACAACTTTTCTACAGATTAAAGTTAGTCTCTCATCCAACCCAGAGATTAGGGTTAGTCCTTGCACATGGATTACATTGTATAGCATCCTCCTGGGAGAGCCGGGGAGATTTGGGTTAGTCTTCACATACCATCCGAGAGATTAGAGTTAGTGTCTCATTCTTTTAGATTAATCAAGAAATTCAGTTGCATCTTGAGCTTATTTCAGCTTCAAATTCCTTCAATGACTTTTAGTTGGTTTGTTTACATGAAAAAATGGCTAAGTACAAAAGTACAAAAAAAGAGAAATTAGCATGCCCCACATGTACTTCGTTCACAATTATTTTTTGTCTCCTTTTCACTTAATGAAAAGAATATGTATTACCTTTCTTTAGATAACAAGGTTAAAAACTTGATTCTTAATGTAAACTTCATATTAAACTCATCTTTTAACGGTAGAATTCGATTTTGAGGTCAAAAAGGGTTAAAACCTCTTTTTTTCAAATGTTTATCACATTCTCATATACATGTATATTGAAGTTGCCTATGGTGACACTATATAACGGTATTTTAGCACGTTTTAGTAAAGTTGTTCCGCATATTCGATCTAAATTCATTCATTTCAATATTTTTAAACTGAATTCATCATCGATGTTTAACTGCCATTGGTTAGTATCCATGTTGGCCAATAGGTTACATGGAAAGAAAAGTTTAAAATATTATTCATCAGATTCAATACTTGATATCACGATTATTTAACTTAGCGGAACTCTTTCGCCATGGAGGTAGGAAACATCTGTTGGATGGGGGCAAATGTGCTATCGAATACAATGCAAGATCGGTAATTGTAGAATTCATACGGATAGATAAGTATAAAATCCTGGTGGAATACCTTGCTAAACATTCGCTGAACCAGGCTAATCAATTTTTGAGAAGCTAATCCGAAAATGTTACATTTTTTTAATGATATTTTTAACAAAGCGATCTCTTCTAATTAAATATAAATTTAAAATCATCACATTATAAAAATTAAAGCTGATAAGATATTCTAAATTTTCCTTATTTGACGATCTACTTTTTTTGGAGTTCAATCCTTGGCAATGCATTGTACTTTCGGCATAAAATTGTTCGAATCATTCGTTTGTCACTAGTGTAAACAATGTCAAGTGCCCCAGAAATCTTGCGAGATTTAGAGCTTTCTCGACTCCCCCAATAAAGAGGGGTAGTAAGTTAAATAACTGTGAGGTACTCACCCTATTATGTATCAAATTGACCATTGTTCAATTTAATCTTAACTAGAATCAAAGTATATGAGAAGAGAAGCAAGTAAAATGTGTCAACACAACAGTGACATGCTCTTGTTTTTTGTTAATCTTTTGATTTTGAATTGGATAAAAATTCTCTGTGTCCATCAAATTTAATATTGAAAACAATGGTGTAAACAATGACTGATAGTGTTAGCTTGGGTTCCATATTCAGGTCCAGCACAATACCCCGATAAAGGTATATAGCTTGATAAAGCTATATAGCTTTATCAAGGTATTTAAAATACCTTGATCAAGGTATTTTATGTAATGAAAATTCAAAAAAAATCTTTAAAAATTAATTACTGAAAGTCGAGTTCTGAGTTTTTGACAGTGTGTCTATTCGTGCATAAAAAAACACTCTGGTATCAAAAAGAAGGCATAAAATAACGTCTCCTCACACGACACGTTTTTCTACTGATTTGTTTGTGTTTGAGTACTTTACATGCATGGGTGAATTTACTGACAAAAACTCAGAACTCGACTTTCAGTAATTAATTTTTAAAGAATTTTTTTGAATTTTCAGTACATAAAATACCTTGATCAAGGTATTTTAAATACCTTGATAAAGCTATATAGCTTTATCAAGCTATATACCTTTATCGGGGTATTGTGCTGGACCTGATATTGATGCGTATCAAGTAATATAAGTTATATAAAAAATATGGTCAAAGCCAACGCAAATATTAAATATCTAGAGAGCAATTTTAAGTGTAAAATCTCCTTTTAATCAGAATATGAATATTTAACGGTACACTGTGTACATTCTGCGAATGTGTTAAAGACAGCCATCGTTTCATACCCTTACCGACGATTAAAAAGAGGTTTTATGGCATCGTACCCTCAGAAAGAAGATAAATAACTTCTCACGTCTTGCACCCTAAATTGTTCCATTGTCTTAAACATTTAAAAAACCGATTTACATGTATTACCTGTCAATGCCATGGTTCATTCTATTTTCAGCTTATTCCAATCTTGAATGCGCATGCGCCAAAGGAAGTATATTTTATTTATTGTAAGAGTTATCTTTCTTTTCATAATATGGAGAAAAGTTAATGCATTTGAAAAAAATATTCTTTCTCTCAGTCTAATAAAAATTAGATGTTCCGACGCGGATTTGGAACATCTAATTTTAACTAGACTCTCTCTCTCTCTCTCTCTCTCTCATGTTTTTAAAACCAAAAATCATTGATTACCTTTAAAAGGATTATTGTTCATAAATATTGTAATGAATTATAAATTCAGTTTATTTATTTATTTTTTATTTTAGGTCAAGAAATAAATTCATTCATTCATTCAAGGATTTAAAAAATCAAAGGGTCAGATAATACAGTAATTTACGTTACATTTTTTCGTGTTTTCTTGTATTTATTTATCTATTTATTTATTTTTTATATGATATCTCTCCGAATGATAGGCTGACAACCAACATTGTAAAATGAAAAAAAAAAAAAAAAAAAAAAAGAAATAAATGTACGTTGTGCTCACCTGCACAGATGAACCTTTCAGGTGTACATATTGATTTATTTTTCCTGCATTAGACTAAAAATATAATGAGAAGCTGAACTTCTAAATTGATAGAAACTTGCAGCCTATCGACATCCACTTACATTACATTCATGAAGACACAGAATAGATTTGGGTTTGTGGTTCTGAGGGTTATTTTTTTTTTTATTGATTTATTACAAAAATGTTCAAAGAAAGGCTCCCTCTCTCTCCTCGTTTATAGACTCTAACATCCTTATCTGGAATGTTTGGGTTTTTTTTTTTTTGGGGGGGGGGGGTATTTTATTTCCCGGTGTTGTATTTTCGTATCATGTCGCCTTTCCGATTAAAAAAAAAGAACTGTTTAAGTAATTAATACCATCATACTTTAAAAAAATATATTTGCATTTGCTGGAGCCAAGCGAGACTAAAATCATTGATAATATATATAACCTGCAATAACTTAGAATTTCTAAGAACGTGTTTTAAATGTAGAGAGAACAAATACTATAATAAAACAGTTATTGTTATTTTTTTTTTAAATAAATAGAGATATTTATAATTAACCATGTGAAGAATACATGTACCATATTTACCGAGCTCGAAGGCCGAGATGAATATTGTAGTTGTCATACAGTAATAATAATAAACTGAAAAAAGGCAATACATGTACTTGTAACTGTATACATGTTTGCGAATAATATTTGATGCTCTCTTCATTATTAGATACGAGATATAGGGTACATTTCAAATGGCAATCTGCATGCATGGGCACAATTGGACTGAATCTTTGCGTGAAAACTGTTGTGCACCATGGCAAAATTGGGGTCTTGACCACGAACTCTTCCTTGTGTACTAGAGGGAATAGGTGGAGAGGGATCATCCGATGGGAGTGGATCTATATCACTGATGGAACATCGTGGATTTTTACAAGTATAAAAAGAACATTTAAGGGTGGACCAGAAACGGATCCCAGGCCTCTTCAATAATGATACATTGAATCAACTTTAAAGAAAAAATATTTGTCATTATTTCTAAGAATTTCCTGGACTTTGAACGCCGCAGACACCGACACTTGACGTTTTAAACATTTATTTTCTTAAGAAAAATACTAAAGAATTATTATGGTAAGTTTTATTTATATAGAAAATGCTTAAAACAAATGCCTGAGTTATCACTAGAGTCGTCTTATCCACTAAATAAATGCGGGTGATGACAATAAATGTCGATAAAAAAATACTTTTTCTTCTCCATAAACATATGCATGATAAATAAAACAGATTGTGTATTGAAATATATTTGACCCTCCACTCATCTGTTCTAGAGTTACAAGTAGTTTTGAATCAAGTTCATGAGACTTGCCTAAGTACCATATACAATAATAAAGATATGTACTATAATACAGTCTCTTTATTCAGATTCCTTTGCAAGAATGATTTTTTTCTTCGAAACTGTTTAAAGAAGAGGCTCTTTTTGTAATACCCCTCTTTTACTCAAGCTCTGTGGACACCTTGTAAGAGTTATGTTTCCTTACACGTTTTCTCTACAATCCATAACACAAACTACAGCTTTTTTATTCATAATTTTTATTTTTTATTGGAAATTTTGATATGTTTTGTTTCATATGATAAGCAGTAATATATTTAATGAAGCATGACCTATGTTTAGAATATGACAGCATTTACACAGAATAATGTACAACAAATCTGATATGTACAAAATATACATACACAACTTAACAAATAGCACCTGGTCTGTTGAAAATTTCTCAAAACAGTGGGAAATATTTTAACTATTGCTATATATAGAAGCATATTAGTTTTTATTGGTCAGTTCTGAGAAGTTTTTCACAGAATCAGGGCCTTGAGATCAAATCTTTAAACAAAATATGGCAGTTTAAAATTGGATAACATCAAACAAAAAAATGCCATAAAATGATTTTGTCTAAAATATATATACTCTTAAAAGGTATAAAAATTTGTAGAATATAACATTGATAAAAATGAATTGTAATTTTTTTTCTCAAAGTTTGATTTGTTTTCTTCATAAAAAAACAGTTTTTAAACTAAAATTATTTTTCTTTTAGTACCAAAAAATATTCTCAGGAAACAAATAACATTCAGATGGACGGACTACAATTAGATTTTTAGTGCATAAAAAAATCTATATTGTCCATACTGTGTTATATTATAAAGCAGAAATCGGAATGTTTTAGTTGCATATTTATACATTTAAAGACACTGACTAGTTTACCCTTCACAAGTCCTCAAGTAAGTTTTCTGGGGTAATTTGCTGTTTTTGACATTTACATTTTTCTAAAAATCTCTTCAAAAAAACAAATAATAAAAAAGTATCGAGACAGATAGCATTGCTGCAAGTATTCAAGTTTGGCAGTATACTAGCTAATGCAATTAAACAAAAAAAAATTCACCCCATCAGTGAATATAAATACCAATTTACAAAATGCTGACAATAATTTACCATTTTTTGTCCAAAAGAGACAAAAAAAAAAATAGCACAACAATATCAATATTTTGCAGGACAACCATTTAAAGCTACATCACTTGGTTGCTACGTTTGTGTCTGGAATTGCCTCATGTAGAGCTGACACTTGGCACACAGAGTGTGACCAGGTACCACCCCCCTTTTGCTGCACAGGTTACAAGGATCCTCCCCCAAGTAAATCTCGACCGGTGAGTCGGAACTGTCCCCCTCCTCAAGATCATTGTCTGAAAAAGCACTTCTTGAGAATCCCCCAAGTCTGTCTTCCTCGTCACTCACATACCCCGCATGGAATTCCTCAGGATTCCGCACAAAGCCAAACTCGTCCAGATCTGCAGCCGAGATGAGGGCAATATTGTCACAGAAAGTTACTGACTTTCTCGGCTTGCTTCCCCTGCTTTTCTTTTTCTTGGAGAGTACAGACTTTGGGTGTTCCTCCTGCATGTTTCGAAAGTCAGACTCGGACTTGCTCCTGTGTCTGATGGCCAGACCTTGTGGAGGAGGGGGGTTGGGGGGATGGCTGATGGGGTGAGAGTTCGCGGTGTGATTGTTGTTGACAGTCACACCGTCGAATCTAGAGGCCAAATCTCGCACACTCGGTCGGGCCTCGTTTCCCTCTGATGATCCCTCGGTGGTGGATCCGTGGGGAGTGGGTGCACTGCCAGTGGAACACAAGGGTACTGCCTCTTTAGAATAGTGTCCCTGCAAGGATTGCTGTTCCTGTAAAATAAAATCATCAAATTAAGAAAATGAAACTAAAAATTCTAAATATTGATCAGTCCAAATTATTAAAGCCTTAAACAAGAGGCCCATGGGCCACATCGCTCACCTAAGAAGCTTTGACCATTCTGTTCTTTACCAGATTTCACCCTTGTTATACATAATGCATCCCCACCCTACCCCACTGATTATCATTTAGACATTTTGAAATCTACACTACCCCATGATCCTTCCATGGGCACATATGTTTCAGCTTTTTTGGCCCAGTGGTTCCTGAGAAGAAGATTTTCAAAGTTTTTTCCTATATATTTCTATGTAAAACTTTGATTCCCTATAATGGCCCCGCCCTTCCCCAGGGGGTCATGATTCCTACAATTTAGAATTTACACTACCCCAGAATGCTTCCACATAAGCTTCACTTTTTCTGGCCCAGTGGTTCTTGAGAAGAAGATTTTCAAAGATTTTTCCTATATATTTCTATATAAAACTTTGATTCCCCATTATGGCCCCACCCATCCCCCGGGGGTCATTATTTGAACAATTTAGAATCTTTATTATATCAGGATGCTTCCACATAAGTTTCAGCTTTTCTGGCCCAGTGGTTCTTGAGAAGAAGATTTTCAAAGATTTTTCCTATAAATTTCTATGTAAAACTTTGATTCCCCATTGTGGCCCCGCCCTTCCCCCGGGGGTCATGATTTGAACAATTTAGAATCTACATTATACCAGGATGCTTCCACATAAGTTTCAGCTTTTCTGGCCCAGTGGTTCTTGAGAAGAAGATTTTCAAAGATTTTTCCTATATATTTCTATGTAAAACTTTGATTCCCCATTGTGGCCCCGCCCTTCCCCCGGGGGTCATGATTTGAACAATTTAGGATCTACATTATATCAGGATGCTTCCATATAAGTTTCAGCTTTTCTGGCCCAGTGGTTCTTGAGAAGAAGATTTTCAAAGATTTTTCCTATAAATTTCTATGTAAAACTTTGATTCCCCATTGTGGCCCCGCCCTTCCCCCGGGGGTCATGATTTGAACAATTTAGAATCTACACTATACCAGGATGCTTCCACATAAGTTTCAGCTTTTCTGGCCCAGTGGTTCTTGAGAAGAAGATTTTCAAAGATTTTTCCTATATATTTCTATATAAAACTTTGATTCCCCATTGTGGCCCCACCCATCCCCCGGGGGTCTTTATTTGAACAATTTAGAATCTACATTATATCAGGATGCTTCCACATAAGTTTCAGCTTTTCTGGCCCAGTGGTTCTTGAGAAGAAGATTTTCAAAGATTTTTCCTATAAATTTCTATGTAAAACTTTGATTCCCCATTGTGGCCCCGCCCTTCCCCCGGGGGTCATGATTTGAACAATTTAGAATCTACACTATACCAGGATGCTTCCATATAAGTTTCAGCTTTTCTGGCCCAGTGGTTCTTGAGAAGAAGATTTTCAAAGATTTTTCCTATATATTTCTATATAAAACTTTGATTCCCCATTGTGGCCCCGCCCTTCCCCCGGGGGTCATGATTTGAACAATTTAGAATCTACACTACCCCAGGATGCTTCCACATAAGTTTCAGCTTTTCTGGCCCAGTGGTTCTTGAGAAGAAGATTTTTTAATGACCCCACCCTATTTTTGTCTTTTCTTGATTATCTCCCCTTGCGAGGGGATATGTCCCTTCATTTTAACAATTTAAATTCCCCTTTACCCAAGGATGCTTTGTACCAAATTTGGTCAAAATTGGCTCAGTGGTTCTTGAGAAGAAGTCGAAAATGTGAAAAGTTTACAGACGGACAGACAGACGGACAGACGGACGGACAGACGGACGGACGACGGACAAAATGTGATCAGAAAAGCTCACTTGAGCCTTCGGCTCAGGTGAGCTAAAAACCCATTAAAAATTATTTCACTACATTCCTTCTACATTAAAATTAGCATTAATATTTGAAGTAAATTAATCTTTTAGACATTTACATTCACCATACATTAATAAAATATAAAATTTGTTCAGTTTAAGTTAATATCAAAAAACATTATTTTGCAGATTAAGCTAAGTCTAATTCCAGTGCCACACCACACGTCTAGTGAGAATGCTGTATGATTCGCTGATACATGATGATGAGGGAAAACTGGGTGTCCAGAAAACTGACCAATCATTGCCTTTCTCTGTCCAACTCATTTCCCATAAACCCTTAATCAATGACCATATTCCTACAGACTTCCTATACCAGCATTCAGAAAAAAAGATTACCAATACCTCCAAGAGTTCCAAAGAAAAGATTCTTTATTGTTTAATACCTATCATTTCCCCCTCACTGAAACTACTTCAAGTCGGAGATACGGGTGTCAGAGAATAAAACACAACTCGACAGGAGTCCAGATAAAGCCATCAATAATTAGCAGCATTGACACAACTCTGATCTCAGAGAGAAGAAAAGATTTACAAGACTGGAGAGTTCACCTTTTGTACAGGTGTCACCCAAGTTAATGAAAAAGGCATCCAGCAATTAGAAGACAGTTTTTCTTTTTCAGCGCTTATTTATTAACCTTGTTTCTATTATATATAAAATATTTATAAGTAAGTTCAAAAACCTAATAAGTTTAATATATTTATTTAAAAATTAAAATTTTTAACCAGTAGCAGCAATCTGATAATTGACTTCCAGCACCTGAAAGCATGATACATTAGGCTTTGTTGTTAAATCTTCTGAAAGGTAAATGACATTGGAGAAAATGGAGAACAAATTTACGGAGACCCAAATTAACCCCTCCAACAAAGGAACCTCTGTGTGTTTTTGTTCCTTCTCACTGTGTACAAAACTGAAGTGATGTAAAGGACCTATTTGTCTAGGCTCGCAATCTCAGTATTTACACCTTGGTGTAACAAAATTCGACAAGCCTTGTATTTTAGGTCACCAAGGTAACAGATTACCGTCTTGACTGCCGGAGATACGACTTCAGATATATCATCTTAGTCTTAAGAGTAACAACAGGTTCTGAACAATATTTGTGCTCCGCAACGTAACTTTAGAATAAATGCAGTATCATGTATTTCGCGGTGTCAACAATTACCAATTCAGGAACTGGTAAACAAATCCTGTTACGGCGCCAAGAAAAAATAACATTCAAAGTCACTCGTGCAGAAATACAGCAAATAACGTTTCTGGAAATTTACATAATGACTTGATTTGTATTCCAACCACAGGTGAATTATGTAGGAGCAAAAATAAAATGATGTAGGGCTTTTAACTTGAGCAAAATGTCATTAGAGAGTACCTCATTTATAACATTCATGTCATATATTACTTTTTTCTTTGACAACTTGTCCTATTTTTTAAAGATTACCTGGTAATTACTTTATAATTTATATCATTTTTTTAATATACACTAGCTTTTCCTCAATAATAAAGAATAAAGGACATTTTGCTCTGCAAAGAAAGAAGAAATGAAAAAGCAAGTATTCAGCAAATGAAATCTAAAGTTGTCCCATTTTCCAAGCAAAAAAGTGCACATGATGACTTTAATATTTACAAAGCTCACAACAACTAAAAAAGCAGTCAAGGGGAGATAACCCACAATTCCAAGTTAATAGCCAGAAAACAACCAATGAAATCACATCACAACAGCTACCATTGGCTACTTACTGATGATGTCACATCTTTCCAAGCCACATTAGCACAGTCTGCTAAGGCAAAGTTAAAAAAGAAACGGAACCATGTTAGTATTTATAATACCAAAAAACAACTGTATATATATATGCAGCGACAGTACAATATGCATATAGCCATCTACATACAGAGAAAAAAACTGCACCTGACACCCTTTTCTGTTGGATAATCATTTAGTTTAAGTGAAAATTAGTTAATTTTTCTTTCAAGTTTTATAAAATTGAAAAAGTCACTGGTATTAAAATGCTAATTTAGAATCATACTAGTGAAAGTGAAAATAAATGACTTTTAGGATTCTGTGTTTCAATTTTTTGTGAATTACAGAAATGTTAATGCATCATTAAAATATGATTAATGTCTAATGTAAGAAATATTTTATTGACCTGATCAAAGATCTGTTAAATATTAAAAGGTGGAAATGAAAAATGAAGTTTGAGTGAAAATAACTATTAATTTCAAATTTTCTTTTTAATAGTGGACGTTTATTGCTTTGGGTCATGATTTAATGTCTTAATCTTTCAGATAGAGACAAAGTTTTGAAATGCTCTTAATTTTGTTTGTATAAATGGCATTTTGGAAAGAGAAAAACAAACTTGCATGTGATATATCTCATACATATTTTAAATCTGATCTGAGATAATCTTGCATGAGACAAATCGCACAATACAGATACTGTTATTTTTAGAGATTTAATTTGCTGTTAATACTTAAAGTCAAATTTTGTAGCCTGCAGTTGTGATTAAACAAGGTTTTTAAATTAAACTTGAATGCAATGGGGGATTTGGGACCATGGGTCTCAACAAGAGAGAAGCTATCAAGAGCACTTAATCTTTCGCTTTTTATTAAATTTCAATAAATTTTCTGAAGCATGAATACAAAGAGTGATTTTCAATTAATATGTGGACTATGACTAGGCATTCATTTTTTTCAAAATTGTTTATCATCAAATTAATGGATTATTAAAAATCAATTTTCAATTCTAAAAATTTACATCAACAGGCAATTAAGACAGTTTGAAGTGCATGTATAATACTCTTATTTCGAAATCAATGATAAAAAGTACTGCTCATATAAAACTTTAAAGCCTTAAAAAATTCTATGCTTAAAAAATTCCTTCATTACTTTCTGAATTATTTTTTAGCATTGAAAATTTCTTGCATTAATTTATCATTTGAAAAGTTAATATTTTTTGTCTTTGACATAAGGGGCCAACAGGAACAGGAAGGGTGCTCAGTACCTGTTGTGTCAGGCTGCAGAGAAGCAAGATTCTGACAGTCAGGTTGTGAAGCGTATCTCTCCAGTGTCCGAGTACCGAACACAGAGCTGCGGCCCTCAGAATTGGGGCGCTGCTGAGTGAAGCTGGCATGACGACTAAGGGGGTGCCTAGAACTACTGAGAGTAGCAGCAGAATGGAACTGAACAGAAGATGGCAATGAAGAAGCAATGGCTGGTTTACCAGCCTTGTAGGTCATGGTTTTCTGGTACGGCCCAACACTCCCTTCCTTTTTAGGGGGAGGAAATGCGGAGGTGGTTTTTTCGGTGACCTGGTTGGGTTTAGGTGGCAGCACTGGTTGAGTCTTAGCTGTCATCTGCTGAGCAGCGGGGGAACTACAAACCTCGGGGACTGATGTGGGGGGTCTGGACGTTGTGGTGCTGTAGTGGAGGTACATGTTGGGTTGAGAGTGTACGGCTCTCATTGGTCCAGAGTTGTTGTGAAGTGGCCTGATCTCTGCTACGTTTGTGACAATTTGTGCCTTTGCTGGCATCTGCATCTGGTATTGAGATTCAGAGTCTGTAGAACTACTATCTAAAGGGGTAGGAGTCACTGATCTCGTATTTCGACTTTCACTGACACTTCTTGTCTGATTGCTGGTTTGTGTCTTATTATTTGCTTTCCCTTTTCTTGGAAGTGTCCCGTACACATCTAAACTGTTAGAATTACTTTTCAGTGTCCTATCACTACTTGACGATCTGCTATTTTGACTAGAATTACAAGTCACATGTTTCTGTGAGTTGGTGGAGCTACCACTACTAGGTCTCTCTCCACGATAGTTTTTGTTTTCTATCACACTATCCACGGAATCTCGGGAACTGGACCGCGAGTGGATAGCTGTTTGCTGCAACATTGCAACATTCTGGTTGATGCAGAGATCAGAGGGTTTGCCAGCTGGGTTACGATTGTAGCCATCTTCAACATAGTTTTTACTGTAAAGTGGAAAAATTAAATGATAAGAGAAATGATACACCCAAGCATTGTTAACATGTTACAAAAGGAAGTAGTTGGAATAAATAGGGAAAATTCTTCAGGAAAAATAAAGAATTTACATAAATAGTATAAGGTTACTAAAAAGCTCTTCCTTAACACTGATGACAAGATAAACTTTTACTCTTCGATGAAAAGATAAAAAGACACACACGCAAGTCTGTATAATAAAAGAATATTTTAAGAAAAGAAAGGTCATATACAGAGAGATGTAACAATATTAACATTAAGTAGACCATAAAGATTTTTTGTCTGTTATGATAAATATTAGGTCAGGTTTAAGGTGTTCCCTACCTATTGACAATGAGAGGTGATGAACGAGCACTATCGGAACTCGTGCTGGACGAGTTAGATTCCTGTCTCATCATGGCTGCCTTCTTCTGCAGACTTCGGACTTTCAGAAGGCACGAGTTGTGTTTCTTCTGACCATACGTATATGACTGGGAAGGCAGATTAGGAATCTTTATGGCCTTTTTTAGACACTCTGAAAGAAAATAAAACATCTTTTAATCACAATGTTTATATTTTTTAATGAAAAATCTTTTAACACAGGTGATAATACAAGACCATAAAAAAACATTTTAATAGTTTCATCAGAAATGTGATTTTATTTAATAAAATTGTTTATGATTCACTTGATTGAGTTTCTTTTCTGCTTTCAACCTTTTTTTTTTTGGGGGGGGGGGGGGGGCAAGTTAATTGAGAATGTTGTGTTTTAAAAAGCTAATTTGTAGGCAAGTTTTTTTTTTCTTTACCTATGGCTTGAGAGCAGTGCCTGATGGCCTCTTGGAAATTCCCATTGGTCTCAGCCAGTACACAATGGTCCATGAGATCTTCTGAGGCCTGATAAATGCTGGTGAACTCACTCAAAGAAGCTTGGTCTCCTGAAAGGACAAATACCCCTGAATGTTGATTCCATATCAATGTAATATAATTAGCCTTTCAAGTAGCATGAGCATTCAATTAGAACTTGGTAATTGCTATGTTCAGGTTCAATTATTAAAAAAATTATTTCTCGTTTTACTTTTAAAAATAATTTCAATGGTGACTTTGCATTAAAATTTCATCACGGAAATGAGTCCAGCACAAAACCATTCTGTATGTTATTTTTATCTGATAAAAGGAAAATAATTTTCTTCCTATTGTGAGTGCTTTATGAAGCTTAAAATAATTCAGAAGTCAAGTTCAAAGAAAAATTTGGGGAGTGAGTGTGCTAAATAACTGAAATAAGGCCTCGTGGGGTTAATTCTGATTGGCACTGAGGCATACTCATAACTACACAAATAACTTAAATTCCTTCATAATCACAGTTATTCAAGTCAGTGAAGTTACTAAATTCTTTGATTGTTATCTATTTCTAGAAATGCTATTTCACCTTCCAGCCCTTTTGCTTGTCCCTTTTCCAGAGGGTGGTAACTAGAATTTCCTGACGAGGGGTGGTTACCGGAATGACCGTAGTGACCATCGTAATTATAATTGGGGTGTGTATTCATATCTGCAAATCAAATCAAAAATACAATCATCATTACTACTCATAAAGCCTGAGGGATAATGAGTATGAATTAAGACATACGTAGGACGACAAGTGGAATATTACTGACAATATAGATATTGGGGACTGATTAAGACCTAACCTCTGTCTTTATTGTCTCATAATCATCTTATAACTGTATTGAAGAAAGAAGATTTATCATGGTGGAGACAGAACTCATTAAATGTCGCTGTTTACATTACATCTGGCTTCTTTAAGCTCCGGTTTCTATACCCGCTATAGAAAAATACCCAGGGAAAATCCCCACGAAGCGCTTCACCGGGTATAACAAAATATTGATCTAACCCAAATCTGTAAATGATATAGGGCCCCCACAGAGGTACTTATCCCTTTGTAAGTTTTAAAAGCTGCAATACACTGTGATCCTATTTGTTGAAATTTTACATAGACAGCGCAGTTCTCCTGGACTTGGGGGACAATGGTTCAACATGAGTGAACACCAATACTACGAGTCTGGACACAGGCCAAGACTTGACAAAGACTCTCGCGTGGCAAGGGGTTTAATGTCGGCATCCCACCAACCATCATCAATATCCAAGTATCAGATTTTAAACATCTCATTTGGATAAGAAGACTTTAAATACCCACTTAAAATTCTATTTGCAAAATGAAAAATTTTCACCACATCAAAGACTTCTTTCTCACTGTTCATAGAGACACCAACCTACTATCACCTTTACTGAAAGAGTTTAAGGGTCTTACCTTTGCCCTGGTGTGAACGAACGATGGCGGGGTCATAAAGCTGCCTGGACTGATCAATAGGATTTCCAAAACCATCCACCACTGGATGAAATGGTTTCCCTTTCTCTGAAGTTGCTGGGTGGTTCATATACACTCCACCTTTAGGTCCATTTGAAGGTCCATTGTTATTAGCACTATAGTTATGATGATGCTCATATTGAGACATCACTGTTTGAGGTTCTTGGTAGTTGGGGTCGATAAATTTCCTCATGTTTTCAGCCACGGCCTGTGGGTTGAAAGTCTTTGGAGGAATCATGCTCTTGTTGAGGAAATACTGGGTGTATGGATCCAGTGTTGAACTTCCTGTGGAACTAGAACTGTTCCTGTCACTGCTTCCATAACCAGAATCTCTATGAGATTCCAGGGACAAATTGTCAAACTGGGTTTCTGAGGAGTTTTTGATGCTGGAGTTGTCGGACTCAAAACTTGTGTTGCTGCTCTGACTGGTTTGGCTCATGTTGCTGTTGGTTGAGCCTTGGCGAGACAACTTGGTCTGGTACTTCAGTACACTCTCCACCATTTTCCTATCAATGTATTCATTTGAGTCGGGTGAAAGAGATTTCTTCTTGTCAGGCAAAGGTGGACCATGCTGGTCCTGTTGTGGAACATTGTTTTTCTTCTTCAAAACTCCCGGTTTCTTTTCTGGTTTGGCTGGTTTTGGTGGTTTCTCTTTCTTTAGAGGCTCTCCTGGTTTGACATTCTGAGTGTTGCTCATGATAACTGGTGCTGACTTCTGTCTTTGATACTGTGCAGATGACATCTGATAAATGTGGTTGCTGTTGACTTGGCTGATGATGTCGGAATGCTGACTGACAGTGGAACTCTGACGTGAACTGGCCTCTGAGATCTGACCACTTGAGGTCATGGAATGCATGTCCGAATGTTCACTGACCATGGAATTTTGGCGGGAATGTTCCGTCAAAGTGTTAGATGAACTTTGCCTGCTGTGGCAGGATTCTGTCAAGGTGTTTGTAGAGCTTTGACGACTATGAGAAGCAGAATATTGTCTTGAATTATCTCCAGTCATAGATCCCTGTCTGGAATGATTACCAGCACTTGGTCTAGCGCCTTTCTTATTTCTCGGTAACGTTGCCAATCCAGACTGCACAGGAGTATGAATCAAATTGTCAATATTTTCATAATTGTGAGCCTGAGCTGCATTGGGTTTGGGTTTCATCACTACATGCTGCCTAACATCAATGTGGTCTGCTGAGAGATTAGCAGGGGACTCCTCGTAACTCTGAGAATGGGTCAGTCTTTTGGGTGGGAGGGAGGGTGGGGTAGACGCACCAGTATCACTGTATCCTTGCGAGTCAGAATCAGAAGACGACCTCTGGGGGTCTATCTGATATCGAATCACATCTACTCCTACTTTACCCTTTCCTTTCTTCAGGCTCTCTTTTCTCTGGACTTCACTGACCCTGTTAAAGTTCAATGCTGAATACTTGGAATTTCCCTCTGGAGCATTAAGTGCTGGACGCCTATACTGGTCACTATTGGACAGAGTATATCCATCCACCTGATCCTCCTCTATGACCTCATGCTGGACAAAGCCTCTCTGTGACACTGACCGGTTGTCAGGGTGATAAGCCTGCTCCGACTTCACTTGACCTCCAGGAAGAGGCTGTTTGATTGGTGCATTAGACACTGGTATGGCATACTCCGAATTAACCTTTTTCCCGTTCTTCCCTGTTATTGCGATTAGAAAACTAGGCTGCCTTCTGTGCTCGGAGCTGGGTTGTTTGGGTCCGTCTGCGTCAGGTGAATACTGGTCGGGATTGTGGACCCTGGGGTTGTTAGGATTGATCTGGTCACTGGTCTGAGACACGATGGACGAGGACTTGGACCGTGACTGTTTGCCTCCTTCTGGCCGACTCTCCTTCTCAGTCACACCTGTACAGGTAAAAATGACAAAATTACAGGTATAATACAGAAATAATGAAATCTTTACAAGGCCGCCGGAAGTGGTTTATTACTCATCCAGAGTTTATAGTACGCTAATTGTTTGTCTCTATAATGCTTGAGTAACTAGAAAAAAAAATTGTGATGATCATGGTTCTTTTATTTCTTGAGTTGCTGTCTAGTTTGAATAGATGTGGATCAGTGATTAAAGACATCCACCTTATGTATCAACCAGTTCATCACATCAAACACTAATGACAACCATTCTTCACAAAGGAATACCAAAATAAACGATGATTTATAAGAATTTCAATCATTATCTGAGAAAGAGGTTTCTCAACTTTTCTTTAAAGTTACTCATTGGAAAAACATTTTTGAAAAAAATAAATTGCACTTCACATTTCATTACGGCAATAAGGTCAAGAGCCTAGTTAAATTGAATTCTGTCTCATTAAGACAGTGTCAAGATGAAATAAGACTCGATTAATATTATACATGTGACACATCGCCACACGAAAGACAAACGCTGTCATTTTAAGCCACAGTAACTAATTTCTATTGCAGTATCGTGCTAACTGTCAAGATACAGAGCACACAAAGCATGAGGGCTGACAGGTAAACAGCTGTTTAAATCACCTGAAGAAATATACCACAAAGACATTCACTGTTCACTGAATTTTACTACTTTACTATATCCAAATGACATTTTCTTGAAATATATCTGATCATCCAAGAATGGAAACCTTGTGTTGGAATTGCTGCATCACGCACATAGAGTGCATTATTATTAATTTGACTATACCAGTACTTGTTGAATTTTTATGTTTTCTTCATAAATTAAGTAATTGCATTTAAATGTTTCACTATAAACCTTGCATTTAGGTAATGTCTGCAATTTTTACTCAAATTAGACCTATCAAGTTTCATATAGGCAGGTGTTACTTATATTGCACAGAAAATAAATGCCATGTGCTATGTCATTCAAAAGCCCCCAATGTATATTATTTTACATATATTTATGAAAAATTTAAATCTGTTAGCACTTTCTGCCTGCACCCCAACACAAGCCAAATGCTGTTAATGATTTATAATCAAAGGTATCATTTCAATTGAGGCTTTGTAATATTAATTTAAGGTTGCAAATTTCTTCCAGACTCTTTGTCTGGCAATACCTTTAGTAATTAAAACCGTATCGATTAATAGGAACCTTTTTTTTTGAACAGCCCCGTGATTTCTAATTAATCTCCGTAGGAGTGATTACCAATGTTCAATGAATTATTTATACAAATCCTATATGTGACACTTTGAACATAATCTCGTTAAAAAATCTTTTATTCCTTGATTAAAAAATACATAATGCTATTATGTCTCTCAAGAATAAAAAGACAAACCATTCGTACTATATAATTCTGTTTATAGTGGCTAACAAAAAAGAACTTTAAAGGGGTCAATTGGTTTTCAGATCAGACTACAAAAGACCAATAAAACATAACAAATGGGTCGAAATGCTCCATAAAACTTACGGAACCCCTCATTTATTATAAAAGTAGACCAAAGACAACAACGAAAACCACAATAACGGCACAATACTGACCTTTGGTGGGCGTCCCAAAACCAGGGGCCATAACTCTTTTCTTGGGAGCGGTATCGGTTGAGATGGGACTAGCGTTGGGGTTTGTGTAGAGTAACAGTAGCGGTTGATAGCGCCCTCGTGAACATTTATCAACGACGTGTTCCCACTTTGGTCCAATCTGTTTGAAAAAAACAAAACAATAATAATTAAATCATTTATTCAAATGATATGATTGTGGGTTGGAAATATGCCTCAAAATGTCTTGTTGTGCAGTAAAAGATCTTGATGTACTTTTATGGAAGATATTCATGTGGGGTGATAACTTTATCTTCTCATTATTTTGGACAAGATAAAATGGTTCCTCTTGCTTCAGCGATTTCTGAAGTGACTCTGTCAACCAAACAGAGTAGTTAACGTGTCATATTTATTTCCTTTTCATGAGTACTTAACACCACAATGTGCAAGAACCATAATAAAGTGCTTGCATTTAGATAATAGAGCACTTTATTAATTTTTTTTAACACAACAACATTATATCTTAAGCAATTTTAAAATCCATGTAATATGTAAATTGTGAAATTTGGTGAATATTAATTTTATTTTCTTGAAAATGGTTTTTAGGAAAATGGATATCTTTACAATTTTCAAAGTTGTCTTCAATTATTTACCCTAGCCACATAACCCTACAGATATCTTATTTGCTCAAGAATGATTAAAGTTTTTGACCATGAAATGAGTTGTCCTAATTTCCAGGTGTGTGAGTAGGACGACCCTATACTGAAATAAACACAGGTGCCAGAAATAGGAAAAAGGATTTAATTTCTACACTTTCTAACATATTAGTCTGAAGAATGAGAAAGAAAAGACGTGGTATATGGCCCTCAAACCTATCCCAGGTAGATAATTTAACACCTTTTAAAAGTATGAAAGACACGGACCCATTTATACATGTACCAGTAAATATACCCCTTGTAATACGATCTTCGGAAGTAAATTGAAAATTGTAAATCCTCTCACAAAGCTGGTCGATATCCTGATGTCAGTTTTAATTATTTGAAAAAAAATTATGATTACCCTCTTCCATGCTTTTTTTCTATCAATAAGGGGATGATTTCATTTACAAGTGTTTAACATTGGCTATTATAGGCTTTTATCAGTCATACATTGCACATAAAAAGGCCATTTTTCCTGGTCCGTTATAAACAAACATTACTTATCTCATGTTCAGATATCATTTAAATCATCTAGATAAAGAAATGCTTTTTTTCAATACCAACTGTTAAATTATAGATAATAACTGATAAATAGTTGAGGTTTAAATTTGGGAAAGGCCTAGCAATTGTGGTCAAGAAAAAAATTCCCATTTGAAATCGGAGAAGAGAACATTTTTAAAGCATGATTCTCACAGTCCTTAGACCATTAAATGACAATACTTACTTCGGTTACTGTAGCATCATCAAAGTATTTCCAAATACTGGACTTTGTGTCGTAAACAAAAGTGGAATAATGTTTTCCATAGTAACAGACAACAGCAGACAATTGTAACCGTGGCAACTTGGTGACATCTTTACACATCACAGAGTGAAAGAGCTATTGAAAAGAAATTGCATTTTTTTAAAACAATTAGTCAATTAAAAAAGACAAATATTTAAAATTCTTTTCATTGAAGTAATCATGGGTCATTTCCTTTTCCTTGCTTCTCGTATTTCATAAATGTGTCATTTCTTTGTTTTAAATGTCATTCATTTAATACTTTTATTGAAAAGCAAAAGATAATAACAAAGTCTAGACTAAACAGAATTGTCTATTGATCTGACTATTAAATATCCCCATTACTCAGATATGACAGACAGAGAGTGAACTTACATCTTGCAGTAAAATTGTCGTTCCGATGCAGCGGCAGACATCTGTGATGGTTGAAGTTTCTGGTCTCTCGGAATCCCATACAAGTCCAATACTCACTGAAAAGGCAAAATTTTGTCACATTTTGATTAAAAAGTTCTCAATATCTGGATTTAAAAAGGCAGCAAGATGATGCTAAATTGAAATATTATTCTTGTCTTGTCAACTGAGGATACTAATTAAGGCATTATCTTGAATGTGCTCATGCAATGCAAGCACATGCAGAGTTGCAGACACCTGCTATTGATTTGCAATAGAAGTCAGAGTATGAGTATCGTGCCGGACTTTCATCCACCTTGTACCTTACTGACTTCTGACTTTAAAGCCAGACATTTACGATTTGTGCTTGATGAAGCTGAAGATGAACTCACCAACATCAGGGGAATTAAGCAGAGTCTTCCTTATCTGCACACGCTTTCCGCAGTTGTCCTGGAAACAAGAGAAAGATGATAATTATATGGAGATTAGTGCCATATTCCACTACCTGAAAATCCATTCAATCATAAAACAGAGAACAGGCATTCAGGGCCTTTTATCAGGGGCTGTCCTTTCATTTACCTGTCTGTTTTTCAATTTATCAGGTGAAGCTTTAATTAGTTCTGCAAAGATTTATTAATATTATCTGCTTCTACTCCAGAGGGGCCAATGCTCTCAATGATAATTTTCGCTTACTTGGAGGGGACTAAAAGGTTATTTGGGATTTTCCAATATCTACCTGCATTAACTAGACTCTTCATAAACCTGATCCACTTGTCATAAAAATGTTTACGCTTGCTTGATTCTGAGATGGATTAGCCTATTATCACAAGTTTGCTACATTTCACAAGTAAACTTCAAAATGGTGAAAGCCAGAGTCAATTTACACTTTGTTTTCATGTTGAGGCATTATATGGTCAACTTCCAATTTTTTATCCTAATTAAAGTCATATCACCTTTCCATTCAAGGATATTGAATGACGGCAGAGTTCATGAAAATTAGAATTTTTGCATTTCCAATAAATATGAAAATTTATTTCAGGTTTTCCTATATCTTATGCAGAAATTGCATTATAAAAACTATGCAAATAATCATCATTAGTGCATGTAGTGTCACACTATACCCCGTAACTGCCTATACAGGATATTCTGTTGCTAATTAATATTAATGGCCATTTAATGCCTCCTCTGAGATAGGCAGCTTTAAAATCAAATAGTAAAAAAAAATTGCTTATAAATTTTATGACTTACCGGGCAGTCTCTGATATCGCCTTGTGCACATCCGTTCCTGAGCAAGAGTCCAAAGCGGTCGTTATGTATCAAGTCCCCGGTCTCTTGCATGGATCGATACTGCGACCTGCCATCAATAATAAGATAGAGTCACACCCTGAGGTATCAGCAGCCAATTGAGCCTTGGTAGGCATTAATATTCCCTACTTAACATGTGGCAAAATACACTAAACTAATGGAGATTTCCATAAAAGGCTGATTTGCAATCTAATTCCAATAGCCAAAGGTGTTTCATGTTTATTAAGTGCAACCTTTGATGGAAATCAACTTGTTTAATTTGCATAAACTTCTTTACATTTAGCCATATTAATGTTTTATCATGTGTCCCTAAAAAGAATAGAATAAATGATTTTTATTCTTTGTTTTACTACTAAAAATTGTTGAAAGGAAAATCTATATATTTTTCTAATAGTGTTTCATTAACATGATATTTTTAGCTTCAACTGACAGATTTTTGAAATCAATGATATAGGAAAAACTCTGGGACAAGTTTTCTCTTACAAAAATATTGAAAAAATATGACTCAGACTACTAAATCATTATAATTTAATTGTTAACTTTATGAATCTTTTCATGTCAAAAGGGCCTTTTCACACTGTGCTGAATAAATGCTTGGTTGTAATATAACCCATATATTTGAAGTACCAATTACTAAATATTCTGTCTTTAGAAAAGTTTCACTTTATCAATTTTAAAATTTTCAATCCATCATTTTGTGTGGTTACTTAGGCTTTATTTTGCTCTGACTTGTTATGAGTAACGCATTTCTCCCCACAACTATTGCAACTTGTTTTGCTATAGATCTACTCACACTAGAGCGTTTGTCGTAATGTAATGAACCGTCTCGTGAAACCTCAGGGGCTCTGAACTTGCACCGCAGACACAAACCAACTGAAAGTACAACAGTCAAATCTAGTTTACAGTTTGAACAACGATAGTCCTGTTGGATTTTAAAAATTATAATCAAGCCCTTTGTTATGATATTCAGACAAATTGTTTAGAAAATTTCATTTCCCGCTATGACACTTGAATATATTTTTGGCTGAAATATGATGCCGTGTCAGTATTTTCAATCATTTAATTGTTTTCAATGAAGATTTGTCAGAGCTGTCTAATTAATATATAATTTAGTGATATGATGGTGTAAATTTATCTGTAAAGTTTCATTTTTCAGAGAAAATTGATACCCTATCTGAAAATTTGCATTTTGTTTCCCTAAGTTTCAGTTTCTCTCACTATGCTAATGTTTCAGTCTGTCGCATTTGTAACATATGGATAAAAATCTAATTAAACACCTATAAATGATGTTCTGCTTCATGTATACATCAATTTTACCTGATCAAAAATGGTCATGGTGAACTTCTGGTGGCTCAAACAATGAGGGGCCGAACATGAGTCCTCATGATACGCATTGGCCACGTGAAAATGGATCCTCCTCAAAATATTTTCCTGAAATATTGGATTCATATAATGTGGCTTTGTCAAAACTTGAATTATTTGATTTCTCAGACTCTTTCTGTTTGCTCTGCACTTGAGATTCAATTGCAAGAACAAGTACGTGTCAACATCCCCACATCTGGTATAAAACTATATTTTCATTAAAGATTTCTTGTTTTATGCAACAAATTTCTGATTAGCAATTATTGGACCGGTCGACATGAAAGAAATTGATTAAAACATATGTTACTTTAAGTACATTTGTATTGTAAAATTACTTTTTCTACATGATCAAAGTTCTATGGAACAACAATTTCAGTTTATTCTGCATATGGAAAATTTTACAGATTTTTTTATGCTAAGAAAATTTAAAGATGTTTGGACAATTTCTGGAGAAAATTTATGACTACATCTTGGCTTTAATTAGTCCCATGCAAACAAAAGTTTGTTTAGAGTGTCAACAATCTCAGACTGTAGCAAAATCTAAGGTGGAAAGTTTTCTTGAACTATACTCACAAAACATTCAGCAGCATCGTCCATGTGTCCCAGCTGGAAGCGCTGCTGGTTTGTGAAGGAATCGGCCAAAGCCCTGCGGAGGGCATCAGGAGGCAGTGATGCTTGGTCACTGTATTGAAACTGGGTAAAAATCACCTAAAATGGAAATTAATACCGTTCTGAACGGTGCCTTTATTTCAACCTTTAACTTTAATACATGTACCATAACCAAAATTGTTTTCTAAAAGTTGAAGAAGACAAAGAGAAAATCTAATCGTGTATGCATGAACCCTTTGAATTTGTATTTTTTCTAGCAAATTGAATTATTCTAAGTGGACACTAAAGTCATGAAACTAATGTATATGGAAATCAAGTGCTCTCGGTATCTTTTTGAAAATCCATGTCTGAGCTTACAGCAACTGACCATCTGTCTGATTTAGCTACACCTGTATGTTCTTCCAAATCTCACCTGCCTAAACACAAAAGAAGTACCTATCTTTACAAAAACCTAACGGCAGACTTTTAACACCTATCACGTTTTCTTTTCAATGGGTCAGCTAGCATTTTAATGGACTTGAAAATTAGCTTTCCTTCAGCAATTTCAATTTGATAAGGCTATCCATTACAGGTCTAGCTCAATTAGGAAAATTCATTTACTGCAAGATTAAAAGCTTAAGGGGTAGATTATTTTATACTACACAGATGTCATTTCATTCTTCCTTTAAAAGAAAGTCTGAAGTTCTGTGTGTTTAACCTTTTGTCCATTAGTCTTGACTTTACTGGAAATGTTTATTATAGGACACTATAAAAAAAGAAATCCCCTGCAATGATTTGTAAAAATGTCAAGAAAGATTTCCTAAATTGATAAGCTCAAGGTAAAACAAACAACAAATCCCCCATTTTAGGCCTGCTCAAGAAATTATACCAAAAATCTCCTAAATGGGACATGTAATCTTTAGAACCGATCTGATTTTAAAGGGAGATAACTGTACTTTTACTGCGCAAACTAGGACATCAATCTCCCAAACACCTGATGTTTTAAAACAAAGATCAAAGTCAACCATCTCCTCTTATCTAATCCTGAATCTCTTGAAGAGATGGCAGTTAAAAAGAATTTAATCAACTTGTTTTCTTTTTTTTTATTTAAAGTGGTAGTCTACATAACAGATACTTGAAGAGGTAAAAACAACAGTTTTAAGTATATTGACCAAACAAGGGACCACAAGTACTGTCTTTTTAGTACTCTAGTGGAACAAATCCATGACTTTTAAATGAAATTCTCTTTTGCATCGATGTGTCACCCATTGTTGAAAAGCACCAATTCTTCAATCGAACATGTAACCTGTCTTTGTTTGAATGCGCTGATTTGTAATTGATTCCCACCCCTTGAACAAAAGGAATAAAAGCCTTACTAATGGGCCGGCATGAGTCAGGTGTGTGCTTCCATAAGAATTAACCACAAAGAACTCCGATGTAATATTACGTGGGATTAGAACACCTACGCTACACTCTATACTTATGTTTACTTACATGTTTACCTATGGCAGAAAAACAAAAATAGAGTATCCTGAGTGTTTATAAAACAGACATTTATAAACAACTTCAGCGTGTCATGTTGAAAGACCTCTGACAGGTTCTCATTGTTTAAAACCAACAAGGGGAAGGAAATTTAAATTTATTTTTTTTTCTCGAATGTATATGCCGAATGATTAACCAATTACCTGCATACAGTTGGCAATCATTTCATAGACCCGTAAATTGATTTTGAATGTTTGCTTTTCTTGTCTGTTTTGTCTACCAGGTTCTTGTGTTTATTTGGTTTTTTCCACCTTTCTTTTTCATCCTTAAGTGGATATTTGTTCCTGATCACCTTGGGCAGGTTTACACTTGTGTTTGTTTCGGGGGCCCAAAAGATCTTTTTATGGGGGATGGAGATTTAATGCTTTAGCAGAATTATAATAGGATAAGAAGTCTGTAGTGTGCCCACAAATCGCCCATTCAATGCTGGCTTTGGCCATTATATATTGCATGTTGTGGTCTTGCTGTACTTAAAAACTCTTACTAATAGTCTGTGGCATTGTAAAGATAGGAAATTCATTAAGAGTAATAGCATGTAGCGCCTAATCTTGTGGTAAATGGATGAATGGCTGTAGAGAATTACCCTAGCAGAGAAATATGACCAAGTCTTTTGTCTACCTTTTAATTATCTCAGAGGATGATTACCTATAAAACTGCAAACAATGCTTCTCAACAGGACAATTCCATCTTTAAATAATACATTTGTCGGCCTTTAAGGCACCTGCACACTGCACATGCAGAGAATACATTAAAAGTCTACATGACTAAACTAATTATTTTTTTGCCAACTTAATTAAAGTGCTTACCTTTAGGGCACAGAAGATGCATGAATTTCCCATGCATAAATGACCCGAGAGTCTTCGGTAACTTCGACGAAACACATCTAAATGCCAGAAAACCTGGAATATAAAATTGAAATATTTAAGTGTTATTCAAAATAACACATTGATCTAGCAGTTTTATAATTCTAAGTCTTGCATAATTCATAATTTCATCAATGATTTATAAAATATCAATCAATAATGAAAACATGATAAACTACTACTATATCAATTTAAGATATGAAGGTTAACTTAAGGGAAAAAAGGTATATCGATCAGGGTGGTTAATACTCTTAGAATATTATCTTCCCTTTGGTCTCTTGCTGAAGCAGACTGACGTGGACACAGACATATGCTTTCCATAATTGATGAAAAGATTGTATTGCACATGAGAAGTCTGAGTGTCATTCAGGTAAAATGAAAAGAAGCCATCAATAGCCAACACAAGAGGACAAAATATACCTCAAATAAACCCCAAAAATCAATGGAGCAAGATGACTTCCCAGCTGACGAAGTGAACATAAAACATTTGTTCATCATGTTAATGTTCAAAGACAAATCATTATATTTAAAACATATTACCTTAATGCTCTTGTGACAAACTATCAATGACAAATAAATTAAGGGACTCTGGTGTATTAATTACCTCAGAATATAAATTCACTAAATCAACAAAATGTCCAACTTGGTTAAATTAACCCTTAGAATATTCTCTTTTCTCAGCATTTATAGCTAGATGTACTAAAAAAATCTCCTTGCATTATCAAAACTTTAAACTGACATAATAAGCTCCACCCCCTGCATCCTCATCCTTTGACCTGAGAAACTCCACCCCTTGCACCCTCTGAACCCCCCATTTCAAAGCATACATCCTCAGCATTTTACAATAAGCCCAAAAACCAACAAGAGCAAAAAGATGCTCTAACAACTTTCAGACAAAGATAAAGGCCAAAATCAAACATTGTGAGAAGTGTACATAGGGACCTTGAGCCAACAATACTGCACAAACATCTATTCAGCCTAAGCAAATACTCAAACCAGGAGAGCCTGTTTCCTCCCCTTTATGTCTTTTTGCTTAATGCTGTCTATCCCTGGGATAAGGTAGAGCAAGTTAATCAGAACCAATAGAGTTTATCATGTAATTTTGACAGGTGTCCTCAGGTGAGATCACCGGAAATCCACACCAACACTTTTCCTTTTTTGGACTTTTGAAAATAGGTCAGTTTCAACCTCAAGGACAAACTTTTCATTCATAAATCGTAATGGATTTCCGCTCATTTATTTTTGGTCCTTTATGATAGAAAACTGATGTCATCTTTTGGTACAACCTATTAAATCAAAGAAGAATTTTCATTCATAGGACAGAAAGTCAGTTTCTAAAAATAGACTAACTTTCTGAATGAATTTGTAGAGTTTTGCTTCCACTGACTAATTAATATTCAGGAATCCCATTGAGGAAAGTAAATTGAATGAAATATGAATTTTGCTGAGCCATCAAGGTCACTTTGCATCAGAATCACCTTATTCTTTTCCACAAACATTGTATTGTATATAGTAAATGACAATGTCAGGATAACCAGGGTACTTGATTTTCAAGGACAATATGATTCATGCGGAATCATGCCATATACCCAGTGACTCAGTTTTAGTGTATATAAACTCCAAGAATGACCATAAAAACCAGCTATTTAACTGTCTTGTATTGCCAGTTTGGATGGCACTCTGGTGAAATGTTGTTTCGTTGGAGTGTTTACTCATGATCCTTCAGTGCACTTTGTCAGATGATAAAGGAGGTAAAAGTTCCGTTATCTCTCGCTGTGTGATACGGAGAGAAATTGTCCCCCTTCATTATCACAATACACAGTCAAATGTCCCCATGTTTTACTCAGTTGACACAAGTTATCTCCCTTTTTTCAGGTTATCTCCCTTGGGAAACACAAAGCACGGGGAGGGAGAGGTGATTAGTAAAATGTAACATGTTACAGAAACCTCTAAAGTGACAAAATTTATCTGCCATTTGAAAGCATACCAGACCTTTCTCCTTTTAGAACCCAATATATGTTACAGACACCTGTGAAAATCTTATGACATTACCACCTGAATTATAAATCAAATGCTGTGGGAAAATCTTTATAACAACTAAGATTTTGCCAATAACACATCCAATATATCAGGACTAAATAGATGAAAGCATAACTTTTTAATGAAACATATTAAGCAACATTTTAAATGTGTAAATGTACCGAATTCGGGTAAGGGACTAAGAGCAGCATTTAGGAATAAATTTTTCTTAACTTCACTGAATTTCCCCTTTTTATATATATATACAGGCTGTATAACATCGGACTTAAAACAAATTTATGTTTTTTTGTTCTAATAATTGGTTCTTGTTCCTAATGTCATTTATGAGTTTTTTATGACTCAAAGCATGTACAACATGCCTCCATTGTCATGTTCTGTTCCTAAGGTTGGGGGAGGTACCTTGTTTTCCATTATGGACAATTTGTACTGGTTAGTGTTTTACAAATGTTTTCTTAATGACTGATATACATACACCACTGACATACATTTTTGACAGTTCTACATGCCTAAAATCCAAGCAAATACAACAGTTATTATACTTCCTATTAAAATTGTCCTTCCTAATTTTGTTATCATAAAAATTTATTAACATTTACACCCATTTGTCTATGTTACTTAGCCTTACTAGAAACCCAGACAGTAATAAATGATATGAGTAACAGGCTCCCAAAGACCTATGTTTTAGTGCCAGTGTGGTCCACTTTAAGACCAAGCCTAGTAAAAAAAAAAACTTGTTATGGCCCCTGGCCATGATCTTGTGTTAAACGTTCCAGACGTAATGAAGTCGAGATAGTCTAGGACCTGACAAACTGTTAACATCTCTGCAGGGTACCACAAAACAGTTAGGTGTTTACCCCATAAAGTGAAATTTAAGTGATCCGAGCTATAGATGTTCCTTACTCTTCAGACAATTGAGGGTGCACTTTTCTGGTCCGATGACTCCATTATGGTGCTTCTCCACACAAAAGTAACCTCTTTGAGGATACGACCCTCTGCAATTACATCATTTTCAAATTGCCTCCATCGTGTCTATTCGGGTTTCGTAATTATATCTTTTTTTCCGATGGGAAAAAAGTGTTTCACCTGTAATTTGCCTTTACTTGTGAAATTCTCTAAAGATGCTTTGAGCAATGACCCTATTCCAAATATGTTTTTAAAGTTGCAGCTTTCTTTTAAGTGCAAGAAATTTTTTTCCATAATATCAAACATTAACCTAATTCTTAAATTCTGAAATAGATTGATAGCTTGACATATGTAGTGGGTCAACATCATAATAACTAAACATAATACCATGGAAACCTTCGTCTAACCAGGGTACTTCTACGTGAATACGAAGCACCCTGTCACCAATACTGAAGGCTGTTACAATTTATGACAAATCTAGCTACCCAGCAACCAAAACAAATTCCACAGGAAGCTACCCTGCTATAAGTTAGCCACCTGAAAGGATTTTGAATTGCTCATTTTATATGTCAAGTTTGTTCATGATCAGGATACCAGGGTTATAGAAATGTTTAGTACTATAGGTGTTTTTACTCCTTTGAAAATGGCCCATCACTTGACATTGCAAGGTGTTTGATCTAATTAGCAAGTATCTGGAGAGGTATAAATTCTGTATGGACTCTTCTCAATAAGATCAATAGTATATTGCTTGAGGGTCAAAGTATATACCTTTCTTTTTTTACAATTGAACAATTGCACCCCTAGGAGTCTTAGAACCAGTGCTGACTCTAGGGCAGGACATTGTGTAGAAGGTGTTGAAAGTTAGCACTAACAAATGTGTCATCTAAGCACTTCTTCCATGACACTGGATGATCAAAGACTAGATAATCCTCAAGCTTATTAACTGTCCTTTCACTACCAGGCATATCCCTCATCAAAAAATGTCACTACTCTAGTTAAAAATGTTAAGTATTTCAAGAAATATTATTTTTATTTTTTTTTCTCCCCTGTGCATTCAAGCATCCAGTTATATTGCTACGACATTCAACTAAATCAATAGATATGATCAATAAAACATTATGTACCAGGTATCATTTCACAATCATTTTTACATCTCCTCACCTTTAAACTCTGTTTGAAATATGACATTTTGACCTTGCATAATAATATTAATTAAGCTCCTGATGAGTCCCTCATTGATGAATCAATTCCCAAACAAACTACAAACACTACCTAGGAAACTAAACACACTGTAAATAGCCATGACAATCTTGGGCGGAGAGAATCTATACACCTAACTTAGTCATCCAGGTAAACTACTATTACCAATCACAGCCATCGCAGCTGCTGAATCTGGAACAAAAGCTCTGCAACAGGTGTGTTCGTCCACTCGTGTCTCAAGCCTTTCAATACGGACAATGAGTGGCCATTTCTCAATGGTCAGTCTAAGGACAATGCATTGGGTATTGTGCAGCATTATTTTTCCTTTTTCCCCTCCCCTCTAAAAATGTGTCTTATAGATTTCCATCTTAATTTGATTTTCGGCAGACACTGACGTTTATTCTTTCTTAGAAACCATCCATGCTTATTGACGAAACTCATCACATGGGTCCATATGGTCTTTGAGAAAGTGTACTAAATTTCATAGCAATTATTAAAAAAAGGCAGGTTTATATTTCTTTAAATAGCCCCTAAAACTTACAAATTAAATTTCTGACTAAAGAAAATGATAAATAGCTCCTACCCAGACCTATATAAATCTGTAATCACTTGTTGTGATTTCGATCTCGACAAATGTTAGGGGAGAGATAAAAGGGTCAGATGGCACGAGAGTCCCCCATGGATGTGTTTGCTCCACCAGCACTATCACGATTTTATCTACCTTTTCTTACCTCTGGTCCCTATCTACAATCTAAATAAACCACACAGCACAACACTGTTGCTACCTGCTTGCTAAAAGGGGGCCACGTATATGTAAATCAGTTACTATATCCTCCAAGGATAGGTAAACACAATTTACGGAAGACAAAATCTGAATTTGTAATGGGATGCACAGTAAAAATTTGACCATAAAAATATATTTTTAGCTTAAGTTTATTTTTCTTTTTACACAGAACAGTATATGCAAATGAAAATTTGAGAAGTGTGGCTAAAAGGATTTTACTTGAGGTTTTTATGGACACAAAATTAAAACACACATCCTCTTTCATTGCACTTTTTTTCATTTAACGGTGCTGCATCTGAGGTACCGCAATATATTAATTAAACACATGAACGCACCATTAGAAATTGATAAAGTAGATGTTTAGAATTCTGTAACTACTTACTCTTTATTGTGTAATACTAACAGGAATGTGTCATATCAGACTCAGAATGGATTTACTTTATTCGAAATCATGTACCATCTAACATCCATCACGGTTAATTGGGTTGACATATTACCAGCTCATGCGTACCCTTGCTATTATAAAGCAATAAGAAATCAGGGAGCCCTGTGGTTTTATTTACCAAGAAAATGAATTTTATGACAAATTAAGCAATGCCATGCATACCCCTATAATTAAGCTGTTATGGTACATCTTTCTGTTCTTTAAGCCAGAGCTAATAACAATACTTTAAAGAGACCAAATATATAGGACGTAACTCAATTCTCTACCCAAGCTTTTGTCCTTTGCTGACAAATTGTCAACCCCCTTTATGAGTTTTAAAATTCTTCATAATGCATTATCTGTCTACTATCATATTTGAATTGTTTCTGAAGTCTATGTTGAGACACGATCTGTATTTGCACTATTGTCATCATTGAAAGGCCTTGGCGCTCATGAAGTTACCAAATTCAATTATCATATTGTCAGTCCTCACAAAAGAAAGAAAGAACAAAATATTGTTCTATAATTGTGCAGTCTATGTAATTCCACAGGAATGCATTTTTTGAAGTTATTCATTATTGCCAAGGTTTAGGGTTTAATCATTATCTTTTTTGGCTTGTTTTTCTGATCTCCCTAAAACTGCATCTTGAACAATTGGCAAAAAAATGTTCTAGAAAAAGTGGGCGAATTCTCTTTATCCTGACCAGCAAATAGTAAATTCTACCTGTCGTGAATGTTTGATCTAAATAAATGTACCTCATACAAAACCAATTTTTTTTCTTGTGATGATCTCCCAATATTTGCATACAATTAATTTTTGCCTCCATCTGTCTTGTCTGACCAAACAAATAAAAACTTACAAGAAATTTTCCATAGACTTCATCTGACCCTTTATTCCAGTCTAATGTTAATATTAATGTTTTGCCAGATTTTCTGAGGCTTTTCATTATTTTAGCATCCTTTGTGGCTAATGTTCCTAGGCGAAACCTGAAGCGCAGGTAGCCGAGGAACTCACAAAAGATTGTCTCGGCTTTTGCCGTCACTGATCACTCTAACAGGTTCAGTGACATCCCTGATGGCATTAGTGTTCAAGCATCTAAAGGAGATGCATTAATACATATTGTACCGACTTCAGAAACTCAAAACAGAAATTACCGAGCATGAAACCCAAGCTGAAAAAGTTGAAAAGTTTGATGACCATCTGCCCATAAAGTTGTAAAATTAAAATTTTGGGTCTAACAAGTGTGTCAAATGATTAGCTGCAATTCTAGGTCTGTTCAATGCTTTCACCTGTGCACGCGATTAACTGTTGTCCGGCCGACCTTTCAATTGTCTGGAAGCTCTAAGCATAGGTAACAATACGGCCGGAAACAATGACACTACAGATGGCACCGTTCCAGATATCCGATTGGATGTAGGGGGTTAAATCCCGACTTTGCAGTTGCTCATTAAGTTTTTGTCAACAAGCGTATGGCAATTCTTAGCATGGTGTCAGGTGAAAATGGTCACTTCTGAACTCTGCAAACTTGTTGATTGTTGATATATAGACTTAAAATGTGTAACTTTTTGTTTTCCCTCTTTGCGGTGGTTATGTATACAGATTTAGTCTGACTACAGGTACTTGTAAACTTTAAAAGTTCCCTGACATCAGGTGTAACCTATGTTAATTACAATAACTTACATACATAGGCAATTTCAGGATTACATAACTGCCAAACTTTGAAGAACATAGGATTTATTTAAATAAATAAATGAATCCTTTCAAGCACCTGCCACTGAAATGTCCCTGATTTTATTGATGGCCCAGATAGATATTCCTAATATATGTAAAGCTGCCATCTCTGAAAATCCTCCAATTATCTCACTTATTTCCACTTAAAATTCAATAGATTTGCCCCATCATTTCATCTGAAAATCCTACAATTACTCAATATTTTCATAAGATTATCTTACATAATTCTGCTTTATTCCCTCTAACAGGAATTCCACTGAGATAAAAGGGGCTTAACTCTCCAGTCAGGGGAATTAATGCCTGATTAATCTTCTAATCATACAGCCATCAAAGATACCTACATATTTGATGAGAGTAGTAAATCCCCTTGCTAGACATATATGGTTTGTAGCTTAATCTGATCTTAGGTCTTTCAATAATCCACTATATTTTTTCATAGTTAAACTGGCACAGGACTTGGGGGAGAACTTTTATTTGGATATATGTTTATGATTATGTTTCAATGCAGAAAATCTACAATCCCATTTATCCGTAATCATAAACTTCCTTGCTCCACTCCACCCTGAAGTTGTATAAACTTGTAGGTCATTATAAATCAACAATTCTAACCTGTGATGGCATCTTTTATTATCTACCCTATTCAAACTTGACTATATGTCCCTGTCTGGTATCATAAACAAACCATGTACAGACTTCCTCTATATCAAATTGTAAACTGATACAGTATGTAAATAGACCAAGATGGTAAATGCACACAATATGTAAAATAGAGGTTCCCTTTCTTCCTCTTCCATGATGAACAGCAACCGTGCTCAAGAGTCCACTAAAACAATACAAATCAGGAGCAAAGCAAACAGGAACTTCTTCAAACATTTGAGATGGGATTAGGTGCCATGGAGTAGTAAGCATCCCAGGGAGTAAGCATCTTTCTTACATACATATTAAGGTACACTTATAACTTCATACATGCATACTGACTACACGATCTACAAATACAATACAAAGGTGCACTCACCTGAACAGCACTGTTGAGGAAGCAGTTGTTTTCACCAGGAGCGTTGCGCAGACCTTTGGAGCTGAGGGATATGTTGACATTCCTGTCCAGCGTGTCATACCAGTTAGTGGGGGGTGGGAGATGATTATGATTCTGGGGACGGTTCCCAGGGGGAAATGACTTTGGGGCATCCATTGTTATATTCACTTCAAAATTGATGACATCTCCATTCTTTTATATCTAAAATCTGGAAAAAATGAAAACTTTTAATATTTTCTTATTTTAAATGTGCGATTTCTAAATATAATCATTATTCATTCATTCATTGATTTATAAGCATGTGGTTTATGTGTACATGAATTAAAATTGTTTTCTTATTTTCTGAACATGTATTTCCTGCAAATTGTCCTTTTTCAGATGGTCAGAAAAGATTTTTTTTTTCAATTAATAAAAAAAATCCTTATTTCTGGTTGGTCACCCTAAAGGAAGACGGATAAAAAGATATTCAGACCAGGGTTTTTTTCTTTTTTAAATTAACGGTAATTTCCTCCTGATTTCTAGTATGGCACCTCAAAGGAAGAAGGACAAAATCTCTTTAAAAGACAGTTTTGTTCCTGTTTCAATATTGACCTTTATACTGTCAACTGAAAAAATATTTTGGCAAGATTTTATACAAGATTGATTTTCTTAAGAATCATCCTTCGTTTACGTCCTAATTGATTATACAAGGTAGAGAAGAAAAACATTCAATTTTGTCTCCTATATCCTCAGGGGGGCTGTAAGCCTAACATGAACTTAAAAATCCTAGGTCTTAAAAATACAAGGACAGTTCAAACAACTCTATGTTTTGTATACAAGATTTAATAATATTTATGCTACAACAATTTCAAGCAATTCTTATATTTCAGGAGATACTTTTAAATTTTTTTCGTGCAGTTTCTTCTGAGAAGGAAGGCCTAGCTCACAATTAAGGGCTATTGTCCACCAGTCCAGACATTTCCAATAAAGATCCCTTCTCTTGTCTGATAAATAGAACTTTTATTACTCAGGAGACGATGACATTTATTGGAGAAATCATTTGTTAGCCATAATGTCCATTAATAGTTTCTCAATGTTTGTTGTGCCTGTCTTCAAGGTTGTTGCTATGGTAATTACATTTCATCCAGTTTTTGTATTTTATGCAATGACGTAACGATGTGTTCAGGTAAATTCAATTAATCATGCGAGAGATCGATATGGTACCTTAAAATAGAAGTGAATTGTTAATTTCCCTTTTTCACAATTTTACTGGTGCGTTTGTAAGAATGGCTCTTTGTCATTGACCAATTTATACTGAAAAATCATTTAATTCTATTATAATGCAAAACTGGAACCATCCCTGCTCAAATTCAGGGGGAGAAAACTCATCCCAGCAATCAAAGAATCCCATGCTTTATTTTTAATTTATTGCTTGACCCTTAAATAAATAGACAAACAATATTAATTAATACAGGTCAGATATAAGGTACTGTTCCAATATTTGACAAGGGATAACATATCTTCACGACAAAGATATTGGTCTTTTCTACCCAGGGGAAATTTCTATGTTATCTCCGAATGACAAATCCCTCCTGAAAGATCCAGGTGACAGAGGTGTAGATAACGGTCACTTCCAAAAGGGGGCACTTGTCCAAGCACCCGTCAACTTCTTGCTCAAAGGTTAAAACTAATGGGCCTAAAAACTGTGTAAAATGCTAAAAAACATAACTGATCCATTCTGTCATATTTTCATAAAATTAATTGTTTGAATAAACTTTTGAGTGCAAGGACATGTCTTTTTTCAAAAGCAATCGAAAAAAATACATTGCAGATTTAATTTTGTTATCTGAATTGACAAATTGTGCAGAAGTGGGTCTTGGCTCAAGTAAAGCAAACTTTTAATTCAATCCACGAACTAAAAAAAAAGTTCTGAGTCTCACTATTCAACAAAAAACCAACAACTCAAAGATTGCCTAGCGGAAGGTGACACAGTGCTCCAAGTGACTCACTTTGATCGAGAGACTTCCTCCCTTTTAGATGTGGGTTTAAATGACTTTACCAAAATTTATTTTACCAATAAGGACACTTCTTAAATCAACATTATTAAGCTGCTTCGTTACTTATAAAGTTTTTTATCAAAATCATTACCAAGAACTCTATCCAATAGACCAGGCAGAATCTGCATGATTTCTTGCAAATAATCATTATGCGTCAGCCAACAATGTATTAGGTTCTATGAATTAATGCTTTATTTAGATTCACAGCTTTGTATTTTGAGAGTATTGTTTTCTTAGCTTTATCAATGTTAGTCTCATACATCTTATTAATAGTAAAAACAAAACTCGAAAAGTGTAACAATTCTATTCCACTGTTTAAATCATACTCTCAAAGTTTGCTTGATTTTGTATCAATAGCCATTTTAAAGGTCTCTGGGAAGTATTTGCTTATTATACTGCAGGAAAACCGCCTATCGCAAACTCTCTCTTTATACGACTGTGATTCAGTGAATTTTAATTTTGTTTATGTATATTTACAGCCAAAGCCTCTTTTGTACTGATGCTTGGAGGAAAACTAGCAAAGACGATTTTTCCACGAAGATTACAGAGATGATTAATCGAATCTAAAAGGGAAATTCTGCAAACCACCCGCCTCGATTCTGATTTAATCTACACCTCATAACAAACATGCATTGAAAAGTGAGAGAAAGTCTTGAACTCTGTTTTTTCAATGGATTTATTTTTTGAAAACTGTGTAATTTTTAGACATAAATATACAGATGAGGAGACAAGCTGATTTAATGAAAACATTAAGAGCATGTGTTTCCTTAGAATTTATGCAACAGGTTTAGATAGTTTTTTCTGCACTTTGTCTGAATGTCAATGTGTTGTGCACAATTTTATGTGTCACAATGTCAATGTAATCCTTAAGATTTTAGTAAAGAAAAACCTTAATCAAAAAATGATTTTATTGTATTGTTTTTTTATCAAATATTAAAATGCATACAACTTTAAATATTTTTTTAACACTGAATCTTTTTGCATTTTGCTGATTTTGGAGGGAAAACCTGAACTTGTTCAATAAATCCTTTACTGGGACGCATGGATTGAGATTGCCCTTGTCCTAAATCAATCTATTTAACCAAAAAAACCTGACACCTAGCAATGCCTAAAAAACAAACTGAAACATCCCCTTTCTAGCCAACAAGTAAACCCGGCAAGGTTTTGCATAAAAGGTAGTCCATGTTATGAGAGAGACTTTTATGTGTTTTGCTGTAATCCCATCTTACGGTACGCTGGCCTTTATGTTGGCATCTTGCCCAGCGTAGTAAGATGTATCGTGAATTTGACCTTTTAAGGGGTTCTTCCTCTACACATTGTACGCACTATATACATATGGATATACATGATACGTGAAGTGTTTATCTAGATATTGAAATGGATATGTTAAGAGTGAAAGTGGAAACATTTTAGCACCTGCAAGTTGAAGTTTTTTAGCATCACTATGCAAGAGTAATTTGAGAATAATAAAAAGTTTGTCAACCTCTTTGCTATTATTTTATTCTTTTTGCCTCATCTCACAAAAAAAAAGAAAAAAAGAAAAAGAAAAGACTCTTTTTCATTCCTCGATATCACCTTCCATTACTTGAAATTTCTATGAGTGTTTTCTTCATGCAGTTTAATTAATTCAATTAATATTTCTACCTTTTATTAAATTTTAAAATGAACTTTAGATTTGTTTTCCTAATTGGGTTGAAAATATTATTCAAATGACATGCAGTTTGAGTTTAAAAAAATTATTTAACATTAAAAAAATATATACTTCTCTAACATTTTATGATTCACATATTTCTCATCAAGTGTATATAGTATTCTATATATAAATAATTTGTAAATGGCAATTTTATTAATTTTTTTTTCTCATACTTGTCAATTAAGCTACTCTGCATGTAGATGACTAGTTTGACTACTCATTAACAGGTTATGGACAGGTGTCACAGGTTAATCTACCTAGCAATTACCAACAGCAGGTACATCAAGTAGGTATTGTTCTGCTGCCAAAACATCAAGTAGGTGTGAATATACATTTCATCAAATATTCAAACTCTATCTTTGGTAAGTAAAAATAAAAGAAAATGTTATAAACAATAAAAAGAACAACACCTTTGAAAAATCTTCGAAAGATCAATATCTTCTCAATAAAATCATAAAACATGATTATGCACAGAAAGTTGCAAAATTTTGTCCCTTGGGTATGAAAAAATAGCTTGTAATATTTCTCTTTATGGATTATCAAAGAGTTCCGCCCATCAAATTAATATCTGTATATCTTTTCTTTTATCTTGTAATCCATTACATAATACTGAAAGAACAGCCAAAATACTTCAAAAGATTATCTCTTTGTATAGAGATTTGGGCCTTTCTTCCTGTTTATATTATCTATTGTATATTATAACACCTTCATTGAAATTAACAATAAAATTAAACCAAGTCTGTCAATGAAACCGGCGTCATCAAAGGGATAATTAAAATCGACACCTTTTGTCAACAGACGCGTAGCTTTGGACCCAATTAATTATCCATCGGGAGAGAAGTTAAGTTTATAAGAAAAGAGATATTCCAAAACTAACATAAGATTCATCAATTTTACATTTCGATCATGCTTTTATGGCTTTATAATGCCATACGAGAAAAACTAAACATGTCGAAATTAGTCACAACCCACAAAGCAAGTGCAAACACATGCACGGCATGCATGGAATCAATAATTCAGGTACGAAACAACGATGATTCTGGCAATATTGTAACATATATAAATACATCAATTATTTAATCTTATTTTAAATATTTTATAAGTTAATAAATTAGAAAATATGACTATATTCTGTTAGTAGTAAATGTAAAATTTTCCCGTCTGTGACGTCACTCCCTGTTTACTCACCTGTGATTAGTCGTGTCGCTGTTTGGTATACCTGTACTTTCGACAGTTTTAATAATTTAATTAACAGAATAATAAAATTTATACATACCTTATTTTGTTAAAAAATCCTCTTCAATATGGTTAAAAGTAAAAATTGTTCACAAATGTAAAAATCCAAACACAGGTAAAAATCCACGGGGAACAACACAAGCGGCGCTATCAGGTCGCCATATTCTTGTCAATAGTAGCGGAGTGATTTACAGCCATTGACACCATAGAAAGAAGTCCTATACGATTAGGTTGTGATAAGGTTTACCGATCCGCCAGGTGTAAAAAATATAGTTCCAAATCGAAATATGTGTATTATCTCTACAGACACTATATTACTTGTGCAGAATATTTTCATTTGATTCTGTTTTGTTTTAAATGAAAGTACATACTTTTTGAAGCCTTAATTGATAATTAAAATGTTTAATTGAAAATGAATTGAAAACCCATCCTTTTATTATTGAGACTAAAATATATTTGACAAGGTACATTTGTCTCTCCACACTAATGATTATAATTTGAAAATAAATAGATTAAAATTCTAAGAAATGGAAAATAAAATTGTCAACTTAAATTCTCATATAAGTAAATCCGTCTTTACTTAGTTGTTTCTGTATTATTTAAATTCACATGAATGGACATTTAGGGGAACTTAACACCACTGAATACCCAAAAATAAAGTTGGACTTTTTTAAAATCATTTCTTCTATATTTTGTCGATTTTGGATTTAAATAAAATTGACAGTTTGCAGTAGGAAGATGGTGGGTTATTAAATAGTAAAAACTGATTATGTTCGTGGAATTGCTCTTTAAAATATTAAGTCTACAAATATACTATCTTGAGAATACACCCCCACCCCCCAGTGAAAAAAGATAGGCTTACACAAGAAATTCACAATTTATGGAATTTATTTGGTTTGTTTTTTCAACTCAGATGTCCAGATCTGTCCACACTGCTCAGTGACTCTGAGTGCCGAGTACTAGTATACACGGAAATCATTAATCATGAATACAGAACTAAAGAAAACAGAGAATAATGCCTCCATCCAAGTCCCAGAATTGAACACCGAGTATTGAATGATTAGAGATGATTAAAAAATGTTTTGTGTATCAGATTTGAAGAGAGATGGCTATGCACATCCCAAATAAAGAGTTTATCCAAATGATGCAGGTCTCTTCCAATCTTCAAAACTTTTTAACCTAAGGGATTCTGTCCATATTTTTGAAGAAATCAAACACCCTTTCATATTTTCAGATTAAAAATAATATCTACAAATTACAAATAATCTGAGAAATTGAAATTAATTATATGAAATATAACTTATTAGAGTTTTCCCACTGAGTTTATGTTTATTTCAAATGAAATTAGTACTGAAAAAAGTTTAGGGGTTTCGATAACGTACATGGTAATACTTACCGGGGAATACAAGTTCTAAAGAATCGATACATTGAAAGTGAAAATATTCATTTAAAATTATCGGAATTTGATTACTACATGTACTATGTGAACCTAATCGTCACTAGTTAATACACCACGGGGAGTAACTCATTCTGACAATTTTATTAATGCCAACCAGGACAACGGGAGGTAACTTCACTTTTACAACAATAAAGATAAGACCAATTTTCTTGGTTGAAGAGAGAAAATTTTATTAATTCGATTGCAAAAAGAAAAGAACACATCTAAATTTAATTGAAAAGATCATCGCTATTTTGAAGATATAATTAGAATTATTTTTATAACATATATTTTTTTGTTTTTTAAAGTATATAACAAAAAGCACAATAATGTGCATTGTGATAAAAACGCGGGAAAATGTTCAAGCTTGACAAAGCATAAAATTAAACATATAAAACCATTTAAAGAGATGGCAGAAAATATACAATAAAATATATCACAACATAATAATTTACATATAAAAATTAATTTAATTTAAAACCGGCACACATATTTTTTAATTTTCCATTTTGTTTAAGTTTTAGAGGTATATATAAGCCCGGCTAGCTCAGTCGGTAGAGCACGAGACTCTTAATCTCGGGGTCGTGGGTTCGAGCCCCACGTTGGGCGAATTCTTTTGATATTTTTGCATTTATACAGACCAGAAAATGAGAATCGAACAATTTGACAAAACCTTTTTCGTAACATTTTTTGAAACTTAATTAAAAAAACAGCATCATTTTGTTTAATAATGAAGAACTATTGCATTCCCTTTTCAAACTTTCAGAAATCATTTTTTCACACTACATATTGCAGCCCCCCCCGAAAAAAAATGAAATGTGTAAGTTGTTTTCAGTGTATTATTTCAAGGTGTTACAATAATACTTACAGGAAAGCTGACTAGAATACACAAACAATTAGATTTTTCTTACAACACTCGATTCCCACATCTCCCATCTCGTGAAAATTTGTCTGAAGCGGTCCAGGTGAGCTAAAAATATAATTTGAAGAAAATATAATATTTTCTACATCCTTAAATGAAGGCATTCAATCCCAATATGATATTAGCTACAATGCATGAGATTATTAATAAATTGACTTACATTTTGAAGTTGTAACAGTTCTTCTCGCGATTTGATGAGACGTTAAGTGTCTTCGAAATCATGGAAGATGTACCTTAAATTTTTCTCTGCATGTGTAAACACCCCTGAATAGGAGTAGACCTTGAAGAACACATTAAATTATAGCAATATTTCAATATTCATCTTCATTGTTCTTACCAGATTTCTTCCATGTCAGCTAAACAGACCCCTCTCACGAATAGTGGTTGGACCTTCTGTAACTCGACACTGTGTTTGGTTGGAATCAAGGTCAGAGTTTATACTGGCCGATACATCCATCGTATCCACCATGACAGCAGCCGAGAAGAGTTACATAACTCTTAAACATTTTTATAAATTTCTGTCACATAATTTTGCCGCAAAGTTCTGAACTCTATATAAGACAATATCACTCAAAACTGTTCAAGTTTATCAAAGCTAAAAGTTTCCCAACATTGCACCCGCTGTGTTGGCGGAAGCATTGCATATTGATGCTAAACGAGATATGATGAGGTGTCAGTTGATTACACCACACATTAGTGGCACAGACTACAGTCGAAATGTATTCTATATTTTGTAAATGGTCAATATACACATGTAACAGTTAATTATCATATCAGTACACTGATATTAAATTGTCCGTTTCTTGAAAAAAAAATGTAAGTATATTCTCTCAGTCTTGCAAATTTAACTAAAAAGAACCCTTACTAGCTGCTTACAATTAAGTAGTTCATACAATCGGTGTTGTCTTTGCCTATTCTCTATAATGCAGTTTGTCGACTCTCATATGGACATGTTGAAGAATATCTGAGTATTCATAAAATCAGAATGAACCCAATGAAAACGAAACTGTCCACAACTCCGTACATATAGATGACGTTTTTCGTCGTTGATTCCGATTTGATCACCTGTCTCCTTAATGTACGTATATGTAGTTAATTCCTCCTCATGGTAAATAATGTGAAAAAATTCTGCAAACCTTTAGCTCTTCAGAATTTTTGGTCATACTGAATATTCTTCTAGTTAGCTTTATGTCCCCTCTCATAACTGGTATACTGTTATGTTGTAAATTTTGAATTTACCGGGTGGCAGTAAATACAAAATTTACAAGTTAAATTTTGTATTTACTGCCACCCGGTAAATTATACACACACTGCGTGGCGGGAAAAAGGACAGAGTTAGGTCAACACATCTATCATATAACTAATGGCGACAGTGCAATTGACCAGAAGCATAGTTTTTACCGTGATTTTCCAAAATTCCTCAACGATGCAATAGACACCTGCTGTACTGATGATTATTTTGCATAAAGCTAAGCGATTTTTGTTTATTTTTGTATTTTGGTGTAAATTGAATAATGATAAATACTAATTGGCGCTGTGGAGTTTTCTTTGAACGAAATGTAAAAGCTTTTGTTACACAAAAAGCTTTTTTTTATTTTCAGAGGGAGTGGGATCTTCTCTTGAAAAGAATTTAGTCGTATTCTGTATAAATGTTATACTTTTTCTTGATAAAGAACAGATCATGTAGATATAGCGGCTTTATTTCTATAGGTCCTCAAAATATTCGATTCTTTTACTTTGATTTGAAAGGGGTGATTTAAAATTACTTTTAAGTACATTAAAATAATATATAAGAAAGGAAAGGTTGACTAAACAGAAAAAAAACACTGAGAGAGAGAGAGAGAGAGAGGTGCTCGACTCTGTCATATGATAACCATAATCTTTTTGACAGATAAGTTGGATCATTTTTCATCAGAATGTTGCTCTTTTTAAAAACATTGAGGTATTATTCAATAAATTCAGTACTATTGCGGCCGAGTTGTGTCAAGAGATCTAGAGATGCTAATTATGACTTATCTTGAATATTCTTTGTCAGAGCACAAGGATTAATATGGGAACTCTGAATAATCAAGATCAGAGCTCGGACCAAATTATTTTGATCGCATTACTATCCCATTATCTGTTATAGGCCCATATAATATTAACTGAAAATTAGCAGAAAATACAAATAAACAAAATTTAAAAATGTATGAAGCACAATATTTATTTCATCCATATAACAATTTTGCACACAAAATTGTAAACATGTATAAGTATAAAAAAAAAATTGTGGCAATAAAAATCGATTTGAAGGAAACTCAATATCTATGATAAAAAAATAAAAATTTGGGCTGAGCTAAATGATTAATATAATGCCAACATTAAAAAAAATCTAAATCTTGCTGTAAAATTATACAAGGTTAAAACATAATGTACAGGTAAGTATACTTCCATACGCACTGAAACAATACCAAATATTCAGGGAAGTTTAATGTTTCATAATTACAAAATAATATTATATGAACCCTGCGTACCAGTCTGTACCCTTGGAGCAAGAAGGTTGGAAAAGAGAGAAAACAAAAAACAAAATATGAATTTCTTGGCAAATGGAAAATAAATTCAGCATTCGACCAAGCCTTGAACATATTGATTGTTCAAACAGGCGCGTTTTCCCCCCCCCCCCCCCGAAATAGAATTTTTTGGTTTGGACCAAATTCTTTTCTAAAAATAGACTGTAATTTTTTTCAGGTAAGTTGGCTGCCCGTTTTCACAAATGATAATCCTTGCCTGTCAAATATTCAATAAGCTCTCGAAATAAGACCAAAAGTTATGCAACAATGTACATGTACACAATTAACAAATGGTACTAGTCTTATGGATAACAAACACACACACACACACCCTCTCAAACACAAAACACGCACATATACATACAAAAACCGTCATTTGTATTGCAAGGGGGATGAATGTACAAGATGTCGATGAGTGTAGCAGTATACATGTATTCCACTGTTTCAATGACGATGCCCTATCCCTTACAGCAGAGACATATAAAACCAAGGTTTTATATGTCTCTGCTTAGAGTTTTACCAGTTACATGTATTTTTTTAAAACTGGAAGCTTAAACTTCTTGGTTGAAATTTATATATGATATAAAATTTTAAAAATCCATGCATTTTACTTCAAATAAACAATTTAAAATATGGTCTCAAAATCTACTGCTTGTCCCAAGCATATTGTTACATGTACTTAAAAGTGTGGACAAGCAAACATTCTATAAACTTTCTACATATAGATGCATATATACACTACTATATTTACAGCATGCAAATAAAAGTAGTTAGGGTCTTAATAAGGATGATCTTCATGGATTTCCAACATTGTAAAATCTTAAATGTCGCATTATTATATGATAAATGATTACAATTTGGTTGAGAGGTCGGTATCATTATGTGGCGCGTAACCATTTGTAACCTCTTTCTTTTCTGACAGATCTATTTGTGAAATTTCTATGGACATGTTATGATTTCCTTCGTGTTGTAGCTTCTCATCCTGGGTTTTACAGAACTGTGCAATAAATTCCTCCTGAAAATTTGTTAAAAAAAAGAAAGAAAAGTTAAAATATATATTATTTTTGCTGCACTCTAAAAAGTACGGAAACTTGTAGTTTCACTATCGCGTCATGCTCCATCGAGGTTTGGATAGATTGATGACGATCTGGATCGATGATGGTGTGGTGATGAAGAAATAAGCGATCTGGGGATAACACGATGACAATGATACGTTGTCAGGGCAATGCCATATCGAGGATTTGATAGCAAGATGAAGCGAAAGCGCGATATCGATGACGATGAAACGATTTCAATATCGCGCCTTCATGCTATCGTACCATCGTCATCGCATGTCGCCACATCGCGCCATCAATGCTCGATAGTGAACTACGTGGCCCCATCCAGATTCCAGACAAAATGTCTAATCCTCTCCCCTTCTGGAGAAAGCTAAATAATTTCTAGGATAAGTACTGCATTCTACATGAACCTGTTCAATTTTCATTTAAAAAAATAATGATAATAATAATTCGGAAACAAAATATTTCAATATATTCTTCGTAGAAATATTTCTTCAGATGCAAAAGATTATGATCAAATACTTACATCACCATGCCTAACTCCACATCTCATTTTACGACGGAAAGACTCGGGTAAAAATGGCATAAATACATCAAAAAAGGGACAGATAACTCTAGGATCTATTTGTGACATTCTTTTGTGACCGCCTGAAAATAGACAAAAAAAAACGTTATGTCGTTATAATTGAAACTAATTGAAATCGAACATTTCACGGCTCCTACAAGTCTACACGATATATGGGCAACGGAAATAAAATGTTGATCTACCGATAAATAAAGTAAGTTAAAAGAAATTTTAGTAATCCATACGCATTGTTTGGGAACATGAACGTCCGGACTAATGAGACTTAACTGTATCTAAAGGCCAACGATGATGGAAAAGGGGAGGGGGTGTGAATGAAATTTAGTCAAACCTGTTATAAGACTGACAATGCTGCCAACAAAAAGTACAGTTATCACCGCTAGTCCTGTGTACCATATATATGACATCCGGTAAAGCAGAAAGTAGTCCCTGCCAATACAAAATAGGACACATTTTCATATTAAAAAATAATATCATAACACCCAAGTACTTTATAAAATTTACAGTGCTAAGAATCATTGTTTTGTAGTTACGTTTTCTAGTATTTAAAAGATAAAATATTTCAAAACTTTTGAATGAGATTGAAAGAAATATTTTGAGGTGGTGGGGGTCCAAATACTAGTAATCTTACTCTGGTGGTTTTACCACTGCCGGGTTGGTGCTGGCAAGCACAGCGGAAGTGGTTGGGGCGAGAGTGGTGGCCACTCCCCTTAACGCATTGATGGCTGTCATGTTGCATCCTGCGGTTGTCAGAGGAGACTTAGGGGTAACCACCACATTATTCAGAGAAGTTCCGAGACCAATCCACGCCACAAATGCCAGAGATGTCAAAATACCTACGGTTCCTCCCTATTCTCAATATATTGTACGTAAGAAATTAATTATCATACTTGCAACTTCGTATTCGTGTAAAAACAAAGTAAGGTCAACGAAATAAAAAAAGGTACTAAATTGTTCAAATGGAAAAGGCTGAATATTTTCCAAACGGTCCATCAAACTAATATTAAATTTAAAAAGGCACATGCATTTTTCAAAATTATCTTTTTAAAAATACCTTATTTTTCGATTTTCAAAACAGATAAACTGCTAAAGATTAACATGATTTTCTACTTTATTATCATCGCAATAATATTTCCCTCAACAAATTTTAGCATCCTTCTATAACGTGAAATTTCGGGGATGTCGCCAGTGTGTTAAATATTCAGAGTTGTTCCATTAAAGTATAATTTCATACCCATGCGTTTCCCCAAGGGCACAACATTCCGAAGGTAAACAAACCCAGAAGTGGGCCACCAAGTATACCGAACAGGACGTAGGCCAACTGTACAAAGAAAACCAAATATTTAATAACTCCCATATTTAGAAAAAAAAAATGCAAAGTTCAGTCAGTTTTTATATCATTTCTTTTATATACCTAACAAAATGGTATTTTTTATTGGCTTCAAATAAAAAAAAAAGCAACCTGTTTTTAAAGATTCATAAGAAAAGAGTATACATATACAAGTGATTACCAGTAGTCAGCGATATAAGATTCTAAAACATGTAGGATTTGATATTTTTTTTTTTTATTTGGTTACTGTTTTTTGTAAAATTTTAATATCAGCTCATCGGTGCCATATGCTGAATGCACAAAAATCGAACAAATGTATTTGTTTTTGAGCAAGCATTGCAATTATACCGACTAGCTAACAACATTCATATTTATTATAATGTTTAGCTAGGATTTAAAATTTCATTTATAGTTTAAATAGATATTTTTTTATTTACGTGAAGAGTACATAAATTCTGCTCTTTTGGCAAAATATTCATGCTGAATCAGTTTTCAAATAATCTAAAAATCACCTTTCAAGTTCATGCGCAAAAGATTACATGCAAAACGTACTGGGTACGTTCAGAATTCAAATAAATCTACATTTACATGACTTTTAAATTTATGAAAGCTTGCTTTGTAAAAAGTAAAGTACATGTACTTTATAACTGCCAGTTCCCCACAAATATTTCTAGTGTATAGTGAATGTACTTAATTTAATGTAAACCGTGTATTCGAATCTTGCAGAGAGAAAGATAAACTCACTTAAAAATTAATTCTCGTACATTGACATAAAAATGTTAAAAAAGAAAATTAAGAATTACCTGTAGAATAGCACCAAGCTCTGAGACGAAATACGCTAACGCCAGACAAACTAGACCACAACCCACCACTGTGGAACATTAAAATATCCAAGTCAATATAGCTATTTATCGCATGTTATTCAGAAAAAAATGGAATAAAAATTATTTAAAAAATAGCACAATTGAATAAAACTAATACATGCATACAATAAATATTTTCATTCAATGGCCTAAATATATGATTATTATAAAATAAAATTAAGATGGTTTACCTGTAGCTTTGGAAAATAAGGTAGCTGCACGACCCGAGATTTTCTTACAAAAATATGGCTTAACAAAATCCTCAAGTAGGACAGCGGCCACGGCATTGAGTCCAGATGAAATAGTACTATAGAGAACGCAAATTCAGGTATACAAGAAAAATTGCAGGATTTTTCTCTTCAGAAACTGTCATATGAATTTACAACGACAAAATAATACCTTAAGCTTCCGCTGAAGACACACGACAAGACTAATCCTGGCAATCCATGCAAATGGCCCAACAAATCCATAGTAAAGAGAGGAATCAACTTTGAAAAAAGAAAACAAAAATTCTTATTAATTCTAAATCAACACAGAATACTATGATTCTGGAAATGACCAAGAAGTTCACTACAAGTGTACTCAACTAAAGGGTCGATGGCGCAATTAGGCAATGATGATGAAGCAATGGCGCGATAACGATGATGTGACGGCGCGATGATACAATGACGATAGTGTGATAGCACTTTTGAGCTATAGTGAACATCGCTTCATCGTCATCGTATTATCTAGCTGCAGATCTGTAGCGTTATTGTTTTATATATATGTCTTTGACCATAACGGTCAGAGACAAAATTATAAAACCATAACGCTACAGATCTGCAGCTACGTTTTATCGTGTCATCCCTATTGAACCATCGCGCTTTCGCTTCATAGAGCCATCGCATCAATATCAAATTGTCGCGCCTTAGCATTATTGTCATCGTGTTATCGCACCATCGCTTCATCGTCATCGCACTATCATGTCAACGCCCTATCGACCCAAACCTCGATTTTACGATGAAGCGATAGTGAAATACATGGGTCTATCCGGATTCCAAGGTATACATAGCTTAATTTATTAAATAATATCAATCCACTTACTTGGTCAGTTTTTTTGATAACTCCAATACTGACGGGATCACATGTGGAATAAAATGCATACATAACGACCCCAACAGAACACACAAGAGACAGGATGATAAACATGCCGGGAAAGTTCAGCCATATTGCTCTGAAACGTAAAAGTCGAAGAACTAATAGAAGTGAGAAACGCGATTCTAGATTGACAGATGTAGTGTTTTTTGTACAAACATATTTTTTAATTTTTTTTGTTTTTATACGTTTTTCGTGTTTTAATGTGAGTTTGCCAGACGGTTATACCCTTCAGTATCAACATTTTATATTCGATCTGGAACTGCAACATTTGCCAACGCCATCTTATCAGGAAGTAAAACAACGAATCATTCACAAAAAGGTCGACCATCATCTAATTCACATATGCCCTATCTCCTTCACTTTGCAAACTCAATCCACCTAACTTTGTGGGAGAGGAAGTGCGGACCAACAAAGAAATTGCTCTGACTAGACAATGGACCAAGGCGAGGAGAGACACAATGATGTTGGCCAACAATGCCAACTAATCACTGAATGAGATAACTGATGAAAAATGATCATCATGACATGGAACCAAAAGAACTTTTGGTAATAGGTTAGAAAATGGAACTGTCTTGCCAAAGATAACAATTAGTCAATCAATATAAAAAAAAGAGACAAGCAGATAAGAAAGTTAAAGTTAATGCAAGGTAACTTAGGTATTTCTTTTTTGTCTCAAAAGAAGAGGAAGTTGATAAAATGTCCTCATTAATTCGGTCTCCCTGGCAATTTAAAAACCACAAGTACGCCAGTATGTGATTGGGAAAGGTATGCTAGAACACTATTTGTTCAAAAGTCGCCTTATGAAAACCACCATACACAGCTGTATTAATAGGTTTATATTCTACATATGAACATTGATCGAATACCCCGGTATCACAATGGACCTGCATGGGGTTCCATCAACTCCTCTGAAAATGGAATGGTTGAGGACAGAGAATTTATTAATTGAATGGAAAAGGCCCTAGATTCTAGGATGCTTGGTGTCTACTGCCATAGCAGTTCATCAGGCAACAGAGGTGATGGCAATATCAAGGCCGGATCGGTTTGGTTACACTGTACAGTGGCCAACACACAACTGAATTCAGGACCATTTTGCCATTTGTACTTCCCAGGACGACATATTTTAAATCTTAAATAAATTTTTGCAAGCCGGTTGTACGAGCGTCATACTAGTACAATGGCCTTCAGAACCCGGACATCACTGTACTCAAATTCTCATGAATTCAAATTGAATTTAAACAAAACCATCAAAAACTCTTTTTCATAACAAATTGGCTTTTTGATGTATTTTTCAATGCTGCAGTATTGTTCACGAACACGCACAAATAATAAAAAATTAAAGTTATTCATCAGATTGTAGTAAGATAAACTTTTAGAGCATATATTTTTGGCATATTGAAAAAGATGATTGATAGACGTGTATTAAAGAAGATGAGAAGTCTATTTATAGCTTACGTCCTGGCATGCTTCACTGATGGAACCGATATGGCGCGCTGAACCTGAGCTTGGTTGATTCCGTAAATCGCCATCCAAAAGAATCCACCACCTACGATTACATTCCACGTGGTGTGTCGTACTGAAGGGTCCGGATCAAATCTACAAAGACAGACAGACGGACGGATGTGTTTATTAGTTTTTTCTTCTTTTTAATATGGAACTAAACTGAAAACATATTTCTTATGCCAGTTGAAAGGCGCTTAAACAAGCTTAGATTGCAACCATATACATTACAATATTATTAGTTTTTTTAAAGGACAACCCCAGCATAAGAAAACGGATATAAAATTTCACGTTAATGTAGCAGAAACTGCTTGAAGTTTGAACACGTTTCAAATGCCTATAAGGTAGAAAATCACATGATTTCCGATACTGACTCAAAGAAGAGGATCCGTTGGTTTCTTTCGGCAATATCCCACGCCACATCCAGTCCGCCAAGCTTCATACTTCCGGAAATCAACAAGGCCAACATCCCAGCAAACATAACCAACATTTGGAATGAATCTGTCCACACCACGGCCTTCATCCCTCCCTACAACAGCGAAAACAGTTATCATACTTGGCAGAACAACGACCTAAAAAAAGTAGTTTCATATAATTTACAGAAAATAGCCAGAGGTTTTACGATTCTCGTTTAATTTTTAAAAATATAAATTTATTTCTCTGTCACTGCCAAGATGCAATGTAAAATCGGAGTTCAGATTTTTTGGTCTGCTTGTCTTCCTGCTTGGCTCTCCAACAAAACTTTAACTCTGGCCATAACTTCAGACAGGTTGAGCTATAGGGCTTTCTTGTTTCAAATGTGTATTTTTCTTCTGACTTTTTTTCGAATATCAAGATTTTTGACCTCATGACCTCGACTTACGATTATGATGCATACTGTTATAATTTTAACCTTGGGCATATTTTGAATGATTGGCTCTTGATCTTTCTTATTTCACAACCAATCATTGGATGCCAACATTTTTTACCCCATGATCATGACCTAGGACATTTACGTGTTAATGAAAAACTGTTACCTCGTTTTTGAGCTGCCATTGTGATACGGGGGCATAAGTGTTTCAAAAACACATATTTTTTACTTAATGCAAATTAAACCTAATGCACTTTAAAAGACTTACTAGGGTCGTGTAGAAAATACAGACGAGTCCGACCGCAATTATGGAACCCCATAATGACAATCCTGTCACTGAAATTAATATGAAAAAATATAGCATCGATTTTTTTTACTAGCTCAAAATTAAAACATGACCAATATCATTATGCGTATGCTTTTGGGATTCACTCACCTGCATTCAGGGCTAAGGATGGACCATACAGCACAACTGACATATAAAGCAACTGGAAAAGAATCATTGAAAGAAAAGTAAACAAGACTAATAATCATTGAGTATTATTTTTATGACATCTTAATACTGAAGTTCCGGAGTATAGTCTGAATTTTTCTTATATTTTCTTAAAGTGCACTTCCATCAGAATCGAATCTGTGACTTGCTCCTTAAACAGTGACCTATGAAAATATGAATTGGAAAATAATGACAAAAATTGCGATTGTCTTCAGCAACTGTATCATATATTTAGCTTACCATCCAAAGGAGGTAGATGATGGAACCAACCACGCGACAAATGTGGCCAAAGCGCAGTTCTATATACTGTAAAATTGAAAATAAAAATCCGACATATAAAATATATATACATTAATATACTTATATCGTACATATACTTACAAATAAAGCTGATTTTTTTGTTTCTTTGTTTTTGTTGTTTGTTTTTTAAGGTAAAAATATAACGTCCGAATTTTTTCACTTTCATTAATATACGCTATATGCTATCAATTTATATGTACAAATTGGAAAGTGATTTTAAACTTCGTACATGTACACTGAAAATCATAGCACATGATTGACACGTTCGTTAAAAATTGAAATTAACAAACGATTAATTAAATAATAATCATATGGTTACATTTGCAACTCTTTAATTATAGTTTATTGCTTTGTTTCCATTTGAATTCATACGAAATACATTGTTATGATATGTAAATGTTGGGGGAGGGGGTTTACACTGGAATTTCCATACTTTAGCAAAAAATGAAAATCCCAGTGTAAATTTATTACGCAAATTTATTAGCATCATATAGTGATACGCAGAAGAAGCAAAACCAGTTATATGCAGCAAAATTTTACAAAACCATTCAAATGAATAAATCTCGTGAGACTTTAACAATGGTTATCTGTATGAATTTTTCATGAATACTGAAATATTTTTAAATTGACTTAAGTTTGCAGATATAGGATTTCTGAGAAGAAAACGTGTCCTGTAAATTGAAATCTGTTACATTTCCATGTATTATAAAAAAATAAAGTCATACCAAAAATATTATACAAATGCTGTCTTCATTATAAAGCTATGCAACTCGCCTGCTATAGCATCATTAAACTCAAAGATAAATCTATTAAGATCGGTCAGACAATTTTATGCATACAGTATTTGAATTTCCATCTGCATATATCACTACATGCATGTTTTTCCATTCAAGGATGTAAAGTTTGTCAGTATACAATTTTAATATCTGCTAAATTTAGTAAATAATGCTACTTGACCTGCAAACGCGAGTAACTTTTGCTACTCGTTCTGCAAACGTGAATAAATTTTGCTATGCATTCTGCAAATACAAATAAATCTGCAAGCGTGAATAAATTTTGTAAATTTACTCATGTAAAAGGGCCATTTGCACCTAGTCTAACTAGGTTGTTATGTTTATTTTGGACGAAAAATACTAGTACTCGAATACAAATCTTGCTTATCTACGTTCACATGCGCCAAAATTCATCCGGGTACGGAATTCTAGATTGAGATCTTTTGCAAAAGTTTGGGAGATTTACTGATCTATGAAGGTCTAGCTACCGCATTTCCAAAAATTAGATCAAATCCTTCCGCATCGTACACATGTATACATAACTTTTGCAACAGTAAAGAGTATTACAGCTAGATTTTTTTTTTCAAAATGAAAATTCATCTCAACAATAGTGTTATAAAAAATTAATCCACATATGAATGGAAAATGCCTGGTCAAGGTGAATGTACCTGTTGTATTTATTTTGCTACCATATTATTCACCAGACACATCGATATTGGCGTAAAAAAATCCACTTTGAGATGATGTCTAAATAAAACAGTGATTCGTGTATTTAATAAAGCGACAAAATTTTAATCTACTGAATAAATATTGTATGAGTAGAGGGAAAAAATTAGACATATTCTTTAATGACATTTTAAGACTATGCATAAATTAATAAAAAATTATAAGAGGCCGTGTAGTTTACACGTACCGATTTGTAAGGATTCCCTTGAACAGTAAAAGAAGGGATTAATCATTTTTATAGACCTTGAATAATTGTGTCAATTATTTTTTCATACTTGGCATTGGCTAACAATTCATATTTTAAAATGGATAGACTTACGATTTAAGGAAAAAATTGAAGGGGGGATTGAGTAATAAAAGTTTGTACTTCTATTTGTCGCCCGCGTTGCGCAGTGGTTCAAGTGTCTTCTCTTGAATCGTGAAGTAAGGAGTTGACTGTTAATTACGTCGAGGGTTCAAATAAAATCCCACAAGGGGGCATGGAAAACAGTCGGTCGGATGAAACCATATAAACAAAGGTTCCATTTCCCAGTAGGTGCCGATACGAAAATACCTGTCTGCTCAATATTAATTTGCAGCCCTCCACCCGCAAATGGTGGCGTCTCCATATGAGTGAAAAATTCTCAAGTGGAACGTTTAAACAAAAGATAAATAAGCAAATAGACTTCTATGACATAACGTTTTGAGCACCTTTTGTCCTTTATCAATCTAGTTTTTTTGGATAAACTCACTAACATGTCACGCTCGCTTTGGTCCTATACATCTAAATGTTTTGTTGCAGTCTAATGTTCGTCAGATGAAAAGATCTAATATACTTATAAAATGCTCTTCTTTCTCATCTTGAGGGTTTGCAACAAAGTTGAAAATGGGAAAATATTTTGGCCCTCAAAACATTAAATGGGTGGTGGTGGCATACTTTCTGGTGAAAAAGGTTACTTTCTGGCAGAAAGGTAATGTTATTCGAAACATCAGGCACAGACAGGAAAAACTTTTTGTGGGGAATAACCCGTTTGTGACGCAGATAATGGCCCTAATCGTCGTGTCCCTAGCACTTTCATGACTTTCTCATCTTAAAGAGTTTGTTGTATATTAAGCAGTTGCACTGAGATGAATTTCCGAACAGTAGTGTACCGGTAATTCAAACACGTCTAGACGAGCTATCGGAGGAACAGTCTGGTGCATAAAAATGCAGGTGGTTTTCAACCCAAAGTGTACAAATAAACGTCTCTATTTTCTTCTAAAGTAAGTTGGGGTACATGTATGCAATCAGAGTGCATAAAATCTGAGAACGGTGGTAATTTATAGAACTATACCTGGTATTTCATATCATATTTGTTTGCTTTTGAGCCTCGAAAAAGGGTTTAGTTTTTCGGCTTGCTCTAGGTCTCGTGTGTCCTTTTAATAAGTCGGTATAAAATCTGCAGGAATATAACGCATGTGAGATGTACAGGTCAATCAGTATTCTTTATTTTCCCTAAAATGTAATGCAATGCAATACCTGATCGGTTAAAGATGGGTACATAGTGAATTCGTTCTTGAAATTATAATACATTGTAGCTTCTATAAAAGACTGTTATCTTTTTCGTACTAGGAGCAACCAACATTTTTCATACATTTTTTGATATTCAAAAAATACAGTTGAATACAAATATGACGAATTTCCAAGATATCTCAGAGTCCATCTTACATATATACAATGTACATGTATGTATTTACATGAACTAAGCGAGTTCGTTTATTTACTTTTCGTTGTTTTTTTTTCCAATGCAGCATGTTTACAAACACTTTACCAGGACTTTTGAATGGCTACTTTACATCCGGAAATACTCTATAACCGAGTACGTTATAAAAGAAGATTGCAAATTCATGTACATTGTATTTACTGAACAGGGTACAAGGGTTAGGGTTACAGTAAGTGTTAGGGTTAGTATTAGGGTTAGGGTAAGCTTAAAGGTTACGGTTAAAATAAGAGTACGGGTTAAGCTACAAGGGTTAGGGCCTAGGGTACCTTAGTATTAGGGACTTTAGGGTTACGGTAAGCTTGAGATTACGATTAAAATAAGAGTAAGGGTTAAGCACTTAAGCTTCGAGGATTAGGGCTAGGGTTACAGCGAGTTAGAGCTTGGGCTAGGGTAAGCATTAGGGTTAGGGTAAGGGTAAGCTTTGGGTTAGAATAAGAGTAAGGGTTAAGCTGTAAGGGTTAGGGTAAGAGTTAGGGTTAGCGTTTAGGATTAGAGTTATATAGGGCTATAAATTCTGACCAATCTGATGACCATATAAACTAATGCCCTATAAATTATCATTACTGGTTTTCAAATCGTGAGATGAGCATTTGCTAGTTTTGACATTTTATGGATAAATAAATAAATATTTTTCCGCACCCGATCGTGGAGTCCAAGTTCTACATGATTTTGGGTTCGTTGAAACAAAACAGCTTTTCTAGTCCATTCAACGGACTTTTAATATCAAAAGACCTTAAAGCAGGTAATACATAACTGTGCATGAAATGCCTTCCAATAGTTGCAGTCATTTGAACAAATGTTTCGACTATTACGACAAACATTGGGAGAGGGGGGGGGGGGGGCATCCATATAATTATTCAAAGGAAGCAAAAGGGTGGGGTGGGTGGGGATGGAGGTGTTCGGGAGACATGTATTTATGCAACCAGCAGGTTTGATGCAGGATGTCGGATAATACTTGATTGATCGAAAATAATGTAAATCTCTTCAATACATAGCACGTGAGTATCAGGACAAACATTTTGTATCTGATTCTTGAAAATCTATAATATATTGATAAAAAAAAAATGAAGTAATTTTAACTAAATGTTTTGAAAAGGGTGTTTTATTATTGAAATTAAACGTTCACGTTTCTTTTCTATACATGCAATACTACAGTAAAATCCTTCAGTGTTTATAATAAATAGATTGTCAGCCTTTGACATCCACCTGTGTCATTTAGGGGTAATATATGCCGACCTTACATGTACATACTAAAGGAGACGAGCAGGCGCGTAGCCAGCATGGAAATGATGTGTACGCAGAAAACTGTCGGGGGTCTGGGGGCTGCCCTGCGGCCCCCAGTGGGTCCAGGGCAAAGCCCGGGTGGGAGCCCAGGGGCAAAGCCCCCGGAAGCTCCTGGATTTTACGAAATTTTTCAGTCATTTTCTCGCAAAAGAAATCACGATAATATCACTTTTCTCGAGCAAACACTTTGCTATATAAGTTATACTGCTTCCATTGTTACTTTGGGAATAGAACGATAATTTATCAAATTAATTTACGCATATATAGGTATTGGAAAAAAGTTTCAAAGTGTATCAAGATAAAACAGAGTAGCAATTTCAATATCGTTATCATTGGAGTCGTTATCATTGGAGTTTAAATATTTCAAAATATAAACGGGGGTGTTGTTGTCTTTTGATTACCTTCATATTTGATGACTGAAACGATTCGAGAATGCTTCAATTATAATATAATTCATTAAATTGGTAACATCAGTAAAAGAAGCTATATTATTATTTATTTTGTTCACCATAATTTAAATTGTCTACCGACATTTATTCATTACCTCTATGGAAATTAAAAATCTTGGATAGTCGTCCAAGACCTTTGTAACTTTTTTCTTTCGATCAAAGTCCCTTAGATCGCTTTCCTTATCAAATATTTGTCCGGATAATCATGATTACGCGGATTAACAGTTGAACAGTTTGGTTCAACATTTTTTTTCTCAAGGATGTTGAAAGATGTTTTTGGAATTGATTTTATAAAGGACTAAATTTGAATGTGCAGACATGCTGAAAAAAAATTGAATCGAAACAATAAGACGCAAAATACTTTGAAACATGGGTAGTGCCTCTTTTTCTCTTTCTATTTCTTTTTTTCCTTCTTTTCTGTTATCCCTCTTTCTTTCTTTCTTTTTTTTTGGAAAATGATGTGTACGCACTTGCGTACTTGCGTATAGGCAGCTACGCGCCTGACGAGTGTGTTTTAGGGTTGTTTATTTATTACTTACACATTTTATTCTTTTGAACGACTCCGCACAGCTCATGTAAGTATATAAATATTGTGAAATAAGGATTGTCTATGAAAGAAAGGTGTTTGACACAGAATTCGCGTAAGCACACGTGTCTGTCCAATAATGAGTCTAAGAAAATTCAAAGGATATATATAATGGTTATCACCAGTTCACGTATGAATTAATGAATAAAAAATAAATTTGATTTGGGTGAATCGTTGATTAACATATGTTAATTGTGAGTATAAATATAACCCACCATTCATCTCTGTCTAAGACGACAAACTAATATACGACAAGATTATACATAGAAACGTGGAAAATACACTGGAAAACAATATTGCTAATTTAATGGCATTTTAGATTTGTTTTAAAATAAAACCTAATTTTATAAAGTTGAAAAAGGAGAAAATAAATATTTTCACGAAAATGCCAAGACATATAAGTTTTATTACATATGGCCTTGTTAAATGTGCCTTTTGAAAAAGATGCCACTTAAATGTATAAGGCCATTGGACCAAAATTCTGAGGTGAATATATATTGAAAAGGGTACCAAATAAAGAAGCAGATAAGTTACCTGAAATACACTGGTTATTTCCAGCTGATAGAAGACGGGTACAAAGATGTGGGCGGTTCCTGCGGCTGAGATGATGAACCCGATGGAAATCCACCAGTACATAGTATTATTGGTGTACACCTCGGCCGGGGTACCCAATAGGGTGATGGCGGATATGAAACTAGACAAGAGAGATAATGCCACAGGAAAGGTCTGCATCGATCGTCCAGCCAAAAGAAACTCTTTTTCATCCGTCTTTTTCCTGTCTTTGATGGCATAGTATAATCCAATAGACGCCGAAACCAACAGAGTTAAACCAAAAACTACGTAATCCACAATATCAAACGTCACTTGTTCACGTTGCTCAAAAATATATTCGTAATCTCTTTCCATTTTTGGTAAATTTCAGTGAATTCCTTCAAAAATCTATCTGTAAGAAAGCATAAAATTTCTTATAGCCGTGCGTATGCGAGTGAGCAAAAAGATGTCAAATCGCACCGTTTACCTTTGAAGAATGAATTAGGGGATTTTCCGCAAAAATCGGTCAAGCAAAACGACTGGAGCAAAATTTGACAGTCAATAACGTGTTTGTCACACACCCAAAGCTCTGTCAGGGACAAAATAAACAGAAATGACGGTCAATAGTTGAGAAACCCCGTTAAAATGTTGTTAGTCGCGTCGAAAAGTACAAATGCATACCTGTGTAAATAATATTAAAAGCCTTCACCTTTCCTTAGGTATCCTCAGGATAGATATTTCAATACCACGATAATAAATCATGTTTTCCTAATTGATGGGATAAGAAAGATGTATAGGCACTCATCATTGACATCTAATGGACAAATGGACACTTCTTTCCCACTTCAATATATTTGCCTATGTTTTCAAGCTGATTTAAAGGCATATAAAAACTAAAATGCTACAATTTGGTAAGTACGCCTTCAAAAAAATGACATTTGTCATACGTCTTGCAAATTAGGGATAGTTTTAAATATGGTTTATCATTATGACTGTGAGAAAATTGTAATAATGTAAAAATTAATTAAAACACAGGAGCGTATTTTAATTAGTCAAGGGCCAAGACCAAAAACTGAGAACAGACCTAAGTCAAAATTTCAGTTATAACTTTTGAAATTAATTCTAATATTAATAATAATAACAACCATGCTTTCACAAAGACATGTACTTCGTAATACTACAAACTCGCCCCTTTTAAACCATTTTTTGTTACTACCTAAATTTTAATTTAGATTTTAGTCTATACTTGGGACCAGGATAATTTTTTTTTTATCAGAACACATTAATTGAAAAAGGCTTATTTTAATTGATGACATATCCTCAAAATATGAGTTTGATTTATTTGATAATAAATGTCTACACTGAGCACGGTATTCTTAATGTATAAATTTGATCGATCGTTATTTTTTATTTTTTTCTCTCTTGTTTTACACATGAAAAGTTTTATTGATATTTATGACAAATACTTGGCTCGATTGCATATCTTATAATTTTGTTTACATTTGAACCCTTCTCATAAATTCAGTTATCAGTATTACTTAGAAATCTCTTGTCAAAGATAACATTGTGAAATAAACAAATTTATAGCATCCTAATCTTTATATGCACATATTTTACTCCTTATCTGGGTAATTAATACTTGAATTTCGTTCCTTAAGTAGTATTGGGGGGGGGGGCACTGAGTTCCCCCCTTTTCACACTTTTTTCCAAACATAACCTTTAACTTTAAAAAAAATTTGAATGGACCCCCCCCCCCCATTTTTGTTTCGTTGTAGCATAGTTATGGTAAAGTATTAATAAATTTAAAATCTATTGTGAAAAAAAGTTGGAACATTTCCCCCCTCCGAAAAAGGATTTTCTTCAAGATTGGAAAGTTTTATTTTTTTTCTTGATTATTTTTTTTTTAGAAAAGTTCATTTTTTTTCTCTTATTGGCCCTTTCAAAATCGAAACTACGTGGCTGAAGCTAAAACAATGCTTCTGATTTTAGGACACCGAATTGGAAAAGTCAAACTCGATCATATTACAATTTTCAGTAACAGTGAGATCATCTTTACTAGCCCAGGGTTGCCTATATCACCAGGGTACTCTCCTTAAAGGATCAGAAACCTTGGCCAGTGGAATTTTTTAAAAGAGATATATACCATTGAGTTTAATATCTTAAAATTTTATTTCATTTCAGCTTGACCTAGTATCTTGTTTACCGAAAAAATATAAGATAGGGTCTTTTAATATAATTTCAAAAGATGGTGACGAACAAACAATCCTAATACTGTACTAAAATATTAAGTTCGGTTGCAAAAAATAATCTGTTATCTAATTTATTTTTTTTTTGGACATAAACTTTCAATTGTTTTACTAGAGGAAAAAATGTACGAAATTAAACTTATTTATATACATGTAATTCCAATTGATGACGACCAAAACAAGCCCACTACAGTAACTATAGTTAAAAGTTCCGGTTGCAAATAATAAACTTATCTCTTTGGCACATCAACTTTTGCCCCTAGGAGTCGGATTTACCAAAAAATTTAATTAATTAAAACATGCCTATTGATGTTCCTTTAAAAGGTTCTGTTTAAGAGAAATCGTTTGGTCCTGTTTGATTCACTCCATTATAATCAATCACTTTACTTACAAGTATTTCACTCACCTTTTAATTTTGCACCTGTAAGGTAAATGACCGAAGTAACATCCACCCGCGCAAATTATGCCACGTTTATGACGAGACAATGTTTAAAAGATAGCACTGAAATATCAGTTTATTTTGATAGTATATACATATGTAGTCCTATATCCCGGTGTTTTACGACAAGGATACATATACTATCGGGTTTATTGCCGTTTATTCAACAAAGCCTCTTAAGTTATACACGGCTTCTTTGTCATGTAATCCTGTATAATACATGCTGTTACTGTCGTGGGTATGAATTATCTCCCAGTAATTGGGGTAATAAGCAGCCACAGTATGAATGGACCGTGAAAGATAAAGGCTAGACGTAAAAGGTCAAGGATGAATTTAACCTGTTCAGTTTAAATGACATTAATATCGCTAACTCCTATTTGATTCACAAGGAGATAATAATGAAAAAATAACCCCCCCCTTCTCTCTCTCTGTTTACATTGACAGGTCGCCCATGTAGGCACTAATGGGCGGCGGAACGGGTAAAAGAAAGACGTAAATTTTCAATTTTTGCGACACCTTATTTTCACGAGATATATCCTAATATAAACTCATTCTTTATTAGCGAGCGAAAATTTGAATTGTGGTAACTGCTCTATACCATCTTTAGGAATACTCATGTACGCAAGAAAAATATTTTCGCGATCAAACTGTCACGCGTAATTTATACACAAAGATAAAGTGTTCACGAACAAGAGGCCCAGGGGCCACATCGCTCACCTGAGCACATCGGCTAGGAAGAAGCACAGATCAGGTCAGAACTGAAAAGTTTACTGAAAGGGTTTACTAAAGATGTCTAAAGATAGGTTTTTCCTTTATTTTTCTATGTAAAACTTTGATCGACCTTTGTGGCCCCACCCTATCCCTGGGGAAGGGGGAGGGGGTTTATGATTTGAACAAACTAAAATCTACACTAAGGAGGATGATTCCTTATAAATATCACTAATCATAGCTTTGAAGTACTTGAGAAGAAGATTTAAAAACATTTCCCTATATATTCCTATGTAAAACTTTCATTGGCTGTTGTGGCCCCGCCTTACCCCCGGGGGTCATGATTTGAACGAATTTGAATCAACACTACCTGGGGATGATTCCACATGAGTTTCATCTTTCCTGGCCCAGTGGTTCTTGAGAAGAAGATTTTTACAGATTTTTCCTATATACTCCTATGTAAAACTTTGATCGGCCATTGTGGCCCCGCCCTACCCCCGGGGATCATGATTTGAACAAACTTGAACCTACGTACACTACTTGAGGATGATTCCACACGAACAAACTTGAATCCCCTTTACCCAAGGATATTTTGTAGCAAGTTTGGTTGATATTGGCACAGTGGTTCTTGAGAAGAAGATGAAAATGTGAAAAGTTTACGAGGATAACGACGACGATGACAACAACTACAACAATGACAACGACAGACAATGGACAAATTTTGATCAGAAAAGCTCACTTAAGCCTTCGGCTCTTCTTGTTTAAATGTAAAACAAGAATGTGTTAATACTTATTTCTGTTATGAGTACAATATATTACTTTTCAGTTTCTAAATTCTCTGACCATGACATTGTCTACATGACCCTATAGTTCAGGGTCATGCCATATCCTTCCACCATAAATAACCCCCAGGGCAAGTATTATTTGAAGTTACTAGCCATGATAATGATGCATTTCCCACTCACAATCTCATTTATAGGAAACCCTTTCTTACTTATGTGATAGATATCTTCAGGTCCTATATATCTCAATGGCTACCTTCTGGTCATAAGCTTGTATACATGTAATCTGTAAGTGTTTTTCTCCACTTGAAGTGTGCAATTAAGCTCAAATGATACAGTGTATATATTACTTCAATAAAGTTTGACCAAAAACAAATATTCAGTTTCAGAAAAAAACTTGGACAAACTAGAACTGTCCAAACGGGACAAAATACCCCCGCTGGGTTTTTCAGAAGTAAGTTTTTCCATAATAAAGAGATGTATCAAACATGAATTATGAAATTTTTCTTCCAGTGACCTTGAAGTTCCATAAATGACATTGGGTCAGGGTCAAGACACACCCTTGGGTCATGGGCAATCTTTGTGTGAAATGACAACCTATCAAGTTTATCCATAAGAAAGATATCGACAGGACAAGAATTATGAATTTTTTCTTCCAGTGACCTTGAACTTCCCCAAATGCCCTTGGGTCAAGGTCATGACACACCCTTGGGTCATGGGCAGTCTTTGTGTGGAATGAGAACCTACCAAGTTTATCCATAAGAAAGATATGGACTGGACACACATTATGAATTTTACTTCTGAATTCCAATGACCTTGAACTTCCAAAAATGACCTTGGGTCAAGGTCATGACAAACCCTTAGGTCATGGGCAATCTTTGTGTGAAATGAGAACCTACCAAGTTTATCCATAAAAAAGATATGGACTGGACACGAATTATGAAATTTTTCTTCCAGTGACCTTGAACCTCCCCAAATTACCTTGGGTCAAGGTCATGTCAAACCCTTAGGTCATGGGCAATCTTTGTGTGAAATGAGAACCAACCAAGTTAATCCATAAAAAAAGATATAAACTGGACACGAATTATGAATTTTTTCTTCCAGTGACCTTGAACTTCCCCAAATGACCTTGGGTCAAGGTCATGACACACCCTTGGGTTATGGGCAATCTTTGTGTGAAATGAGAACCTACCAAGTTTATTTATAAGAAAGATATGGACCGGACACGAATTATGAAATTTTTCTTCCAGTGACCTTGAACTTCCCCAAATGTCCTTGGGTTAAGGTCATGACACACCCTTAGGTCATGGGCAATCTTTGTGTGGAGTAGTAGATTCTAATGTCCCTCTGTAAGAAAGATATGGACCAGACACGATTGCACAGACAGACGGACAGACAGACAGCTAGACAGACAGACGGACAAGGTGATTCCCATATACCCCCCCCCAAACTTTTGCGTTTGCAGAGGGTATAAAAAGTGACAGGCAGACACAGTGATTCCAATATGATGCCCTATATTTTGTTATAGGGTGTAAAATAAACCAATCAAATGATTTCCTAACACACCGCTGGCATTCCGACCAACTCCTTGACCTTGTGTATGTAATTCTGGGCATTCTCGGGTAGATCTGAGAAATTTCAAGCTTCAGCTACAGATCCAAGGATGCAAAAAGCTCAGAAGAATGTCTCTGGACAAAATTCTTAATATTCAAAAATGATTTAAATAATTAAAGATATTACAAATTCTTAAATATATGTAAGGAGATCTACATGTATTTCATATGTACTGGTATGTTCAGAGTATATATAAGCAAATGCTGTCAAATATTTGGCCAGAGGTGTACATCACACCATATTGGACTTGCACAGTGACTGGGATGTCCTTTAATCTGTCCATTTTGGAATAGCTATACCTTATCTCCAACTTCTCTTACATTACTACATCACTAAATGCAACTCAATGGAAAAAATCTTTACATACTGGCATTGTGCATTCCTGTTTTACTTTTTGATTAGAAACATATTAGGGGTTTCCCATATAGCAAAACATTGGATCCAGCCATTCTTTCTGTTATGTTGGTGTCACACAATTCTCCATACCCACTCCTCTATGTCATTAAGTATAATTTAAACTTGAACAGAATACTACATTGTTTTGATATAAAGGAGGGGAGGTATTCACTCTGTTAACACAAATCATTATAAAATACCTTAATGAAATTCAATGATGAAGCTTCTACAGAATCTCATTTACTGCCTGGAGATCCAATTTGCCATTACTTTATGTAGGAAGGGGGGGGTCAGTTGTAACTTCAGTGCTCACAGTATCTTGTAGTTTATGATTAAATACAAAAAATATGTTCTTGGCCATTTTGTTGTGAGAATTCATGTATAGATGTAAAATCAATGTAAAAGTGAACAGAATCTGTATAATGGAGTTCATATCACTGTTTGCTGAGATCATCTAATGATTTTGTTTTATAATAAAATGTATTATACATGTACATGCATTTTTCAAGTTGTTTTATTTGCCTGCATCAGATTTCTCTGTTATTCATTAGATCAGTTGCATGGTTAAATTAATCTACTCCTAGTAGTTCAAAATTTTCATTGAAAAATTATACAAGGTACGTATCATCTGAATATGAGTGTTTCAGAAAGACAATAAATATACTTAATCTTTTAAGTATATTTTGATAATGTTTTTCTTGCCATGTTCATAGGCAATGAAATCAATAGTTTATGCCATAGTAGCAAATATGACCTAAATTATCAAATGAAATATCACCATTATTAGCTCTTCTGAGCAGAGGGCTTCGAGAGGTCATCTATGGCCATTTATGTGGTGTGTTTTTATACCCCCAGCTTGAAAAGTGGGAGGGTATACTGTAATCGGTATGTCCGTCCATCTGTCTGTCCGTTTGTCTGTACGTTTGTCCATCTGTCTGTCTGTTATGCTTTGGGGTACCCATCTCTTATCCGCAACTCCTCTTATACCACTGAGCGAAATTTAATGAAACTTTCACAGAATCTTTATTACATATTGCAATTGTGCATCTCCTATTTTATTTTTTGATCCGACACATATTTTGTGTTTCCCGGCCACAGCAAAACATGGACTTTGCCATTATAACCACATGGGAGGCGGGAGGGGGGGTATCATTTAGTGAGCTCAATGCTCACAGTACCTCTAGTTTTTAATAAAGGCCATATATCCAAATCTACTTCATAGTTGAGTTAAATTGATGATTTGTTAAAAAAGATATTTTACCCATTATAAGGACTAGGATTATCAAATCTTGTCAGTTGATGCATCTCAGGACCTTATAGTTCATAGTGATGTACTTTTTAGCTCACCTAGGCAAAGGCTCAAATGAGCTTTTCTGATCACATTTTTTCTGTCGTCCGTCTGTCTGTCCATCCATCTGTAAACTTTTCACATTTTTGACTTCTTCTCAAGAACCACTGGGCTAATTTTAACCAAACTTAGTACAAAGCATCCTTGCATGAAGGAGAGTAAATAGAGTTAAAGTAAAGTGCCAAGTCCTGTCATTAGGGGGAATAATCAAGAAAAGACAAAAATAGGGTGGTGTCTTTAAAAAAATTCTTCTTATCAAGAAACACTGAGCCAGTAAAGCTGAAGCTTATGTGGAAGCATCCCGGGGTAGTGTAGATTCCAAATTGTTCAAATCATGACCCTCGGGTGTTGGGTGGGGCTACAATAGGGAATCAAAGTTTTACATAGAAATATATAGGAAAAAAGATTTTTAAAATCTTCTTCTCAAGAACCACTGGGCCCAAAAAGCTGAAACTTATGTGGAAGCATCCTGGGATAGTGTAGATTTTAAATTGTTCAAACCATGACCCCTGGGGGTTGGGTGGGGCCACAATAGGGAATCAAATTTTACATAGAAAAATATTGGAATTTTTTTTTTAACTTCTCAAAAACCACTGGACCAGAAAAACTAAAACTTATGTGAAAGCACCCTTGGGTAGCATTGATTCTAAATTGTTCATATCATGACCCCTGGGGGGTTGGGCAGGACCACGCTAGGGAATCAAAATTTTATATATATATGAAAAAACTTTTAAAATCTTCTTCTCAAAAACCACTGGACCAGAAAAACTAAAACTTATGTGATAGTATCTTTGGGTAGCATAGATTCTAAATTGTTCAATTCATTACCCCTGGCAGTAGGGTGGGGCCACAATAGGGAATAAAAGTTTTACATTGAAATGTATAGGAAAAACTTTAAAAATCTGCTTCTCAGGAACTACAGGACCAGAAAAGCTGAAACTTATGTGGAAGCATCATGGCGTAGTGTAGATTTTAAATTGTCCAAATTTGATGGTCATTGACACATGGAGTCACAATAGGTATTACAAGGAGGAAATCTGGTTAAGAACAGCATGGTCAAAGCAATTCAGGTGAGCGATGTAGACCATGGGCCTCTTGTTTAAATTTTGCAGGTATTAATTATGTGCCCGGATTGATAGGTCCGAGGCGTATATTGTTTTGTCCCATCTGTTTGACTGTTTATCTGTTTGTCTGTTGTCAACCTTAACCTTCGCCATAACTTTTGAACCGTTAGAGACAGAGACCTCATATTTGGTATGCATACTCAACTAATTAAGCTCTTTCAAATGACACCAAGGTCAATGACCTTGTGACCTTGACTGTGACCTATATGCTAAAAATATTTTTTGGGAACTTTGTTGCCACCAGGCGCATAGTGTTTCACAAAGGCATCTTTTTTTAAGATTAATTTTAATGCATATCTTGGACATTATGATGCCACTGATCTTCAAAACTTGTCAGCTGATGCGTCTTTGGGCCTTGAAGTGTGTCAACTAAAAGTTTGGTCACCATGAACCATTTTGTGAATTTTATGAATAACCTTGTTCTATAGCATTTAGCTCATCATTTCACATGCTGAAGTTTACAACCGTTCAGCCTTGTAAGTTGTACCATCACAGTAGCTCAGTTGATAAAGAGTTTGCTCCCTGATCAGGGTCCTGGGTTCAATCCCTGGAATCAACTAACCTAAGTTGATAAAAATAGGTAGCAAGTGTTCCTTTGCTAAGCACTAGGCACTGTGAATTGAAAGTTGCAGGTTCTTTGAATAATACTTTAACACCCCAAGCCCTGTGTCAGAGCAGGCATTGACATCCCGGACTCTGCAGTAAAAGATCTCTAACTGTTCAATGACCTCAAGTGCTGAGTAAAGGTCTAAATCTGAAGCCATTTGATGGTATGTGATGACATCTCTATATAGTGTAAAAAAAAATCTCTAATGGGAGGGATGTTAACAACCAACTACCTTGTAAGTTGATGTACCTTGGAGTCTTGAAATGTTTCTTAGAAAGTCTGATCATAGTTACCTAGTTTCTGAATTTTTCAGGTATTTATTTACGAATTGATTTTGATGTAATTCTATACGTTGGACACTGCAAAGTTTGGGATCATCATCCTTGTCAGCTGACACGTCCTAAGGTCTCGGAGTATATTAGCAAAAACATATATAATTTTTATTTTACTAAATTATGAATAGAGTGCCACTCTTATACACCAGAACCATGACAATCACTTTACCCTGACCATATTCACAATAACCCCCTTCCACTTTTTTTAATGGGTTTGAAGCATTTTAAAAAATATAGAGCTTTTTAAAACTTGTAACGTTTGTCTCTGTTATATAGTATAACAACATGAATTATATCCATACCTCAAAGCAAAGATCATTTATCTCTTCTCCTGCTGCAATTATGGAGGAACTAGAAAGGTGTTGACTCCAGAAATGTCAAAAGGTCCTTCATCTGTTCAGAAACCAAATATCAGGACTGTGATTATATTACTTCATGTAGGAGGCACCCTCATGTGCATCTTTAAGGCATAAACCATGCTGTTCAACTTCACTTCAATTTATTTCATTGAAATGAGACAGGAATCTGTGAATAAAATGAAAAAAAAAATTAGGACAATGAACATTATATAAAACAAGAGATGTTTGTAAAACAATTATGCCCCCTCCTCCAAATGATTGGAATTTTTCCAAGTCCAAGGGGCAAAACTCTGTCATCAATAGGTTGATCGTACTCAAAACAAAACTTGACTTAGACATTTTTATGATAAATCTGTATATCAAATTTCATTTCAGTATGTGCAACTGCTGCGAAGAAAGTGAACCGGTATGTTACTTGGTGGACCGACAGACTGACTGACCAACAGGCAGCAGCAAAGCAATATGCCCTCCCTTTTTTGAAGGGTGTATAATTATTATATGGTAATGTATAATTATGAATACATCATTGTTCAATCTATAGTGTATGCATTACAAAAGTAGATACAATATAAATCAAAAAATCTTTGTGAACCTTGATATGACAGCCTTGCAGTTCAGCAACATTTTGAACCTTGAAGTCTGTTCTTAGGTACTGTATAGATTGTATGAGCGGAGCATGAAAGTCCTTGTGCTGGTCCTCAGATATCACTTGATAACTCGGCAGCTTGTCAATGACAATCTTACAGAGAAACAATTAAATGCACATCCTCCTTCTGTAACAAAGTAGTTTTGTCAATTTGATAGGCATAACACATCGTATGAAAAATCAATTTTCTCAAGAACACCAAAGAAAAGATAGATTTTATTATCCCTGTATGGTGCAGATTCATATTTTTCAAATCATAGCTTGAAGTATGTAAGTTGGCCAAACATTGAGGGGTATGAATGCTTAATTCACATGGAATTCAGATACTATAGAAATACATTTTTCCATGTGGTATTAATTTATGCAGTCACAAATTTTCCACGTAAATTTGTCCAAGTGTACTTATATAAATGTAAGGCATATAGTGGCAGTCTAAGAAATATGCATAATTTTCAACTCACGGATGAAACAGAAATTGAGATTCCACGGAATTATGACCCCGTGGAAAAAAGTAACTCTACAATATCTATACCGGGAAAATCTAAAATTACATGTAGAGATGGACATGGATGTCCACTGTCTTATGTTCATTTACTATAAGCAAAATGAAACAAGAAGTGTTTGTCAAACACTCAGATGCCCCTACCCTGAATTTTTTGGAATATTTTATAGTTTTAATATTTTAAAAAAAAAAATAAACAACAAAATTTCTACTTTTCTTCAGTATTAGGTATAAAGTGTATGACACTTTCTGAAAGTGCAAGGATGTGTGAATCAAATGAGTCCCAAAATTGGTAGTTAAAAAAATATATTTTATTGGAAATGCTATGCTATAGTAACATGTGAGTTATGAAATATGTATTATGTTCAGAAAATATGAACTCCAAATCTATGTCCCCTTTTTAAAATAACTGTGGAAAAGAATTACAACTAAAACTAGTTTGAATATGAGAATAAGAGTTTTTTTTTCAACTTGTAGGCATCAACTCAAAAGTGTTAATATTCATTCGAAGGATCAACAAATTAAGTTGCATATGAAAATAATGATTTTGCATTCATTTCAGCAAAACACTGCTAGATTATTGAAGATACTATTTGCTAGAAATTGTTTGATAAGATAATTGATGCATTGTACATACCAGATGAACTGATATTTTACAATGATTTTTTAAAAGTTTGATCATTTGAGTGTTCATTAAATTAGCACTCCATAGTACGTACATTCAGTAATGTACATATAAACACCAAAACTTCTCCTCTGCTTTTAAGGGCTTGGAACCTTCTGCTTGAAATAACATGTTAATTCAAGCAGGCAGCATTAAAAGTTTTTGCCTTTTTTTCATTTGCCTTTTTTTCTATTTGCTTTTTTTTTTCTCTCTCTTTTTTTCATTTTTTTTTTTTTTTTGTTTTTTTTTTTTGGAACTTCTGCTTGAAATAACATGTTAATTCAAGCAGGCAGCATTAAAAGTTTTGTGCCTTTTTTTCATTTTTTTTTCTTTTTTTTTTTTTTTTTTTTTTTTTTTTTTTTTTTTTTTTTTTTTTTTTTTTGTTTTGTTTTAATTTTCTTTCTTTTTTTTTTTTTTGCTTGTTTTTTTTTTTTTGGCACAAAACTTGCCAATGAGATAAAAAAATATATTCAAATTTACAATTCAAAATTCAACATGACAATTCACATTTTCATATCAACAATTTACAATTGCATTAAACAATCACAATTTAACATTTTAAATCATTGATTTAACATTAACAAATCACAAATTAACATTTACAAATCACCGGCAATTTAACATTTGTCATTGACGCAAATCACTATTTTACGTTTTCAAATGCAATTTTACAATTTTATATTCATTTCTTTCACTGCATATTTAGTCACATCAGTATATATAGGGCATTCAATTTCACTATAAGCTAATAACGAAAAGGTGACTATACAAATTATTCTTTCTACAACAGCTGACAGAATTTACACATTCTATGAATACTTATGTCCTATTAAACAATCATTACATCAGCTGAAACATATTTAACTTCATCAAAACAATTACAATAATGAACCATTTTCTCATTGGCATAATAATAAAAAGATAATTAAAGACAAAGCAGCCTCCAACTAGTCCCTTTCAGCTTCTCCTCCCCGGGCCAGCCTGGCTACCGTGGCGGCGAAGGAACTTAAGTTCCAACCAGTAATGCCCCAGGGTATCGATAAAACCTACTTACAACTAGCCTTCAACTACTTCATCTTAACAATATGAATATATAGCTAATGAAGAAGAAAGAGAAAGCTGGGGTCAGTGTGGGAGGAAGACGGAGTACCCGTAGAGAACCCACGTGTCCGAATGGGCGACCCCATACCCTGACATAATTCGGACACCCTTTACAAAAATTTATATTTTTAAAATAGTCTTTGAAAAAAACATTGTTACTAAAATGGATTTACATCAGTGCTTTAAAGGTGTGGATTAATCATTAATTAAGTCCTGCTTCTTCATCCACACATATGATCTCAAGGATGTTCCTTCTAAAAGTTCCTTTGATTTTCTGTAAATGAACAATAGGCAAGAGGTAATTGTCAGGTTTGAATAAAAAAAATTAAGAAGAGACCTATATGCTACATTGCTCACCTGAGCTCTAAGGCTAGGAAAAAGCAGAAATCAATACAGTACTGTAGATCACCATATTTTCACAACACCTTAGTTTAGTGACTTAGCTATTTGGCATTAATTAGCGAAACAACATTTTCGCTAGCTGTTGTTTCTGTTGTATATAAACATTAATAATGCAAATATACACAAGAATAAATTTTTTGCGAGCAGACAGCCCCTCTTGAGAAATTTTCACTCATATAGCAATGCAACATTTTTCAGGGGAGGGCTACAAATGTAGACCTATACTTGGTATTAAGGCTATAGAGCAGTGAGGGATTTTTTTTTGCACCTACTGCAACATGGCACCACAGTTTATATGATCTCAGTAAAAGACTGGTCTTCTTGTCCCACAGTGGGATTCGAACCCACAACGGTAGGATCAACTCCTTTATACTATGCTACTCTATAGCAGATTCTCTTAAATACCACTGTACCATGCAACAACAACACAAAATGTGAAAGAAGATGGGGGAACAAGGCGGGCAGAATGCCCATAGCATCGGATATTAAAAAAATCGTATTCAATATGTGAATTGAGTATTTACCTTGACCTTGCTTAATATAAAAAATAAGATGATTTGGAATATGATAATGTCATATACCTGATCAGTATCAGCTATTCACTGTGGTATGTCTTGGTGAAAAAGTCAACATCCATCAGGCATAAATTGTCCTCCGGGTGTTTCCACCAAGTCTTGTTGGGAACATCTACATTTTGAAGATCATTGTCCATCAAGCTTGTCTGTGTTTATTGTTTCCACCAATTCCTTTTGGGTGTAGCTGGTGTTTTCACATATTGGATTATCATTGTCCATCAAGTTTGCCTCAAGATTCATAATGGCCTTGCCTCCTCAAGATTTATTTCACTAAGTCTTTTTAGAAGTATTTGCTGTTTTCCCATCTTTCCACCAATTCCTTTTGGGTGTAGCTGGTGTTTTCACATATTGGATTATCATTGTCCATCAAGTTTGCCGCAATATTAATAATGGCCTTGCCTCCTCAAGATTTATTTCACTAAGTCTTTTTAGAAGTATTTGTTGTTTTCCCATCTTTCCACCAATTCCTTTTGGGTGTAGCTGGTGTTTTCACATATTGGAAAATCATTGTCCATCAAGTTTGCCTCAAGATTCATAATGGCCTTGCCTCTTCAAGATTTATTTCACTAAGTCCTTTCAGAAGTATTTGCTGTTTTCCCATCTTAAAAGAGGTTCATCAAGCTTGTCTATTCCAGTTGTTTCCACAAGGTTCTGTTGGCTGCAGCTGCAGTAAAAGTCAGAAGAAAATAAATGGAGAAAATACATCACTGAAGTTTTTAAGGAAAATCCTCATTTAACTTTTTAAATAATTGTTATGTTGTCTCAACAGTGGTTAAACATATATGTTTTATATTATTAAGCAAAAATTCAATATTGGTGTAAAGAGTTGGTTTATCTAGCTGAACACCATAACAAAATTCAGCTATTGCTGACTTTAAGAAATAAGACCAGCTAAAATTTTAGCCAGCTAGTTAATTTGACTTTGTTAATAAAATGATCTTAGATTATGATAATGTCACATACCTGATAAATGTCAGATCAGCATCCTTTGGCTATTCATCCTCCAGTTGTTTCTATCAGGTCCTTTTGGGTTCATCTACTGTTTTCACCATGTACTGTTGGGTGCATTTGCTGTTTCCACATCTTGGAAGATCAGCAAGTACTGGCTATGCATCATCAAGTTGTTTCTATCCATGTCCAGTTGGGTGCATCTGCTGTTACACATGTCTTGTTGAGGACATCTGCTGTTTCCACATCTTGGAAGATTAGCATCCAATGGCCCTGTCTCCTCCAGCTGTTTCCACCATGTCATGCCCTTGTTTACAATCACAAGCTTTCTTGTCTCTGACCAGTAGAGCTAAAAATAAGTCAGGCTAAAAATAAAAAGTCAGCTAAAAATAAAAAGTTCAGCTACTGAATGTAAATTTGACAAATGGTTCACAGTAATTAAATGTGCAATCTTTTTTGGGAATAGCACCCGTCGTTAAGCAATATATGCAGGTAATAGTGTTTTTTAACAGATGCAGTTCAACTAATTTACATGAAAGTGTCATACACATGTATTATACTGAATGTCTTTTTATACAAATACATATGTATTTGTGAACCATGTCCAGTGTTCACAAATACCACAGTTCACAGTGAACCGTGCACACATGTGCTAAAAAATCAACAGCTTTCTGTATTTTACACTAAAATACCCTAGTAGTCCCTTTCAACTAAGATTTCATTTATTTTTACATTTTTATTCTGTCCTAAGCAAAAATCAATGTTGATTGAAAAAAATAAAATGTTGCTATGCTATGTTTTAGGGCATGGATTTGAAATGGAAAAAATATATCATAATACTTCTCTTCTCTTTTTCTATATAAGCAAAGTGTACAAACAAGGATGTTTTTAACAGATATAGCGAAATTATCTTTTAAAATCTTACCAATCAGATTCATTTAACAAATTATGATATACTAATTTAGGTAATTGTGAAAGTATGTATTTTTCAATTATTTCCATTATTTTCTATCTTACCTTATATGATGGTTTTTGTTTATCTCATACACATGTAAAACCTGATCAAAATTTGTCAGTTATCTCCTCTGATATTTGTCTTGTTTGGAAGGTCAACATCATTTTCAGGCAAGTCTCCTCCAGTTATGTTCACCATGTCCTGTTTCCATCTTCTGTACAAATCACCAAGAATTCATGTTCACCGTTAGGAGTTGAACGTTTCAATAAGTCAGACTAAAAATCTAATTATATATATATTATTATTCTGAATGTTTTATACAAATACATATGTATTTGTGAAGTAATGTTCACAAATACACACAGTGAACCGTGCACCATAAATTCTGTGCAGTTGCTATTTTTGGGAATAGCACACAATGTTGACTGTTGCTATGCTTCCATTAAAAATGGCACAACAAGTGGGTAATAGTGTTTTTTAAACAGATGTTTCTCCACCAATCAGATTCAACTAATTTACATGAAAGTATAATATTTTTGATTATCTCATACACATGTACCTGATTGTGTCATTATCATTTGATATGTCTTGTTTGGAAGGTCAACATCATCAGGCAAGTCTCCTCCAGTTGTATCCACCACGTCCTGTTGGGTCCATCTTCTGTAGTTGGGTGCATCTTCTGTTTCCACCAAGTCCATGCAGTGGAGTGCATCTACTGTTTCCACCATGTCCTGTTGGGTCCATTTGCTGTCTCCACCATGGCCAGTAGGGTACATCTGCTGTTTCCACCAAGTCCAGTGGAGTGCATCTTCTGTATCCAACAAGTCCTTTTGGATACATCTGCTGTTTCCACCAAGTCAAGTGGAGTGCATCTGCTGTTTCCACCATGTCCAGTTGGATACATCTGCTGTTTCCACCATGTCCAGTGGAGTGCATCTGCTGTTTCCACCAAGCCCAGTGGAGTGTATCTGCTGTTTCCACAAAGGCCAGTTGGGCACATCTGCTGTTTCCACCAAGTCAAGTGGAGTGCATCTGCTGTTTCCACCAAGGCCAGTTGGGTGCATGTGCTAAAAATATCAACAGCTTTATTTCACTGCATGCATTTTACACTAAAATACCCTAGTCAGTCCCTTTCAACTAAGATTTCATTTCCTTAATTTCTTAGATTTACATTTTTATTCTGTTCCTAAATTTTTGGTCTTTGATTTGTTTAAAATGAATGCATAATAAAGGTGACCACTTATAATAAAGTTTTATAGGATATTTCATTGAAAAAAATAAAATGACCACCTAAGAAAGATCTCTGCTGTATAAAGATGATTACTATGAAGTTTGGCTGTATATATTATTGATTTGAAATGGAACATTATAAATCTATAATCTAACAATAATACTTCATTTCATTTTTCTATATACAGCAAAACTTGTTAAGTACGAACAAGGATATTGCCAATTCATGGTTATAGTGAAATTATCTTGGATCTCAGGGCTTAATAAATTTAACGAATTCCTTATATGGATATAACGAATTATGGATATAGTGAAGTAATTTTATAGGTCCCCGTGACTTCGTTTTAACCAAGTTTTACTGTATTTTTCAATTATTATCAATTCAATATTTTCTATCTTACCTTATCGATGATGGTTTAGAATTTGGCTTATTTCTCTTCTTCTTTAGTGAATTGTCCAACTATAAAATACTAACAAAATTTTAAAATAGAGCTGAAATAATAGATACTGAGTAAAACTCGTTTGGTACAAACACAGATATTGTGAATTCACAGATATAGTGAAATTATCTTGAATCCCTAGCTATATAAATTTTACTAAAATCATTACATGGATATAACAAATTATGAATATAGCAAAGTAATGTCATAAGTCCCAGTGACTTTGTTATAACTGAGTTTTACTGTAATAATTAAGGCCCTCATGAAGACAGGTGCTTTGGGTGAAACACACTGTTTCCTCCTTATCCAACATGTCTAATGTTGATGCTAATGCACAATGCAACAATGAACATTAGACATATTCTTAGGAATAATAAATGCAATAACAAATAAAAATCACAACAATAATAATTAACAAAAATTCATAACTATCATAACAAATAATTAAAAATCTCAACTAAAGCAAATAACTAAAACACATAACTATAACAAATAACTTAACTCATAACAACTAATTAAAGCTCATAACAATAACAACTAACTAACACTCATAACAATAACAAATAATAAAAAATCACAACAACAGCAAATAACTTAAGCTCCTAACAAGTAAAACTCATGACTGCCTCAATAACAAATAACTGAAACTCATAACAATGTCAACTAATAAAAACATTAAAAACATAATGTAACAATTAACAAATAAAACATGAAAATTAACAACTTTTACAACCCTCACAAACAAAAAACTATAATAACAACTCAATAAACAAATAACAATTATAATAAAAACCTAATGAACAAATAACAACAAATACTAACAAAGGAAACAAAATATAAACCAAAAAGTAAGAGCTAAAATAACAAAGAGACCTAACATCAAAGAAATACAAAAAAACCTCCACTCCAGCGTTGTTGGCATGCTGTTCCAATCCAATATGCCCAGCCTCCTCCAACGATGAAGAGCCAGCAGCCTCCAAGTGCACCATCTCCAACGATGACATCCCGGCAAAGAGAGAACAGAGAAGATTAGACAAAGAAAAAACAACAGAACAAAAAAACAAAAGGAAAGAACTACTACTACAAAAAATGTGTTGAGAGGGGAAGGGGAGGGAAATGTTAGTACTAATTAGTAAGAGTGCAAAAATGATAATGAAACCAACTCACCTCTGCTTTTCCTTAACAACTAAGCAATACCTCTGTTCCAGCGTTGTTGGCATGCTGTTCCAATCCAATATGCCCAGCCTCCTCCAACGATGAAGAGCCAGCAGCCTCCAAGTGCACCATCTCCAACGATGACATCCCGGCAAAGAGAGAACAGAGAAGATTAGACAAAGAAAAAACAACAGAACAAAAAAACAAAAGAAAAGAACTACTACTACAAAAAATTTGTTGAGAGGGGAAGGGGAGGGAAATGTTAGTACTAATTAGTAAGAGTGCAAAAATGATAATGAAACCAACTCACCTCTGCTTTTCCTTAACAACTAAGCAATACCTCTGTTCCAGCGTTGTTGGCATGCTGTTCCAATCCAATATGCCCAGCCTCCTCCAACGATGAAGAGCCAGCAGCCTCCAAGTGCACCATCTCCAACGATGACATCCCGGCAAAGAGAGAACAGAGAAGATTAGACAAAGAAAAAACAACAGAACAAAAAACAAAAGGAAAAAACTACTACTACAAAAAATGTGTTGAGAGGGGAAGGGGAGGGAAATGTTAGTACTAATTAGTAAGAGTGCAAAAATGATAATGAAACCAACTCACCTCTGCTTTTCCTTAACAACTAAGCAATACCTCCAATCCAGTGTTGTTGGCATGCTGTTCCAATCCAATATGCCCAGCCTCCTCCTACGATGAAGAGCCAGCAGCCTCCATGTGCACCATCTCCAACGATGACATCCCGGCAAAGAGAGAACAGAGAAGATTAGACAAAGAAAAAACAACAGAACAAAAAACAAAAGGAAAGAACTACTACTACAAAAAATGTGTTGAGAGGGGAAGGGGAGGGAAATGTTAGTACTAATTAGTAAGAGTGCAAAAATGATAATGAAACCAACTCACCTCTGCTTTTCCTTAACAACTAAGCAATACCTCTGTTCCAGCGTTGTTGGCATGCTGTTCCAATCCAATATGCCCAGCCTCCTCCAACGATGAAGAGCCAGCAGCCTCCAAGTGCACCATCTCCAACGATGACATCCCGGCAAAGAGAGAACAGAGAAGATTAGACAAAGAAAAAACAACAGAACAAAAAAAACAAAAGGAAAGAACTACTACAAAAAATGTGTTGAGAGGGGAAGGGGAGGGAAATGTTAGTACTAATTAGTAAGAGTGCAAAAATGATAATGAAACCAACTCACCTCTGCTTTTCCTTAACAACTAAGCAATACCTCTGTTCCAGCGTTGTTGGCATGCTGTTCCAATCCAATATGCCCAGCCTCCTCCAACGATGAAGAGCCAGCAGCCTCCAAGTGCACCATCTCCAACGATGACATCCCGGCAAAGAGAGAACAGAGAAGATTAGACAAAGAAAAAACAACAGAACAAAAAACAAAAGGAAAGAACTACTACAAAAAATGTGTTGAGAGGGGAAAGGGAGGGAAATGTTAGTACTAATTAGTAAGAGTGCAAAAATGATAATGAAACCAACTCACCTCTGCTTTTCCTTAACAACTAAGCAATACCTCTGTTCCAGCGTTGTTGGCATGCTGTTCCAATCCAATATGCCCAGCCTCCTCCAACGATGAAGAGCCAGCAGCCTCCAAGTGCACCATCTCCAACGATGACATCCCGGCAAAGAGAGAACAGAGAAGATTAGACAAAGAAAAAACAACAGAACAAAAAACAAAAGGAAAGAACTACTACAAAAAATGTGTTGAGAGTGGGGGAGGGGAGGGAAATGTTAGTACTAATTAGTAAGAGTGCACAAATGATAATGAAACCAACTCACCTCTGCTCTTCCTAAACGACTTAGCAATACCTCCACTCCAGCGTTGTTGGCATGCAGTTCCAATCCTATATGCCCAGCCTCCTCCAAGTCTTTGTAATACCATCTCCAACAATGAAGTCTCCGCAAAGAGAGAACAAAGAAATCCATTCCAGTGTTGTTTGCATGCTGTTCCAATTCATTTTGCCCTTCCTTCTCCAAGTCCTTATTACTTCAACTTCATAATGAAGTGCTGGGAAATTGAGAAGAAGGAATAAGGTGAAAAAAGGCAAACAAACAAATTAACAAAGAAAACACTTTGTTAGAGAATTGGGAAGGAGATGAAAACATACTATTAAGTAATCAGAGATCAAAGTTCACCTCAACGAAAGTTGTCTTTAAGTAAGGCAAAGTCCCGCAATTAACATTCTAGAAGTTACATCCCAAAATGCAAAATTTATGCAATTTTGATCTGATACGGCTTGCAGTTGCTTAGAAATAGACCTATCCAAAAACTTAAAACTAGGCACCCATCAAGAAAATGTAATTCAAATCAAGCATCTGAAGCAAGTTTGAGATTGTTCATCCTTTGATGTACCATTTATGCAAATTTGGTTAATATAGGCCTTATAGTTTCCTGGTGTTAAACTTGCACCCATAACTTAATTAATTTTGCCTGGTCCATTATCTGGAAAATGTATGTGGGATCCAGCATCCGAAGCAATTTAAGTCTATCAGTGTGCAACCTTAGTGCAATAAAGTTTGAGTCCTAGAGTTACTTGGAAATGGGACATGAACCAAAACATTAACCTGTTCACTCCGGAAAATGTAGGTCAGATCCAGCATCTAAAGTGTACATACTAAGATGTATCATCCATGCAAGTTTGGTCATCAAAAGGGCTCATAGTTACTTAGAAATGAGAGCTGTACCAAAACATTGACCTGTTCACTCATCTGAAAAAGTAGGTCAGATCCAGCTTCCGAAGCTAGTCCGGTAGGCAAAGCTGGTAAAAATTTCTCTGGACCGATAGCATTTAAGAAAATGTCGGTCCAGATGACCGTTTGAAAAAAATTGAGCATAATTCAAATTTTAAAAAAAGTGTTGAATTTGATGCACATATTTTTAAGCCCCACTTAAAGGTACAAAAACATAACTAATAAAGCAGTTGCTTAGTTTGGTTACTTAATACCCATAGGCAGGGTGAAATATGTTGCATTTAACAAAATTATATTTGCAATAATGGCAAAGTCACAAGTTCATGCACAATTATGTCCTTAATTTTCAAAAAAGGTGATTCATACCAAGGAGGATTTCAAAAATTATTCATTTTCTATATAACTTACGCCCCCCCCCCCTTATGGTACAACTCACACAAAAATGAAATTCACAATTATTGAAGATAAGGGTCTTTGCGCATAACTATATAGGTAGTTCAATATTAATTCAGGTGGGTTTATTCAAGATTTAATGTTTTTGCACTTTACATGTTAATTAAGCCCCGCCCTAACACCAGAAGTGACCCTGGGGCCATAAAATTCACAATTTTGGTAGAGGCACTATAACTATGTACTTAGTTTGTTTATTTAATACCTAGAAGCAGAGAAAAATTTTCAAAGAATTCATGTACCGTATTTTCACTATATAATCAATGTAGTTCCCTAACACCAGAACCCCTGACCCTGAAGCCATAAAATTCACAATTTTTAGAGGCACTCTTGCTCATCATAACTATGTACTTACTTAGTTTATTTAATACCTAGGAGCAGAGAAGAAGATTTTCAAAGAATTCATGTATTTTCACTGCCCTAACACCAGAACCCCTGCAAATTTACGTTGTACCCTGGGGCCATAAAATTCACAATTTTGGTAGAAACTCTTTCATCATAACTATGTGCTTATAGTTTATGTAATACCCAGGAGCAGAGAAAAGATTTTCAAAGAAATTGCATTTTCACTATAATTATTGGGCCATGCCCTAAAAAGAAACCCCAGGGCCATGAATTGGAAATTTTGGTAGAGGACTCAATGCTGATTACAATCATCAAACAGTTTGACTGCTAATGATGTCCAGGAGTAAAGAAGAAGATTTTTAAAGATTGCATTAATTTTAGTGGTTTTGGCCCCACCCCCCAAGCCCCAGGGGGGCAGGGATCATGAAATTCACAATTTTTGTTCCCCCTTACCCATAGATGCTTTGTGCCAAATTTGATTGAAATTGGTTCAGTGGTTGCAGAGAAGAAGCTGAAATTTCCGACCAAAGTTTTACAAGAAATATAAGGAAAAATCTTTAAAAACAGATTCAATAGGTCACCTGAGTGACTCAGGTGACCTAAAAATGTCAGTCCAGATGACCGTTTGAAAAAAATTGAGCATAATTCAAATTTTTAAAAAAAGGTCGGGATCGGGATGCACATCTATTTTTAAGCCCCACTTAAAGGTCACAAACACAATAAATGGCCGCTTACGCAATATGTTGACGATAGACAATTATATTTGTTATGGCAAAGTCAAAGTTCATGTCATTATGTCTAATGTTAAAGGTGTATGGACAGAGGTTTGAAATTAATATTTTTTGTATAATATCACGACTTATATATTTTAATAGCATTTCACACAAAAATAAATTAAAAATCTTATTTCACTTAAAAGTTATTAAAACTTCCAGTATTTTGGTGGGTTTGATTGACACATCTTTGCACTAGATTCACAATTTTTTAATTTTATTCTTAATACTTATGAGAAGTGGCAATCTTGTTACCAAAGTTGAACATAAAGAAGTCTAATATCATATTTTATTTCCCTAGGCACCAAATCACATCAAATTCATGTTAAAACTTGTGAAAATCAAAAATAATTGATTTTCCAGGAGAATATTTGAAAATTTCTATTTTTATCAATCTCAAAATCTAAATTGTTTATGTACCATTTTTTCTTTAAACCTATAAAGAATTATATCTAAGGTTAACAAAAACACATATTTTATTATTGTTGACCAGAAAAAAATAACAAAACAGCCTTTTGAACACACATACCCCCTATTTCGGAATATGAAATTTTTCAATCATTCTTTGCAAAATTTTAAAAAAGTAAAATTTCAAAAGGAGAAACATGCTTAAAATCAACAAAAATAGATCTCTAGTTTGTTTGTTTAAAAACATTAAAAAGCTTTATGTCCATAAAGGCAATTAAGAATTATGTGTCTTTGTTTGTACTTAATGACATATAGATCCTATGAACAGAGTACAAAGTGTTAATTTCCATAACGTCAAATGTATAACAAATGTAAATCAAATGCTTGTATGACACTATAATAAACAAATATATACCTGCTACATGATTATCAATCATCAAAAAATATATTATTTCTATAAAGAAGTGATAATTAAATTTTTTTTATTGGTGTGTAAAATTAAAACCAGATCCGTAAAAGTATGGACTTTCCTTAAAGCAATATGAGCTGCATTTTTGACCATTTTATTTAGCTGTTAAAATGTGTTATTATGATAAATGTTTTTATAATTTAAACCTTTATGATCAATTAGACTAGAACAAAGTAATAAACTGTCTCAGAAGGAAGACTTTTGTACAATCTAGTATATAAGATTATTTAAGAAATCAATTTTGTATAGGACGACAATAATGTAATATATTGCTTCTATCACAGCTCATAACAAGACGCCCAGGGGCCAAAATGCTCAAAGCAATTGCTAGGAAAAATAGAACTGAAAGTTTACACAAGTAATTTGAACAAAAATTTACCTGAAGATGATTCCCTTAAATATCACTAAGCATGGCTTTGAAGTACTTGAAAAGAAGATTTTAATTCCCTATATATTTATGTAAAACTTTTATCAAAAATTTTGGCCCCAAGTTTTGAACAAACTTTAATCTACATACTGAGGATGAACATGAGTTTAATCTTTCCTGGCCCAGTGGTTTTTGATTGAAATTTTTAAAGATTTTTTCTATATATTTTTTAAAACTTTGATAGGCCATTTATGTACACATCAAAGTCATGATTTGAACAAACTTGAATCTACATATCAATGAAATGAGTTTGATTTTGGCCCAGAGAGAAGATTTTTAAAGATTTTTCCTATATTGATCGGCCAATTACAAAATCATTTGAACAAATTGAATCTACACTACCTGAGGATTTTTGAGTTTCATCTTTCCTGGCCCAAACCTTGAGAAGAATTTTTAAAGATTTTTTCTATATATTTTATGTAAAACATTTTATCGGCCATTTTACTCATCAAAAACAAACAATCTAACTACCTGAGGAATTCCACATGAGTTTCATCTTTCCTGGCCCTATTCTTTAGAAAAAGATTTTTAAAATTTTTTTCTTATATAAATGTAAAAAATTTAAACCCTAAAAGTCAAATTTGAAAATTTTACATTACCTGAAAATAACAAATGAGTTTCAACTTTTGCCTAGTGGTTTTGAGAAAAACATTAAAAAGCATTAATATATAAAGATTAATTAAACTTATCCCCTTCAACGGATACTTTGTGAGTTTGTGAAATTGCATGGCCCATAGATCTTGAGAAGAAGATGAAAATGTGAAAAGTTTACGATGTCAAATGATAACAAATGAAATGCCTAAACAACAACGACAGACAACAGACAAATATATACCTGCTACATGATTATCAATCATCATGCAAAAAAGATATTATTTCTATAGAGAAGTGATAATTAAAATTTTTTTATTGGTGTGTAAAACAAAAAACATCAGAGTTGCAGTCAAATTGCTTTAAATTGATGTTCCTGATACACGCTGCATTTCAATCCGGAAATATGCATGACATTTTTTAATTTCATTTTATTTTTTGTTAAAATTTGTGTTAATTTATTTTTTTATAATTTAAACCTTTATTCAATCAATTTAGAATTTTAAAAGTATTTATACCAAAATATAAAAAAAACAACAACATTTTTACATAATTATATGCAGACTTTTGTAGCAATCTAGTATATAAGAGCTATTCAAGCATAAATCAACATTTAATGTGCGACAAAATTAAATATATTGCTTCTATCATAGCTTATAAAAAGTGCTTCAGATTGCAAATACATTGTATGAGTAGAACAAAAGTTTATGAATATTCTTTTTCTTTGTCCTTGAAATAGTTAATTACAATTATGCAAAAAAATTTTCGGACATCAAAAAGAGTTGCAGCTCATATTGCTTTAAAAATGTTGAAATGATAAAGTTTTTTTTACAACACTAGAGCAAATATATAGCTAAATCAACCTATTTTGGATAAACCAGAGAAAGAAATATAGCTAATTCAATGTATGTGGTCAAATCTAGTGATTGTAACAGACCTCTGTAACTGATTCTTTTGCCTGACCATAGAGTACTCTTTGCTATCTTCATGGCCATATAGGAAAGTCACCCCCAATAATTTTGCTGATATACAGGGTGTTTCATAATATATGTTACATTTTATATCTAATTATTTTTCTTACCTATCATACTTCTATTACAAACTATATATATCATTTTAAACATCAAATCCTGCATTTTTGTTCCATGTGAAAAAGTCAAGGAAAGCTTGGTCTTACAATGATTAATTGTGCTATAAACGCGGTTGTCATAATTTGAATATTTTTCTAAATGGACTTAACTTATCCACTCAGTGCTGAATTGTAAAGCTGTTTTTTTTTTTTCAATTCATGTCACCAATATTCATTTAGAAGTTGCTGAAATGAATTTTCCAAAAGAATAGAAGCTTTCTAGGATGCTTATCAGAAGGCTAGTAACAAGGTTAAAGGGCAGGGACAGGCAATGTGTGATAAATGACACGGTATTCCAGAAAGCCTAAAGTCTTTTAAAGAAACGGAGATTTATTCGGTGAAATGGAGACTCTTAGTGTAGCAAACTTCTGAGAAAAGTGTTTGATAGATATTTTAAGAAATTGATGCTGGCAATATCAGCATTTTCAGCATACATTGAACTTTGAAAAAAGATTTGAAGTTATAATCAGTATTTAAATTTCAATAATAAAAGGAAAGAGTTTGACCTTTGCATTTGACAATCTCAATATTTGGGCTCTTTTCTGTATGGGCCCGGTTCTTAATGAACAGGGTCTAAAATCCTAGACCACAGATACTGAATGAGCTCAAAAAGAACATAGACCTTCAAATGAGGAGTGTCTAAGCAGAAATATGTGACAAGGTTTTATACACATTTCAAAAAGCAACTTTCATTTGTTGTTAAATAGTGGAGATCATTTAGAACATGTAATATGAGCTTTTGGTATTGTGAAATTCAACGTAGCATGCAAAAATTGACGCAACTTGGAAATTTTGCTAATTTTCATTAATGTTTAAAATTTTGTTCAGTGTTTAATATTTTAGTTGGTAATTAAACATAATGAATCTTATGGATACATGCATCGATCAATTTGATAAAAAGACTTATCTGTATCTTTTTCTTGTGTTTGTCCGATTGAAGATTCAAAATGTAACATATATTATATACTATAGAAAACATACAGTATACTATATATAGAAAACATGTAGTAATACTATTGAAAAGATTGCCCCCTCAATTAAAATGCTCAATGACCTTTTTTGCATGCTTGTGAAAGATTTTTTGGTGGTTGATAGTGCACCCAACTGAAAATATCAAATATGCCCCCAGGATTCCCGATGAGCCTGATCTTCATATTCCAAGTAACTGCCAAGAACTACTAAAACAGTGTCACTTTGTAACTGTCACGTGATCTTACCTGCCGATGACTGCAGAAAGACCGCTGCTCGAATGAAGAGATACCGTCAACTGGGCATTTCCCATTTCACCACATCGTCCAGGACGTACATCTGATAAACAAGGAAAAATCTTTGAACATTTGCCCAACTGTCCTGTGTTCACAGTCCTGATACACTCAGTTTTACAAGTTTGGAACAAAAAAAATCAAACTTACGCTACAAAATGGAACAAAATGCATTCATTTCAAGACAACTCACCCGGTGTAAGAATTTAAAAATCCATGACAACTTTTAAACAAGACAAATGATTCAACGGAAACATATCACACTCACCTCCAGTATGGCGACTTGTGAACAAAAGAACAACAGAAAAATCCCACCAAAATGAACACGTGACTAAAGATCGAGAGATCAAAGTGCATCCAATGAAAAACAAGTCTCGTCAACCGATATATTCTATTTATAGCATCAACTGACCCCAACAGTGAATAATGCTCTATCTCGTTCACCAGAGGCCTTTTAAAAAGAGTAGATTTTGGCCGCTAGTCGAATAAAAAATTCAAACTTTAGACGGGCCTTCCGTTTCAATGCAGAAATGTTCGTAAGTGCTAAGCTCTGCTTGAACAAGCATGCGCAGATCGTATTTTATTTGGTTTCGAGACTACATGACATGTGGCGGATCAAATTAATATCAAACTTAAACCTAAATACAGGATGTAACTAAAGCACAGGAAGCACGAGCGCACTTGCATGCTTTCCTTTTTCACCGTCTATCAAACAGATATATTATGCGATCCCATCTGTATTTTCAAGGTCAAAGCTATAACATATAGTAGCGGATCCAGATATCTTGAAAAAGGGGGGAGATTGGGGTCGGGTTAGGCGCCCACAGCCACACTAAACAAAACTGATTGAGTAAATGTTTTATTATAATTTTGGACACAGACTCCCTCTCTACATCCACAAGTGTTATATTAGATATCTACATTAAAACAAAAGTGATGTACATACATGATTATACATGCATGTACTTGCGAAAATTTGGAATAAAAAGTAATTTTCCTATGAGCAAAAGCCATATATGGCTAGGGGCTTATTATTCAGGTTTTGCAAAAGTTTTTTTCTTAAGGAAATTTTTCTATATTTAAAATACTTTACGCAGATTGAGAGTGAATGGAATTTTTCCCACCAAATGCGTACTGTCAAAAATTTATCAGTTATGAAATCATACTTATCATAAAAAGAATTATTAAAACATGGATAAAGAATTTTTTTTTAATGATCAGTTGTCTTTATTTTAAAGACCTATGTATGGTTTTCTTTGGCTCCCGTTTTTGATAAAATTTAGACGTCAATAAACTTAAATGAAATTTATGTTTTGTAAACGAATAAAATCTATATATTTCTTTTACCTTTATATTGATATAATGATTTAAGTAATATGCAGAGGATTAAAGGTTTTTAAGTGCCTTAGTTTTAAACAAAGCTTTTTAAAAAAAAATGACAATTTTGACACATACCATATATAATTCTTTATAATTTCAATCAATTTATTCAATATGAATTATACATATATTGGCAATCAAGGTAATACATGTACCTACATTTATGATACATGTATTACATTTTGGACATACAGTTTTACATTGATATCGTTATGATAATTTACATAGGCCATGTAGAAATACATATGTATATACACCATTTGCATTATAACACACGCATTTTCAATTTTAAAGGAAATATTTTAGAAATTTATAAAAATTACTAGATTTATTGCCTGTAATATGGTTCACAAGAATTCGATTTAAAACTATTAAGCTTTTGCAAGCCATTAAGAAAAAACGATTAATCCATGGCCATCTACACTTCTCACCTCTCGACAATGAGTGAACAGTCTTATGAACAGAATATTTTAAGTATTATACTTGAACATTTTACAAATTCAAAATTTTATGTTTTATTAATATTATATTTAAATACATGCAATTAAAGGGGAAAATTAAAGAAGCATTGACTTGGTTGATCGCACGGCATAGTTACCGAATATTTCTCATTATCTAAAATATATTTTTAAAAATGAATATTGTTTGAGGATTTATTGAAACATTATCCATTTCAAAACCAAAAATTATCCGGGACCTGGTATCGTTTTTAAAAAGTGAATGGGTATTGGGGGGGGGGGGGGTAAGTAATTGAGTGACCAAAAAAATCAGCCGAGGAGAAAAATGATGAAAGTGGGCATCAGCCCATAAATTATACACCTTTTTTAAACAGAAAAACGCAATATTGCAATAAAAAACGGGAGGGTTGCACCCCCCCCCCACACACACACACAACGCGTGCCTACATTATTAAAAAATAAAATCCAGCACTTCTTAAATTCCTACCCAACTGAAATTCAAAGTTCTTAATTACAAATTACTAGTTCATCCCAACTGCATCCTCGATGGATTTTACTACCTTTCTACATAATATTATATGTTGTTTATTAATTTTCATGATTTTTCGCATATCATATAATTATGTGCATGTATATGAATAGGTATTATATCGAATACGAATAAAATAATATTTTTTTTTTACTCTTTATGATTACAGCACTTGCCCTTTTCCCAAGTTGTGTACAGACTAAGAACTTACGCCTACTCAAGAGCAGGCCTAGATTTAATCGTAACAAATGAAAAAATATGCTATATTGGTCATTCTGGGTTCAATAAGACCTTGTAAGCACAAAAACTAATTAAACTTACTTACGCAGCAACCTCCTTTTACCCTTGCTTATCACCTGCACACTGTTTTTTTTTTTTTTGTCTCAAGATTAGTTTATTTGATGCGCAAGAGCATGCTCAACCTATGAACAATTTCTTAAAGGTGGTGATTTATTAACAAACAAGTACATGTATATGAAAAGACCTCGTTTAAAGTCATCTTTTCATAAGTTCTATGGTCTCTTCTCAACAAATCTCTCTCTCTCTCTCTCAAATGCTGATAGACGTTTTTTATATATATATATATATATTATACACACATGAATCATCGAAAATATATATTTTATATACGCGTCGGGTGTATATATATATATATATATATATTATCTGCTCCTGATTTGTATTGTTTAATAGACTTCTTAGCTTGGATACTGTTCGTTATATTAATATCTTTTATCAGTTTTATTATACCCCCCGCTTGAAGTATAGGTAATCGGAATTCCGAATGTCAATGTATCAGCTTTTTCTCTTAGGAACTCCTCAGGTAAATACTGAGTGAAATTTAAAAAGAAATTAACATATTGCCATTGTGCACAATGGCAATATGTAATAAAGATTCTGTGAAAGTTTCATTAAATTTTACTTGGTAGTATAAGAGGAGTTGCGAATAAGAGATGGTTATCCCAAAGCGTACATGTAACAGACGGACGGAAATACCGATTACTATATACCCTCCCACTTTTCAAGCGGGGGGTATAATAAAACGTAAATCATCATTTGCTGACAAGGTCATTGTATGGACTATAGAATTTACAAAATGATGACTTTAAACGAGACTGCTGACATTCTTGTTTCATCAATTTGTTTGTCCATATATCTTACCTCGTTTTAGAGTGTACATACGTAGAGCATGCTCTTGCGTATGGAATCAACAGAGAGATATAAACTCCGTATGGACGTGATGAAGGTATATTGCTGCATAAGTAAGGGAAGTTGACAAGTACCCAGCGATGTACATACATGTATGTGACCAAATGTGTCGATTTCAAAACGGTTCAAATGAAAAAGAGAGGGACTGAGAAAAATAAATAATTATATAAGCAAATGGGCAAACAGGGAGAGCAAAATATCTATTATGCCAAATATAAAAGTGAGAAATAGAAGCTCAACTATGACATAATTTTACTTTGATACTTCATTTTAACAAATTACCGTCACAGTTCCACCTTTTCTGCAGAACTGTAGCTCTCCGTATAAAATATATTGACAGTCCGGTCTGTCAATATATTTTTTCAGGAGAGCTAAAGTTCTGTAGTTACACTTTTTCACGATTCGACATTGATTGACATCGACATTGATTATTCGCTTTAGGTCTATGATTAATTCTTCTTTTCCATGACAACTTATGCTGCTTTTCCGCAATTCTATATACATATGTACTTTTTACTGTAAGCGCCTTATTTTAACATTTACCTTTTTCATAAGCCTAGATAAACTTGCTGATAACCCTTGCTTAGTGCAACCATTTCTTTTACATCGGTTGTAATTGTGGCTATGCTTACTTTACCTATGCTGAATCAGTAAGCCACAACGCCATTCATTGAAACATTGAATGTCTTTAGGTAAATCCATGCTATACTCCTACAATACATATAATAGGAGTGCCCCCTTTTGCTGCAGTATTGTCAAATAAGAGTAATGTGGTAATGGATGAATGAAAATCGGTCATGAAAACAAGAAGAACCTATATTCACCAAACCCCAACATAGTATTATCAACTTTGGACAATTTTCTACTTTATAGCCTCCCCTTGCAAAAGATGAATCTACTAGTATAAACTAAGAGATACTGTGAGCAATGAGCTCATTAAATGATACCCCCACCTCCCATATATGAATGTAATGGCAGTGTCCATGTTTTGCTATGGGAAACCCAAAATATGAGTAGAATCAAAGAATAAAATAGGGGGTGCACAATGGCAATATGTAATCAAGATTATGTGAACAACAGCACCTCCTCCCAAGAGACCATGAAAATCACAATTAAGGAAGATGTACCCTTGCTATCACAACTACATAACAAGTCCATTTGCTCATGTCAGTGTCCTGGAGCAGAGAGGCCGATTTTTAAAGAAATAAGGCATTTTCACAATAAATTCAATATCCACCTCCCCTTGTGACCACAAGTGTCACAAATTTAGAAGAGGCACTATTACTCATCATAACCATGCCAGTTTCAAAGTACTAGTATTTATGCATTTTCACTACACGATCATGTGAGCCCCAACATCAGAACCCCTGACTTTGGGGCCATGAATTTCACAATTTTGGTAAACCTCAAGGGCTCAATGCTAATTACTATAACCATGTAACCATGACAACAGTTCAACAGCTTGATGTTCAGAAGTACAGATCATTTTTAAAGATTTATTTATTTTTAAGGGTTTATCTCAATCCTCACCCTGCATGCCCCAAAGAAGGCTGAGAGCATAAAACTTTTGTTCTCCTTCATTCACAAATGCCAAAATTGGCTCACTGGTTCCAAACAAGCTAATGTTAATGCAAAATGGCTGACAACAGACAAAAACAGATTGCATTAGGTCACCAAGTTACTCAGGCAACATAAATATAAAAAAAGAAAATTCACTGTAGTATATTTTTATTATAGAAATGATTCTTAAAAGATTATTTTTTGTAATATAACATCATTGAATATATTGATAGGTAAAAGAAGTAGCAAATTGATCATGGAGGTACATTACAA